AATGGTTTGCAAGCTGTTGTACTCTTGACAGGAAATAATTCATCCTCTGAAGAGACTGATGAAAGAATGTTGCTACTTACATCTACATGCTGCTGAGGCCCTGTGTGCATATCTTTAGGAATTCACTAGCTTTTTTTTCTCAGAGAGTTCAACAATTACTCACAGAGCTGTTTCTTACTTCAGTTTTTAAAATTGTTTCGACAGCCACTGACAGGTATTTCAGGGCTACTGTAAATAAAATAGGGCTTGAAGCTCATTAACTCGGACTCCTTTTTAACTTCAAATTCAAGTTAGCCAAGATTAAGAAATTGGTAAAATGAAATATTTTGAGGTTTTAAGTGCACATGTACATCAAATGTACACAGCTGATGGTAAATATAATTTTCCAATAAGTATTATACTCCGAGGATCAATGGAACACCCCCCTAAATGTTGGAGGACACTGTTTTCAGCAGTACAGTTACATGCATGTGATTGTAAACTTTAACATGTTACAGGTAATTGCAACCCCGCCTGCAAATCGAATGCCAGAATATGTGACCCTCCTGGCTGTTTGTTTGTTTAAGTGTGCACATTTGTCACTCATGGAAGCTTTGGAAGGAGAAATAATCAGATATTCAAGATGGTGTTCCCCACCATGACCACTATTTACCGCCATTTCTCATGTTCCTGTATTTAGCATATGATATGGCGTAGTAAAAAGTGGATTTCCCCCTCCACCCCTGTCATGAGTAAAGGATTCCAATTCATTTAACAAATAAAAGATTTATGTGGATATGATCAACAAATAAATACAAGTGTTCTCTCTCAAAACTTAGTGATTTGAGCGGTTGAATGACATTATTATTGGCATGTTTACCATGTTTACCTTGATAGAAGTGCCATCAGCGAGCAGATGTGTGCGTGCCTCACTTGTCCTTTGCTTACCGCAGCTCTGTGAATATTTGCTGTTCATTCTTATTATCTAAGTCTTGAAATCTCACGCATTTGTTTCCCTTGATGTGGTACTATGCGTGGTATGCTGAAAAATCTGACATTTTCTGTCATCTCTCCGACTGTTTCGAACACAGTAAACGCAGGAAAACCTCTGCATGTTGTTTGCGAGACTCAGTCGGGTCACCCACTAAGCAAACGCTTTACAATGCATGAGTCATGGGCCGGGGGTCACCGAGGGCCACGTGACGGTGAAAACCATCTACTGAAAAATTACTCAAAACGGTCCAAATTGCACAAAATACAGCAAACTAAATTCCACAGACAAGTACAAATCACATCACACGAAGATTTAAATACGATGGAAATGCCAACTTCAGAAGAAACGAGATTTAAAATTTAAAAGGAGATGTGGCAGCAGCTTGAACAGCGCCCTCATTTGAACTTAATATCCACTGAATGCCTGAAATCTTTATTTTCAGTAAAAGGTCACCCACTCTGGAATCAATGAACCTGGCAGTTCCCGGCAGAGCATGGCGCCCAGGGTCATGGCAGCTGCCTTTTCAGACGAACTTTGTCACTTGCGTATGTACCATGATAATGTTCTTACTGGATTGAGTATTGACATACATTGTACAGTACATGTACATGTACGTGTACTCGTACAGTACAGCCATGGAAACTACTGAGCGCCTCCTGTCCCATTCACAGACGCTTGTGTCATGTAGTCGCTGGTTCCTTGTTCGGAAGTGGCAATTCTATGTAGAACTTGAGAAATTGATCATGGCCGATACAATGTTGATATCAAACACAACCTAATATTTTGGATGCTCCCGTGAAGGTATTCTCTGCTATGTGAGAACAACAAGATGGCCGATGACATCCAAAGAGTGTTTCTTTGGGGCATCTCTCGAAGCATGTCGACGGCCCTGCTGAAGTGTCTAAGCTACGCCGAGGGAATTCAAATCATAAACCAGCCCTACGCATCTGCCTTCTACACTGGACCCCAAGCAGAACGGCCTGAACTAAATCAAAACGACAAACTTCTAAACAAAATTGTCGCAACGTATGATAAACTATCAGAAGACAGTGAAAAAGCAAAGGTGCGGGGGCTTGCTCCGTCTTTGATGTCACTTGAGCGGATCCGGGACGATCTCTTGCAAGCCCAATATTCCGACAAGAAGGTTCTTCTTTGCCGAGATCAGGCGCATTACCTCAAAGGCCGATATGATATGCTGCCTCGTGGCTTCAAGTACAGCTTCCTCATTCGTCATCCTTACAAGGTGGCTCGTTCTTTGAAGAAGCTCCTCCTCGGCATTTTCGGCGATTTCCCCAACATGCGCGAATTGCCACTCTTGGCTTTTCCTCCAGGATGCGGATTCAAAGATCTTTTCGATTTGGTAGAGTACGTCAGAGAGAACATCGACCCTCATCCCACCATCCTGGACACCGACGATTTGCTGCAGGATCCGGCCAGGATCTTATCGACTTACTGCTCCAGGATGGGAATTCCATACTCAAGCAAGATGCTGTCTTGGGAGACTGGGAATGAAATCACCAAAACGTGGATCATGTGTAAGGAAATCGTCTTGTGCAATGAATCTCAAGAATTCTACAAGCGCGCTTTCGAGAGTGAGCGGTTCGGGAAACCCACCCCCATTCCAGATCCAGCGAGTCTCCCGGAAGATGTGCGGGCCTGCGCTGAGGAGAGCATGAAGTATTACGAAAGTCTGTATCGTGAAAGAATCACGGCATCCGTAGAGTGAGGGTTTTAAAAGTTTGAGTACTTTCCCATACACAGGTTTAGTCTAGTCCAGTCTCCCGGTCTTGACTGTGCCCTTTTGTACCGATTTCTGCAGAAACACTAAGGAAAGGCCGCCTTGAAATACCGGTACTACGCCTCGGTGGAAATGGACTAACGACAGACGAAACGAATTACATTAAGAAGAGAAAATGACGGGGATGGATATTCTAGGGCGTTTTTAAGTTTACTACTTAAACATTAGCTATTCCACAGAAGACGAAATCAGTCTAACGGTTCTTCGCAGTTTGAAATTATGTAATGGACTGCCTGAAAAGTTCTTAATCGGTTCAAAGGAAAGTCACTATGATGAAAAACTTTGATTGCTTCGATTTATGTAAAACCTTCACATGTGGGTTCGTTTAATGGCAGAAAAGTTCGGCTGTATGTAGGTTTAGAGAGCTGTGATTAGGTAAAATATAGATCTGGCATTGTTACTGCCAGAAAAGGAAAAATACAACAAATTATAAAAGAAATGTACTCTTTATTTAAGTGAGTTTAGCTTGTTGTATTATTGTATTTTCAGCTTGATTGTTTGAGTTGAGAAGAAAGTAGTGAACATGTGCTGAAAAACTATCACAAGGGTGCAGTGCTTATAAAGGGTAACAGAAATAAAAAGCAGTTAGTTCACGCATGAGTATTTTAAAATAACATTAAATACGTAACCATTTCATAAACATCGTGATTTAATGTTTACCCCATTAATTGTGACCCCAATATGAATGAAAAGATCCTGCGTTTCCCCGCCCACAAAAAAATCCCTTTTGGCCGTTCGCTCCCAGGCTGATTGGATGACGATATTCACTATATAACATTTATTTAGAATGATATTTGAGTGTGGAAATTTGAGCGACAATGTCGATTCTGTTCGTGCAGCCCAACCGGCCGCCATCTTGTTTTCGCGTGGACGGCAGAACAAAGAACGATGGTGGCCCCTCACATCGCGAAAAAGTTTCGTTTTCCTGCGTGAATCTGGTATAAAATTATTTGTTTTTCTTACACAGTGACTTTGGTACATGCTGGGCACATTCACACTGGACCCGTATCTGCCAGTGCTAGTGGTCGGTGGTCATGGTGGTTATCCAGCCCAACTTTTTCTTTTTACACCATGTTAGTATGGGGCCTAAATGCATGACAGAAATGACAGTAGGTCAGTGATACCGCCTACTATTTACATGTATGATGTATCTACGTTATTGTTCGGCCTGTTATGAGGAGTACTGGTTATGTGGTACATGATAGGAAGCCTACTAGGCCTACATGATATTACACCTAGCCACAGTCTGGGGCTATCTCTGCATTATTCTTGACCAGTTGACCTTTAACACTCATGCATGCACACGTGTGTGTAAAGAAATCTGTGAAAACAAAGACTATGAGGCCTGATATTACCCCAATTTTTCATACGATTTTAATCCACTTATGCAAACTGCAGTTCTTACTTTTCTCCTCTGGAAATCTGGGCTCTGAATTGTCTTGAAGATGCAATTTTTAACAACACAGATTTAATCCCGATCATTTTAAACGCCATGTAAGTACCAAGAAGTACGCTTCCAGGGTGCTCAAAGTGTCCACGTAGAATGTCAATGGTGGTTTTCGTTGAGATCAGCATTATGCAGTCACAATTTTACAGTTGATCCCGTCAGTATTTCCATCTGAACAGTGTTTTGCAATCAGGCCCTTGTGGTAATGTAATGTGTAGTGATGATCACAGTAGCTATGACAATAATTTTAACACCAAAGCGTGGTGCAGCATAGGGCAGTACATGATACATGTGTATATCTGTTAACCAAATGAGGTCTAAATCCTCCGATTTGGGTTGATCAGTTACAGCAAATCAATATTCTGAAAACTACCATAGTTTGACTTACAACCATTTCAAACCCAATTTCATAAACCCACTAGAAGAATATTCTACTTAGCAGGTTGATGATACATGTGGGTGAGCCAAAATTGGCAGAGAACCAGTCACAAGCAACATACATATAAACCATTATTTTGGGCTGGTAACCAGTCTTTGCAAAGTAAACATTTTCTGCGCTGAGCAATTAAAGTCCAAGGTTGGCAATTTCGCTGCGAAATGAGACCAAGTTCAAATTACTTAGGACTGGCCACAGCTTGAAATCAAATGATTCTACGGTAGTTCGCTGCAGGCCTGACCATTGACTCTTGCTTGATCTCAAGCCACAGCCAGGTATGTGAGGCACAGCCATGGTCTCATAGTAGTTGGCATTCACAACGAGCACAGTAACAATCAATTGGTTCACTTACTTGTTCCCTTCAGGAGTGTGGATAAGCTCCTCCGTGTCCTCCCTCACCACCTGTCGGATGTGGAACGCCTCCCTCCTCACATCAAAAACAAGCTGCTGCACCTGATGAGCAAAATGGCAAGACCCGTTATATAAAAAAAAGAGGCCTGGTGACAGATGACGTCATCGACAACGTAGCCAGAAGACCCATTGTGGGTGACGTCACTGCTCACTGATATTGTTTTCTGAGAGTCACATTTTCAGCCAAAATGAAAACTTTTCCTGTTGTCCTTAGAATATAAATAAGCCTCTGTCAGCGAGTACATACACTTGCATGGGGTGTCGGTCACTTCGCCCATTTTCCACTTCGCCCACATTTACATCTTCGCCCATTTGCCACTTCGCCCACCGCAACTTCGCCCATTTGCCACTTCGCCCACGCGCCACTTCGCCCACGCTGTACATGTACATATCCGACAGAAGGCACCGCCGAGGCACGTACCTTAAACTTCACTTATAAAAGTTGCGTCATCAATTACAAACATAAACAACTGTATCGCTTCCAGGCCACAGACTGTAATTCACTTTGCAGAGCTGATGAGGTTTGATCATGTCAAAATTAGAGCGATTTGTCCAGAAATTTACTCCTTCGTGTGTCTTAAATTGGCACTGGCGATACAGTCCAGAAACTTTGCTGCGGTGAAACAGCGCCCTCTGGAAATTTAAATTGTTGCAGTGACCCCCCCGCCAAAAAATGGTCGCCACATACATGTATCATCCATCATATATATACTCTCTCCATATACGTAATCATTCTGCTGATATGACACTTGTTAAAAAGCCGTGATACTCAAAATGTTCAACTTTTATAAGTGAAGTTAAGGTACGTGATTCGGCGGTGCATTCTGTCGTATATGTACATGTACAGCGGGGCGAAGTGGCGCGTGGACGAAGTGGCGCGTGGGCGAAGTGGCAAATGGGCAAAGTGGCGGGTGGGCGAAGTGGTAAATGGGCGAAGCGGAAACTGCAAGCAGATCACTGGCATGGTGTTCTGGCAGGCTACGTTGGGGGACGCAAGTTTGGCTTCCTGGTCCTATTTGACTTCCTCCTTTGCAGCCTCTTCCTAAAGATCAGGCCAGCTCGAAGTTAAGAGCGTGCAAGGCCGGCCCAACACTATATGCCTGACAGCAGTGGACTAGCTTCTTCATGGATTTTGTATGTGTGTCCATTGTGGCTTGCACAACCGCGGATGGGATGTTCACAACGCCTGTCCCGTCTGACAATAGACTTTATTCACGAGGCCGGCCATATATTGGATTTGAAAGCTAGGTTAACTCTCCATTTTTGAATGTTGAGAGTAAAAATTAAAGCAATAAAATGAAATTTCGTGAAAAATTTGCACCTGTCCACTCTAATACAATGAATAATTTCGAATTCATGATTGAACACACGGAACACCTTGCCAGATTCTGAAAATTAATGAAGGGGAGGCTTGGAATGCACAGAATTATAAAACAGTCTGGTGCCATCCTAATCGACAGTTTGCAACATATAAAACAGATTTGGGAATAAGATAAAAAATGGCCTCTACGTAAATAGGGTCTATATTTTCAACGCCCAGCGATTGCAAGCAGTGACTCAGAACACCGACTGGAAAAAGACTAGCGAATTTGGCTGGGAGACTAAAAAGTTAACGTGCAATGGGTAAGAAGCGGGTGTCAAACTCATGAACCATAGATCTAAGTGAAATTGTACATACTGCACTTGATGCGATAAACTAATAGTAATTATAACATGATGCTTGATGATACATCGTTTCTGTTACTGCATTTAAATATAGGATCCCTTTTCCATGATTGCCAAATGAACTCCCGACTGTCCCGGTCAACTTTATGAAACCAGTTCCATGCAGGATTTTATGATAAACGTAGTCTTGTAGTAGACGTGAAACGGTCACAACAGTCCGCTTCATCTTCACAAAAGAACATATAAACTTTCACGCTTTGAGAAACAACAATGTTGAAGCTAACTCGTATTATTTACACAGATCAGCTGCAGGATTGCAAAGGTCAGGGGATATATAATGCATGCAGCACACAGACCCTTACAGTTTGAGCATTTTTTGCTAACCGTGCCTTGCATATATCGGCCATACAAAAAACGGGTCACCTGAGATCAAGGTCAGTTGACTTTCTCACATAAAGGTCAACGCTCTCCGGAGTTAATAAACTCAGCAGATCTCGAAAGAGCATGGTGGCCACGGCCGGGTCATGATGGCATCTTTTCAGATGAACTTTGCCACTTGCGCCATTGCACTTACAAAGAGTGATTACGCACGAACACAAACAGCTCATGGTCAGACCATTCTCTGAACTTTCGCCACAGCTTATCATTGGTTTTGTTACTCATTAATTATAGTAAACTTTATATGTAATACGTAAACTGAATTATAGGATAGGTTAAAGGCAAGGACTCTCGGCTACCGAAAGAGGGCCACCGACTTACAAAGAACGCACATGCACAAATACACACATGTAGCATGATCACGATCACTACCCCCAGCTCTGGACCAACTCTTGCTGTAACACTAAAGCGTATTGTCAAATAATGGAAATAGAAGTAGCACTGCAAAACCAATTTCTGCCTCTGAGTGCCGTCATTCTTAAGAGTCTGGTACAACCCTAGCTACCTTAAAAACTCTAAACAAGCATTGAGTAAACCAAAGAGTGCCCATTCCTAATTTGCCTTTCTTGCTTAACCACGTTGTCTATGTTATTTATCTAATGCCCACGCAACCTTGTTGGAACATACAAGGTTGTGCATCCAGTTCCTCTTACTTAACTTATCTAAAGGTGTTCATTCTTAGCCTGCAACTGATTGCCTCACTATTAATAACTACTCATGCTGCGACGACATAAAATGGCCAATTCACTCTTCGTCCAGCCTACAAATAATGCCATGAGCGTAAAGCATGCCCCAAGAAGTAATTACGAACTGCGCGTGCGCGAATGAACTTTATAGCAATGGTCATTTTGTACATCAAACGCATACAAATGTCACTAACTTTCCCATGCAGGGCCTTATCAGCCCCCAGAAAGCAGTAATATGTCCTAAAAAGTCAAATTTAGCTGTGAGAAAATCGAAGCATTTCTTAGAAAACACTTATCAGACCAGCCTCATAGGGTTTGTGTCTAGTCACATTCGTGTATGGAATTCACTCCAGGAAATCTTCACAGAAAGCAGTATCTTTAAGATATAATGAAACTGAAAATGGAAGAAAACTGACATTTTAAATAAGTATGAGTTTAAACTATCAGGCAATTTAATACAAATTAAGGTAGATTAAGTGTTGATTAATCTAAATACAGCATGTATATGTTGTTGTTCCTGAAAAGTTCTTTCCATCGGGGCACGGTCCACAGACGAATTTCATCAATTGAAAGATCTTTCTCACATCCATCCCTGGACAAAATTTAACTCAAACTTGAAAAGAATTGATAAAAATCGGAGCTCTAGCTGAATTGCGTATTTAACATTCACTACGCAAACAAATGTCAGAGAAGAGCGCCCGCTCAGGACGCACTGTGAAACGATTCCTTTTATGTTCAAATGACCCTTGCCCTTTTTTCCAGTGCAGCGTACGAGCGGTAATGATGAACTGACCACCGGGAACCAGTGAACTGACCATATTTAATCGTGTGAAACTTCCAGTGTGAGTCTCTTTATGCCCATGGCCGTAGCGTGTAAGAGCGCATACCATAAGAAGCCTAGCCAAGTTACAGGGTTAACCAGTTGGACCTTCCTTTGCTAGATCGTTGTTGTGTTTTAATTTACTGAAATACGGAAAGGTGTCCCGAAGAAAGGTTGCTGTAATTTAAAGCAACTTGGAAACTGATTATAGTCGTCACTCCGGCACTGTGTGTGTGTTTTCACGAATCCTGTTACACTGAGTAGCGTTGCAGCAATGACCGATGAACTTCAACGCGTGTTTCTATGGGGCGTCACTCGCAGCATGTCGACAGCCGTGCTAAAGTGTCTCAGCTACGTCGACGGGATTCAAATTGTGAACCAGCCCTATGCGACTGCCTTCTACTATGGACCCCAAGCGATACGACCAGAGCCTGATCCAAATGACATATTTTTGACCAAAGTTCTTGCACTACGTGAGAGAATCGCCGAAGAAGGTGAAAAGGCAGAATTGGGGGGGCTTGCTCCGTCTTCCATGTCCTTTAAGGGGATCCGGGATGAGATCTTACAAGCCTCTTATCCCGACAAGAAATTTTTGCTTTGTCGAGATCAGGCTCAGTACCTCGACGGCCGTTACGACTTGCTGCCTCGTGGATTCAAGTACAGCTTCCTCATTCGCCATCCTTACAAGGTGTTCCGCTCTTGGAAGAAGCACCTCACTGTTATCATGGGCGATTTTCCGGACATGCGTGCCTTGCCTTCGCTTATATTTCCTCCGGGAAGGGGCTTCAAAGAACTGTTCGAATTGGTGCAGCACGTCAAGGAGAACATCGACCCTCATCCTGCCATCTTGGACGCCGACGATCTGCTGCAGGATCCGGCAGGGATCTTGTCCACGTACTGCGCTAGGATGGGAATGCCGTACTCTAGCAAGCTCCTGTACTGGGAACCGGGAGATGAAATCACCAATACGTGGATCATGTGTAAGGTTCTGTCAGTGTCGAACGGTTTATTGGACTTCTACAAGCACGCTTTCGAGAGCAAACGATTCGACAAGCCAGGCCCTGTCCCAGATCCAGCAAGCCTCGCGGAAGATGTGCGGGCCTGCGCTGAGGAGAGCATGAAGTATTACGAAAGTCTGTATCGTGAGAGAATCGTAGCATCCCCACAGAGTGAGGGTTAATTGCGAGTATTTTTGCCACCACGGGCTTGGTCCAGTCCACTGTTTGCGGTCTTGACGATCCCATCTTGTACCAATTTTAGTAGAACCGTCAAGGAAAGATTGTCTTGAAATACTACGTATCAGTGGAAATGTAGTATTGACCGACAAAACTAACCACATTAAGCAGAGAAAAACTGAAAAGGTAACTCATGGGTATTTAAGTTTAAAGCAACACATGAACACGGAAGAAGATATCAAGCTGACTGTTATTCGCACTTCTATAAAGGATTGCCTGAAAAGTTCTTAATCGCTTCAAAGAAAGTTACTATAAAGAAAAACATTGGCTGCTTATTCGAGTTATGTAAAATTTCACACGTGGCTTCGTTACACGGCGAAAAGTTCGGTTACATGTAGATTCAGAGAGCAGTGAATGATTAGGTAAAATATTATCAATCTTATATTGAAGATGCTCCGTTAACAAGACAAAAAACTAAAAAGGGGAAAACCAAATACAAAATGTACTCTTTATTCAAGTGAGCTTTGCTTAAGGAGGTATTTTATTTTTGGCTTGGACGTCTGAGTTGCAAAGTGAGAGACAAAGTCGCGGAAACTGCTGAAACGGTCTTAAGGGTGCAATGCTCTAATTCAAGTGATATTTTCTGCTGAGCCCATTAGCATTAAACCATTTTTTTTTCAAAATGAGATTGTTTGGCAGACAGAATGCAGGGATCGTAGCCACGATTCAGTCATTCATTCTTTTCATTCTTTTTTTCACATAACTGTAGGCTTAATGTAGGTACAGATGGGGTTGGGGTCCCATAGAAGCCGTGCTTGTCGAGTATAGTAGGAACCCTGAATAGGAATAATACACATTGCAAACAACACATTTAATACACGTATGTTCATGCCACTCACTTAGTTGGTGCGCATGTGTACTGAATCCCACTACAGCCAGAAGCCAGTAAATGGCTTTTGACTAAGGCAGGTGGACCCCAAAAATAATTGATCAACATCAAGCTCTGATAACGTTCTTTGCCCCTCATTTGCATACCGATTAGAATTTAAACACTCAAAGTCCAGTTGCTAACTCGTACACTACAGAAAACCATTTTCTGTCAATATTTTGCACGTCTTTGTCACGCACCTCCAAAGTAACAGTCACAGGCTGGAAGTGAAGTCAACATTTTTGAGGGGATTTTTTTTTTAGTTTTGCCGGGTTTTCCCTATAATTTCGCTACTTGTGAATGGTGAGGAATATTATGAACGCTCTCATGGGAAAGTATCATGAAAAAGGAAACTGAATATATGAATGATAACGGAAAGCTTTTGTTTGTGCCTTTAATTCGGGGAATTTGACGTCGTTGTACGACAAGAACACACCTGTATTCAGGTATATGTGCGTGTACGTGAATGCCTCTTCCAAAATCCGGACATCTTATTTTGGAACGTTGTCAGACTCAGTGCGAACATTTGAATCCGCATGAAAAATGAACCACATTTCAAACAAATGCTCTCGGTCTTGAAAAACTGAGCTGATAGATACAAACGGTTTACCACTTTTACAAACAGTATCACCGATGATTTGAGGGGAATTCAACAAAAGTGCGAAAAATGGGCACTAGGTAAGGTGAAAAGCACGGAAAAGTGATTTTCAAAAAAAGGTTTTCGTCCTAGAAGTGATCAACTTTTTTTTCATAAGAGTTACTAGTCATCAAGGTTATTCGAAGGTAAAGTCGGCAAACGTTTGAAAATAAAACACAAACTTAGGTGAAAAATCGATAATTCTTCCATAATTATCCTGTCGTAAAATTGACATTTTCCACTTTCTTTGATAATTTTCCGGAGATATTTCTTACCAGAAGCTATTAAATATCACCGTTTGATAGATTGATGGCCATTTATTCACACACGGGGTCTTTAGGAGACATTGCAGTACAAATTCCTCACATGGGTCACCATGCACCCATAGGCGTCGTCTGCTTGAATATTTTTTTCAGCCCAACGACCTTTATGTCACTACTGCGCATGCGCGAATACACAAACTAAATGCACAGGCTATGGAGGCCGAACATACATGAATACAACATTAAATTGGACAAGAAACAGTAATTCTTGTAACACTGTAAGGCATAGAAACTGAATAAAATTAAGTAGAATTTATATGCCTATTTGATAATCTAGCCTTATATTTTTGTTTGAATGTTTGTAGATTCCACATATTCTTAATAGAGACGTCTGGAGAATTCCACAGCTTGGGATCCTCATGCTTGACCGTGTTATGTGTAAGAGTGGTGCGCACAAAGGGATAATGAAGTTTCCTGTGCTGTTTGGAGAAATAGCGGTGCACTTCCTCATTTTTGATTTGGGTAATTGTTTGTTGTTTATTTGTTGCATGAGGATCCCAAGCTGAAGAGAATATTTATTTTATACTTTGAGAGTTTAGTGCTACGTTCCTCCAAACTGTTTCCCGATATGATGGAGATTCTAGCGTATATTTCTATTACACACCACGCACTCAGTGGACAGCAAGCGTGCAGCACTACAGTAAATGTATGATGCGACACGCCTTGAACCGCTACTCCGTAGCACATTTCCAACTTTGCCATTTCCATGACAGTAAAGTCAGTTTGATTCTGGGCATTTCCATTGGTGTGTATAGAACAGGAAGGGAAATTCCAAATAGAAAACACGCTAGAAGTGTGTCCCATGCACTGACTTGAATGTATATATTTATTATCTCAAATTAAACATCGGGAATACAGTACATTTGATCCATGCAATACTGATTGCCCGTTTAATCAAAATGTTGAAATAAAACCCTACGTGGGCCTTCATCACGGATGCTGAAACAAATCCTTTTGATGTAGTTTACTGATTTGTAATTTCTTTCTTTATTTTTTATACACAAGAAACTCGCTCTATCTCTTTCCGTAAATGTCCATGTATACTAAGATTTTTTTTTATTCTCTTAAACAACGGCTTACTTCCTTTTTTGAGCACATTTTTAAAGTACTGTTTTTGCTTTCACGTTTCATTCTTTATCTCATCCTTTTTAGACATTTCACTACTTTGTCCATTTGTGGGATATAAATATAAATTTACTTCGCTGTTATTTATTCTTTCATAACAATTCAAACAGAAACAAAATACAAATTAGCAAATAAACACTGATCAATCGTAACGGTTATTTTTACAGAAATCTCTACCCGTGAACCAAATGTTTCCTTTCATGAAATATTTTGCCTAAATTAGTCATCAAGAAGAAAAAAAAGAATTAGAATATTTAACGTTTCATAAATAGCATTGCACGAATCTCAAAAGTGCTTGTCGATTCATGAAAGTGAACGCCAAAACACATAACGCAGGAGTGCCCGCGCAAATCCAAATGCTTTTTGCGAATTTTCCGAATTGAATCACAACCCTTCACGTTTTGAATCACAAGATTGTACAATCACATGCTCTTACAATGAAAATGAATGATCGGTTTGGCTCTCTGAATGGTGATTTAAATCGCCAATCCATTTCGTGCAAATTTGAATGAAACTGTCGCTAATTCGTGTGCAAAGATGATGAATTCGGCCGGGAAAACCTATACTATTTGCACAATTATTTCTAAAAACATAGGAGTCATATGTGAATTACAGCCCTCTTTTCCCCAGGATGTATTATTTAAACTTAAAATACTTTAAGTGTCTCGGGCTGGTTTGCGTTATCTGTGATACTTCCGTTTGACATGTTTCCATTTGTCTGCGTTGCAGTTTGCGTCTTGATTGCGTTGCTCTCTGCGTTTCTTACGTCGATACGGAAACCAGGTTTATCACATGCGCCGTGCTGAAAAAGTTTCCCAAGGATGCAGTGCCCTAATTCAATAGATAACTTCTGTCGCGCTCATTCAGATTGTTTACCAGACAAAATACAGGGATCGTGGAAACATAAGCCATAATCGACTCCCTGGGTTTTGGGTGCGTCCGTCAGAGGGCAGAGCTGATAAAATTACGGATGAAAAACGGTCCTCAGTGTTCAATAAGTAAAGGGAATAGCCATTTGAAAAATGGCCTCGAGCAGGCGTGTGAACCGTCACTTTGCTGTTTGTTTTTGGCGGATAATTAAAAAATTCATTGGTTAGCCTACTAAAAATTGGAAATCAAATGAAATCTGAAGGACCAAACAACACACTGTTTTTGTTTGAGAGGCCTCAGGGACTTCAGTTGCCTGCCATGGTGCTCCAAACTTGATTGATTTTACACTATTTTCAATGGAACTAGAATTGGTTCAGTGCACCCGTAAGCGCTCAAAGTGAGACTGGTTGATAAGCGCCCTCTTTAGTCTAACTTCATCAGCGCGCACATATCCATCAGCCTACAGGCATCAAAATACAAACAGTAGATGAAAGATGGCGGACGATTTGAACAACTTTGCAATTTCTTCGCTTCTGACGCTGTAAGTTGGTCAAAGTGCAGTGATATTTGTCATTGTTTCCTTGAACCTTGTCTAGAGGGTGCTAACAAATGTCTGCTTTCATTCATTAGTACTTCCATTGGCTATTTTGATGGTTTTTAATATTACTACTAAAAAGTACTAGGCCTAGTCTGGAGAAACGAAACAGTTGAACATGAAGTAGGTACATGCACTGGTTCATATCTCGGTATGACAGACATGACCGAGATCAGTGATATGTGGCCTAATATTAACGAGGAGTAGTTCCGTGGAAGCCTGCTTTTATGTAACCATGGCAACGTGATAGGCCAACTGATTACACATTACACCTACATGTAGCCAGAGTCTGGGGCCTGGCTACAGATCCGGGTGATCCTTGATCAGTTGACCTTACACTCATGAATGCATGCACACGTGTGTGGAAAGAAATCTGTGAAAACAAAGACTATGAGGCCTGATATTACCCCAATTTTCATACGATTTTAATCCACTTACCCAAGCATGCACTTTACTTTTACATGCATGCAACCTAAAGTTCTCGCACTTCTTCCATGAAAATTTCGGCTCTGAATTGTCTTGAAGATGCAGTTTTAAATAACACAGGTATTCAGTCCAAACCATTTTCACATGTCACCTAAGCTAACAAGAAGAACTGTGCTTTCCAGGTGCTTAAAAGTGTCCAAATAGTACATGAATGTTGGTTTTCATAGAGATTAGGCCCATGCAGCCACAATTGTACACTTGATCCCGTCAGTATTTCCACCTAAACAGTGCTTCGCAATCAGGCCCTTGTGGTAATGTAATGTGTAGTGATGACCACAGTATGGCAATAGCAATGAGAATAATTTTAACACCTGTCAAAGCTGTGGTGTAGCGTAGGGTAGTACTTGGTACATTTATATGTAGATCACTGTTAACCAAATGCGAGTTAAAGCCTCTGATTTCAAATTTGATGCAGCAATGGTGTTTGGGTTGATTAGTGACAGGAAATCATTTTACTGAAAACTACCACAGTTTGACTTCCAACCATTTGGGCCCCAGTTTCATAAACCCACCAGGAAGATATCTTACTAATTGGTTGATGATACATGTGGGTGAGCCAAAATTGGCAGAGTACCAGCCACAAGAAACATGCACATTAATCATTATTTTGGGCTGGTAACCGGTCTTTGCAAAGTAAACATTTTTGGCACTGAGCAAATATCCAAGGTCTGCAATTCTTGTGAAATGAGGCCATGTTCAAATTACTCAGTATTGGCCACAACTCGAAATCAAATGATTCAATGGCTGCAGGCCCGACCATAGACTCGTGTTTGATCTCAAGCCACAGCCAGGTATGTGAGGCACAGCCATAGTCTCATAGTAGTTGGCATTCACAACGAGCATAGTAACGATCAATTGGTTCACTTACTTGTTCCCTTCAGGAGTGTGGATAAGCTCCTCAGTGTCCTCCCTCACCACCTGTCGGATGTGGAACGCCTCCCTCCTCACATCAAAAACAAGCTGCTGCACCTGATGAGCAAAAGAGGCCTGGTGACAGATGACGTCATCGACAAGGTAGCCAGAAGACCCATTGCAGATGACATCACTGCCCACTCATATTGTGACATACTTCTGAGAGTCACATTTTCTGCCAAAATGAAAACCCTTTCCTGTTGCCCTTAAAATATAACTACGCCTTTGTCAGCAAGTCCATACACAGGCATGTGTGCAGCAAGGATTCTAAATAGTGGCTTTGGGTACATATAGCTATACAACATCAGTGCAGATGGTGTGAATTACAGGTGATTCACAATAGTGCGCCTCCAAGAGTTTGCAACGTGTTAACCAATCACAAGGTGCAAAATCTGTCAACCTTTTCCAAATGTGAATTGGACAGACAGATTTCGCGCCCTGTGATTGGTCAATGGGTAGCAAACACTTAGAGGCTCACTACTGTGAAATGCCCGAATATTGTCTTTATACAATTCACTTACATGTAATAGGAATGACACACTTGAGAAACACTCTAAGTTGACATATGGTAATTTTATTTTAATGGCGAGTTTTTCTTCTTGGGGGGGGGGATTTGGGCAAAATTGACCGTGTTTTAATGAAGACGGTTTCCGGTTCACACATCTGAATACTTTTCACAAAGTTAATGTAATTGTAAGATTTTTAAATGTTGAGATGAACAATAGTAACATAGAATTGCTGTAGTTTGCAGTTTCTCATCAAAGATAAGATGTTATTTTGCAGCTCAGCCTTGTGGATTGTCCCACAATATCTGGTGGGTTACTATCAAATGTTTGAAAAATGTCTTGGACATGCTTACATGTACTAAAGTATATCCTTGTACTCCCCCCCCCCCCGAGGTAATTCACAATGGCACAAAGATTCTTGACCTTGGAGAGTGTGACATCACGGATGAGGGTCTCAATAAGCTGACTGTTTGCAAGAATCTCCGGAAGCTTGACTTGAACTCGGCCAAAGAGAGCAGAACGAGAGTGACGTCTGCAGGTGATGAAAATCACAGTTGTCTTTTCATTCTGGTCGGGAATTTTCCGTTGCTGTATTTTTTCTTAAATCCACACACCAATATGGCAGTGTGAAATCACTATTTGTGCTAAACTCATCTTCGACTGTGCTAGGGAACGTGTACATGCTGACCACTCCGTGGTGGTCAATACATGCACACAGATTCACTGGAATATCTAGTTTTGTGGTCGACTTGATGGGACTTCTTATACTGAGGTAGATGAACTGTGATGCATGCACACTGCTTTTCTGAGGTGTCTGTTATGAGCTTTTCATGTAAACAGTGCTAAATGTACAGAATCCATTGATCAGGAGAAGAGATGGGATATTGTAAAAGTGTAAGTATGTTTATACACATGTTTGTTAACTTTAGTGGTCCGATGTCCATTTATCACATGTTGAATGCCATATGTGTGGCAGGAATTGATGGCATTGGATGAGTTTTGCAATCTGTGTAGCATTACAGAGACTGATGATGAAGACAGTAACATGGGATGAGCTGCCTGTTCCGTTTCCCCACAGGCCTTCAAGTGGTTGCTCAGTCTTGCCCCCTGCTGCAGGTCCTGTACCTCCGCCGCTGTCTTAACGTCACCGATGCTGGCCTGATTGCACTGGCCCAGAACTGTCGCCAGCTGATGGAGATCAACATTGGTGGATGCCGTCAGATCACCGATTCATCGCTCATTGCTGTTGGTCAGAACTGCCGCATGCTGAGAAGCTTTAACTTTTCCAAATCGCAGGTGAGACTGAGGGAAGGGGCATGAATGGCATCCTTCCTGCATTGCTCCCAATCCCTGCTAAGCAGAAGAGTCAAAGATACAAACATTCCATTTTACAGAGATGTCACTGTGAATTTTTTATCCTTCCATGAATCGTGTTGGAGAAAGCAGATTCAAGTTATAAAATGCCCACCAATCTTGCATTGTGTCATGGCAAAACTCTACCAGATTATAGACCGGTTTGGGGGTGACTGATAATATTGTTTCATAAATGGCTCCTTTTAAACCAGAGAGCTTACATGAATATTGAGCGTTATGTTTTTGACCTCAGGTATCAGATGAAGGCGTGATTGCACTGGCCATGGGAGTCTGTAAGCAGTCGCTTATGGAGGTCCACATGGATCACTGCATCCACCTGACAGATGATGCAGTTGAAGCAGTTGTACAATTCTGTCCACGGATTTCCATTTTATTATTCCATGGCTGCCCTTGTATCACAGGTGAGTCTTCTACGTCTAGTGAATTAGAAAAGTAAGGAGCAGTCTGAGAGCGACTGCATTAGATTTGACACGTACTCCGGCCTGGCCAAAGTAACCAACCTGCAAAGCTGGTTACTTTAATGGGAAGTATCCCACAATGGAATGCAAAGACAACGCAGTTAGTTGTACAATGTGAAGTTGATACTGCAGTAAATAGTTAAGAAAAGTCGTTGCATATTGGGGTAAATTGGCTCAAGTCAAGAAAGTTATGTCTGTTGCTTTAGACAAACCTAAGAAGACAACATAGATAAGTGCAAGGGAAGTAATCACACATGGAAATAATTATATCATGTTTTGTACCGGATTGTCGTTTAATAGTGAGCTTAACTTTTCTCCTTGTATTCTCCCCGCATGATGAATGCAGATCGCTCAAGACAAGCCCTGGAGGAGATCCAAGGCCAGCAGTCCCACATCAAACAAGTCACATGGACCATCTACTAGAATATCTGGCAGAATCCAAGCAGCATGATGAAATGCCCTGCGATAGTGAGACAGCTCATTTCGACACATGAAATGTTTTAGGTGGCTGGCAGTCGAGCATTCTTAGACACATGGTAGCCACAGTCAAGAGCTACTAGCTCCGATCAGTGCTTTCCCTTACACTGGCCCTTGCTCCCCGAGCTGGGCTGATATACTTGGACAGGCCGTAACCTGGGAGAGTGTATGACACCCTGTGAGGGGATCTGCTCTGATTTAAGGAGCATCTCAAAAAGCGGAATGGGAATGTGCCGTTGGACTGTTCATCAGATCACTCCTGCATTTCTCTAGAACGGTCTATTTGCCTGTCAGCACAGACACTGTTCCGTGTTCCAGTGGAACGGTTAAGCCGTTGCATGGGGCACATATGCCCTTGGAACAGTCGGCTGGGAACAGGAACAGTGCAAATAGGGACACCTGTAATTGGGCATTGTGTGTCCATCTAATAATTGTATTCCTTAGGCATGCATCCTTGACGAAGACAGTGATGCCACAAACTCTGGTTTTCGTTTACAAAATGGCACAAAACTAGAGGTAGGAAAAAGCATGGAACGGTCCAACAGATCGTTCCCACAACGGCAGCCATTCTTACATTCGGCTGGGAACACTGACCATAACAAGTGAAATGGCCAGTGTGCCCAACTGAGCATTGGAACCATTCCAACTTTTAAGATGCCTTCTTAAGACAAGGAAATCTTAGATCCTTTTAGAAAGCCATCACACCTCGGGTAGGTAGCCTTCAAGGGGGCTGCTACCCTTATCAGGTGCTAGCAGCCTAATGCTTTTCACACTTTTGAAGTCACGGCTTGTGAACTCGGGGATAACTCTCATACCTCTGTACAGAACTGAGACCCACTAGAGCCAGTTAGAGGGAAATTAAACCTGTTCTCTGGGAAAGATACCTCTCATATTCCATTCTCAGTGAAAAGAGTCTTCTATTGAAATTCCTTAGGAGTAACTCCTACTATGCAGTTTCTGGCTTCACTGATAATAGATAAGAGCCTGAAGTGCCTTAGCAGGGCATTTTTGCAAACCTTAAAACTCAGGTTCAAAGTTACTGGAAACATATTCCCTTCCAGGAGGGACCCATTACAAACATAGCACAAACTAAACATGAATAAATGCTGTGAAATGTGTGTGAAACCCAAATATTTTAGCAAAAAGAGTAATATATTTCGTTGGCCTCTCCTTCCCCAGGTTCACATCCCACTAAAACTGTCAACAGAAAGTCTTTAAAAACTTTTTTTTAATAACAAGTTGCCTTTATTGGCATAATGTACAGTTGTACATGAAAGTCTATAAATTTAATTTCCAATATAAAACAATATTTCAACGAAACAAAAATAACACAATAAAATTCCATGAAACTGAAAAGACTATCATAGAACTCAGTGTGCATTCTTCGCATGATTGAGAAGGCAGGTTTTCTAAGTAATAGATTTCATGGACCTGACACACCAGTATAGTTAAGTATACTGTATGTACTCGGTCTGACGCCAAGTACACTGAACTAGTTTTCGTACGAAATGTGCACAAGCCGGTAGGATCTTCATGTGTACAACTGGCAAAGACATTCAAGTGTGGAACCGACAAATGTCACCACTGAACGGGGTTATGAGGGCTCCAACAAATCTAATCCCCTAGGTCCCAAGTGAGGTTTCGGTCCCATGTTACTTTCCAGTGTTACTCCTACCATTACAAGGCAACTTGAAACAATGAATATCTTCCGGAACATTGTCGCCTATTCTTACTTGGAAAATAACCTAGGTGTCCACCGCTCCTATCCATCTGCACCTGTCCACCTGCAATTGTCAGATATCCTAGCCAGCCTGGAAGGGGGCAGGGTAAAGCAAATGGTACTCTTTTTTTATCTGGACAGGGGAAGCACAGGTAGTGTCAGTGTCAGGATCTGTGTAAAACAAAAGGAGAAAAAGATAACTTTATTAACTGCTCTCGTAGCATCACTGAAGACACCCTGTTTATCCTTCGATGCTCTGAAACCCCCAGTTACGGCTGGGGCACTGTGCCAGCCAAGGGCACTGATCTCAAAATAAATCTGAATAGTTGATTGGCTGTTATAATTGAAGCGCCCTCTAAATAACAAATCCACAAAAAGCAGATTTGTGCATACATTTTCTGAAGGACGGAAGTTGATGAGATTGGGCCCCTCTGCATTCCAGTGAGGTGATCGGGAACAAGCCCGTGCATGTAGCTTTCCTTGTTCAGCTTTCAATTATGGCCAGTGAGTGGTCTAGCGCCAATGTTTTACATGTACAATAACTTGTCACAGTGTGCCCGTGTCTTGGAAGTCAGTTTTTTCAAGTCTGACGCTAGTTGATTTCCCTTGAAACTTAGAAAAAGAAAGGCACCATTGGCTTACTGCAGTGGGGGAATTTTGAGGAATTCAGGCAATTTCAAGGAGTGTTTGGTAGAAATGTCTAGATAGTTAGGGTTTACATCCAAATCAAGTTGTGCTTCAATAACAAATACACTGTACATTCTCCCTACACCTTTCCTCCCAGTTTCCCATTTAATACTAGAAAGGGGCTGACAGCATTCATTTACTAATGTTGCAGACGTCAGAATACATGTAGCTATTTTGGGTCTGATACGGCACAATATCTTCTACTTATCCTCCATTCACTAACTCTGCTTCAAAAGTCCACTTTACACGTACATCCCAAACAATTATAACATGCAAATACCCTGTTTTCTGATATAATAAACACGGACTTCTTTAAAATAAACCAAGTTCCCGTCCGTCCGTCCCGTACGTGTGTGAAGACGATTTCTCACCTTTTTGTTCAGTATAATTACTCTGTACATATGTACCAGTGTAATGCAGTTTAAGAAGTGATTTTGGCAGTGACACTGTCAGCGTGTATGTACAAGAAGCAATTTGGTATATGTAATAGTGTTTTGTTTGCTCTTCTCTGCAGGAATGACATAAAATTCATGGGTATTTTTTGTTCTTACTAGAGAAGTTCTTGGCACTGCAACAGTTGAACATTTTGCTCCACAACTGCATTAATAGATCCGGATTAATAAGTTAAATAAATAGTGTAAAAATGGTATTGTGATGCTATTTGGTAATATGAAGTACAGCAAATTATACAGCCTACAATTTTCATGTAAATCGGAAGGCATTTTTGTGCAAGTGTATCTGGCAAAGAGAAAACAAGAAATGCATGTGGATTGATACGTCGCCTGTCTGTAAAGAATTATATTTGTATCTCATTGAATTGTTTTTTTTAAAGAGTAAAGTTTGATGTTCTGCACAAATACGAAAGTCGTTCAGGTGTTTCTGTATTGTGTCTGAAAGGAGGTCCCCTCGGAGATATTCTTGTTTCCGTGACGTCCAGGCCCATACAGTACAGTTTCCTGTACTATTAAATCCCCACTGGTGTGTGTGTTGGATAACATCTGTCTTGTGGTTCAGTGTAAAATTTTGGTGTACATACACTCACACTGGAAGTATTTAATTAGAGTTTTAGGACTTTATTTCTTTTGTATTATCTATTGATAGTATGTACATGTAAATGGTAGTTGAGAGGAATGCACAATTTGCCAGGAAGCAATATTTTTACACAAGTGCTGTGGCAAACTGGTTTTATTGTCAGTCTTGAGAGGAGACTAGACTTCACAACTCGTGGAATCTTCCCTTTGGAAAAATGTCCTCAAGAGCCTCGATTGATGGCCTCAATTCAAGGCTGGTTATCCAAGCGTGTTGTGTTCCAAACAATCGCTGCAGGGAATTGGTAAAGTCTTAGAAATTATAATTCAATTCCTTTAACCCATGGGGTGTAAAATTCATAGTTGTCGACACTTGCACAGTCCACTTTGCGGCAGTGTGTCTACTCATGTAGCTCACCTTGTTATCTCTGTTAAACTGTGCCCCACTCTCCTCAGCGTCGACACTGAAGGGCAGATAAATGTCAAGGTGGTAGAGGTTGGGATGGGCATGGAGAAGTACTCGATCCTCGCCGAGGTCGAGACTCAGCGTCTTCGTTGTTCTCTGTGGAGAAAGGAAGAATGACTGTTATTTAACTGCGTGGATATCGAGAACTGTAGATTCTGCAGTTGAAGTCTCCTTGTAATAGTTATCGCAATGTTAAATCCGAAAAAAGTGGGACATCCCCTTCTCTTTCGGACCAGAGATTGCCTGAACTTATAATGATATATTTAGGCGAACAAATTCATGGCACAACATACACGAAAAGAAAATATCCAATTACGTTAAGGGGAAAAAATACAAGGTCACTCCCAATGAGTTTCAATAAAAACAATCAATTTACATATATAATTCATATGGCCAATAACATCAATGCCATGAAACTGCCTGTAACGTCGATCGTGTACCTGAAAACACATACATTAGCCTTCACTTTTAAAGGTACATGTAGACTATCAAACCAAGTTTTAAAGGAGCCCTTCAGTTCAACAGCATGGTTACAAAAACCATATAAGGGGTTAAAAACCGATACATCGACTGCAACTTTTAGCGAAACTGATCCTTTTTTGAAAATGGCATTTTGGAAATTACAAAAACCTACTCTCGAGACTTAGTCACGAGGGGGCAAAGTAACGTAACGATGTGTAATTGTTTGCAGGCGCCAGATATTTCCAAGAAACAACAAACACACAATGACTGGGTGTTTCAAAGGGGTACCACAAGGCCTGTAACAGTAATACATGACTGTAATTGGCCCAAACCAGCCCCAAAAATTGGTAATGACCTTATTATCTATTCACCTATAGAGATAGTGTGACCTGAATGCAGAGTTTTGCTTGTATTGCATTTATTGTCAACTGTTATTGTGAAATTCTTATCTGGGCAGTCGAGCCCACTAAAAATAAAAAATTGACTCTTGGAACCATTAAAAATATAATCGAAATTATTTGACGTTATTTTATTATTCAGGAAATTATAATGAACATACAGTGCATAGACTTCACAAATTGCGAGAAAAACCAAAACGTTTCATTTTTGTAAAGTTTTTGAGGGGTTACAGTTTTGGAAAAGATAACACAAATTTACGCAATGTTGTAACTGGTAACAAAATAAGGATTTCAGAAAACAACTAGTAGTACTTTTTAATACAGCGTTCTTTATGCTGCCCTTACGTGACATAAGGAAAACACTAACATCCTACAACCAGCAGAAGTACCGAGTAAGCACAGTATTCAGAGAGTTCGTTACAATACACTGTTCTTATTGGTTTTCTAAAGTTTCTACTTTGGACACTATATTTCATCCGCTATCTTTCCTGTTTCCCCCCACGTCAAACCAACAAGAAAATATCACACAAGATAAAGTAAGAGCATGTATTTCTATCGAGTAAGAAAAATGTGATATCATCAAGCCGTCAGTTCTGAATTCGGAAATTGGGGGTAACAGCACAGAAAACAAGCTCGTGGGTCTTTTTTTTTTAGGTGTCCCATGGGAAGAAAACACACCGGTACACTGTCAGGGGTGTTTGAGTAAACAACGTGGCCAGATAGTCAAGTTTTTGATTTTGATTTAATAAACCATGGTCACTACTTTTAGAGAAAACAGTTACTGCTTTTTACTATTTGTCAGACAAAAAAACGTGATAATACTAACCCATCATTTTGAGAAAAATGGGACAAAACTACCTACGCTTTCATTTTTCTGGGTTCTGAAAGTATGGTGCGGCGACAAATGCGTTATACATGTGCCACACCGTAATCTGAGTGTCACTATTTGGTACCGCACGCAGGTGAAACAGCAGGTCAATTCTGATAACTGCATGTACAGTAAATTCAACAAATACATGTATCACCCACAAGTCATTATGTTAACACATCATAGTTTGCGAGTTAAACAGAAAGAATGAACTTGGAAGTGAGCCAACTTTGTAGTGCTTTATAAGTTCATTTATGGTTCCGCAACTGCACAACAAAAACCAACAACAAATAAAGACCTCTGTTTTCACCATGGGACACCTTTTCTTAATTAGCGTAACCAGAAGAAAGTCCGGGGGACCGGAACTAGCAAGTGAAAATTCAGTACCCCCCATAACACTCAAGAAAATCGCATATCTTTTATGCTGTAGCCGTTCAGGTCAACTATAAAATCGACGCATTATGATCTTTCGCCTGCCTAACGTTAAAAGCTGCAGAGATCTGCACCCTCATAACCACACAGAAAATGAATTAATTATTCAGAAAGCCTCCATGTTCAACACGTAGTAGGCCTACCCATTCCCAACAACGAAAAACCCCTTCAGCATGAGCATAACAATAAAGCTGAAAACTGAAAAGCCCACCACTCACTGAAACGCTTCAGCCCATTCTTCCCTAACGCTTTCATGGTCTTTTGGCTGAAGGATTATACCGATTAGTTTCGGGATATTAATTACAAACTGGAAGAGCATATATACCGATCACTATAGTTTTCCTCGTTGTTAATGGTTGCGTTCAATTAAATGAAACGAGGGAACTCTCTAAGACCATGGTTTATTCACAGAGCCGTCAGAACTGGCTCAGTGTCAACATGGAGTCGTGTGAAGAAGAGCGTGGTCTACTATATCGATAAAGCCGAATACCCCGTGGACTAACACTGGTATTCCAGCTCTCATATGATCCTAACCCGTCTTTTCTAAAGAATGCTGGCGTGGTACACGTGTTCTGGGAAGCTGGTGTAGGATTACAATAAACCGTCCCCACGCTCAGCGTGCAGCGTTCGTGCACATAGGCCTACTGTATTCATTTCAGCCAGCGAGTCGGTCGACATCACGTCTGCAACAACGCCATTTCCTTCCTTGTACAGACGCGTTTCAACACACAACCGGTTTTTTTGTCTGGTTTTGGTTGTGGTTCAGTGGAGGTTTTGGGACATGTATTTCAACCGTTAAGTCTGGGCAAGAGTTCAAGATACACGTCACGTGTGTTCGTGGCGTTTTCTTTCCTCACACTGGAATTCTTCCAAAGCTGAATTCAGCAAACTACCGGTGTTCTGTGGAGGGCGAGTTTTATCTCGACGTGTCTCGAAAAGATACGGGTCTCTTGGTGGAGTGCGGTCATAAAGTGACCGTAAACGTCTATTATTACAGGGTTGACGTAACACGCGGAGACGTACCAACGAATGCCCAGGGCCGGGCTGGCCGGCTGTGCTGAGTGCGGCGGGAAACGCTAACGGAACGGCCTTGATCTTTGTACCGGACTATCAAGCTGTGTGCCACGTCTGCAACGGTTTCTTCAGGGCAAAAAAAAAACGTTTCTCTGTATTCGGCGCCATTGTTCAGATGCCTTTTTGACTGTGGTAGTTTCAAGTTGAGGTAAGTATCTTTAGCAACTTCTTTCTTCATAGCAAGTATGTATAACGGTGAATATTATAGAAACGATAACTAGAATTGCAGGTGCGTGGGGCAATAAGAACTGGTTTTGTGTTTGGAAGTTCGCGTTGTCATGATGACAGCGGTAAAAATGGTACATGTGGGAGAGCATAATTCGAGAGTGTAAAGTGTAAGGCTCACGGGGCACACAGTGACTCAGGGAATTCCCATATTCCCGTTCTTTGTAACCAGCAGAAACTCTATGTTTGACACAAATTTCTATATTTATTGCCCCGTTTGAAATGTTTGCTTTAGTTTGGTACGTTGGTGTATCTTTTTTAAAAAATCCGGACAACCTGCATGTTTATTTCATATACAATTACAAAGTCATGTACTATACGCAGCTGAAAGCACCTCTTTCCGGCTCCTTGTAATCGATCCGTCAGGTCAGCGTACATTTACAATAACAAATTATTTATGTCGCTCATTTTGCCGTCGTAATTAATGAATAGCAATTCCATCGTCGGAACATTCCACACCCGCAGACATGGAATAACAGGCGGTGTAGAGCTAATCCGCACAGCGTACTGGGGATGATTACGTTGGGTTACGACATGTGTGCAATAAATTTTGACTCCTTGACAAACGGACCCCTCGACACAGCTGCGCATGCAGCGTACATGGCGGACGAGCAGTGCCATGACATGTCAAGCAGTGCACGTTTTCACGGTAGTAAGAATCTTACATGACACCAGATTACACGGATCGACAAAATGGAATTTGAGATCTTACGTAACAGCCTGTTATCGTAATCATTTCATTACGGGGCTACTACCCACATCAACAACGGCAGATATTGCTATTGATGTAGGATTTGGAGCAAAATAACTTTCTTTTAAAAAATCGCTTAGCATCCCTTATCTTACAAAACCTCGGCGGAAACTTCACTTTTTAAACATCCATTTCCTGTTTTTGTTACGTCTAGCTCGGCGTGGTGTGATTCACAAGATAGCCGGAAATGTTTGTAAAAAAAAGAGAAACAAAATCACCATCAGGCCGGAGGTCGTTGGCCGGAGACTTTAAAGACGGTCAGATGTGAGGGCTGTTTATGGCCCACGACTGAGAAAACATGTCATGCTGTGCTCAATAGCTATGGACCGGCTTGGTTTCTTTTTTTAAAGCTACGCATTTATTTGTAAATTAAATATGTCAATAGTCATGAATGTTTTGAACACTATGATGGCCTCTAGATTTGTAACTTCTCAATTTTGTTTCGCGCGATTATAATTAGGATTTTATGTCAAACCATAGTCAGTTTATACAGCCATCTGCGAACATTAGACTATCTTTATCCTTGTTGCAGTTCGTTGTTTTACTAAGCATTAGTCCTTCCAACAATAAATTTGAAAGCATAAAAATTAATTAAGAAAGAGAAAGGGCAAAATTCGACTTTAATTCGACCAACTGCTTCTTACAGGAGTTAGAGAACAACTGGGTGTATAACAAAATTAAACAATTACCCCAGTAAAACTCTACTACCCCCTGCCAGGATTTTGAAGTTTTTTTACGGGGACTCAGGGAGAGAGAACGCAAGGAAGTTGAGAAAGTCTTCGCTGAATTGAAAGGAATCAAAAGTTGAAAGTTACATGTACACGGACGAAACTTGCAAGAATGCATGAAAACAAGTTACAAGTAGGTATTTTACTGTCACCTGGCACTGGGCTTAGGTCAATTTTCCGTTCCACTTTTTAGTTACGAACTGGTTGTGGTCAGCAAGCTATAAATACTGGTGTATTGTTCTTTTTCAGAAGCATGGACATCGCAGTATATGGATCCAAGAAAATGCTGAGCCCAAGACAACGCCGGGGAAGCTACTACAAGAAGAAGGGCCGGCAGGGCCGGCGGACCAAGCTGACCGGGGGGCTCCTCCGGGCCATCTCCGAAATCCTGGCTGAGATGGACATCCTGAGCATCTCCCACCTCAGCCAGGAGTTGCTGAATAGAGGACACAGCCTGTCGCGGTCCACCGTCTTCAGGGCTATGGAGACGCTGGGGCTTAGGGTTGACCGGGACAGGAAGGTATGGTGCGCTGGTCCGGTTGGGACCGAGGCTGGTGAACTGCGGTGGACGGCTAAACACAGCAACGGGGACGACGCAAACTCTACCACGCCAGCCCTGACACGAAATAATTCCGTTCATGCTGACGCGGGCTTTCTTCCTGGAAGAGCAGAAGACAGTCCACCGCTTTTGTTAAACGACATAAGTTATTCACAGCAAACGGAATACCGCGATCCGAAGTTACAATGCACTGCTAACAGAGACTCAGTGGAAGCTGAAAACACCGCGAATGGCCTGTACACTCCAACAAACAACGATAACACTGGCGTGACCCGAGGTGCGACAAGAGGGAACATGAAACAGGAAATCAACGACCAGAACCCTGCCTCTGAAGAATTCGAACTGACTCAGTCCACTGGGGGTCAAGAAACCCTTTGTCTTGCAGACAGATGGACAGACACGGTTCGAGACGGAGTAAGACGAGTGAGTATGACGTCACTTGTGTCCGCGCAGAGGAGGGGAAGGAAACGGAAATCGGATTGTCCAGCTAAATTTGGTTCACCCCGCAACTTAAAGGTGGACTCGACATCTTACTGGCCATCAACGGCTTCACCATCAAGACAAGCTACAAGAACCTTTGAGGTACATACATACCATATTCAAGTAAAATCACATTTAAAACAACAGTTCAAATAAAAACGGAAGAAGAGGAATTAAAGGCAAAACAAGGTCAAGGCGCAACAACAAATACCACAGAGAAGACAAAAAAACATAACATTAACAACAGCGCCTGGTGTTCTGAAAAATAATAAAATGAAATACACATACCTAGCTTTCTCATTCAGCTCATTTTTTTCTCTTTTGTTACACCCGACCCAAAATTGAATACTCATCAAACAAGGAAATTAAATAAACCAGTTATTTTTTCCACCTATTTGTTACTACATACATGTATGCAAAAGCCATTGTTGAATTTGATCAGAGGGAAAAACGTTTTGATTTCATTTTTATTTCTAAATTTAGGCTGCAGAACTATATTCATCAAAGACTGAAGACGATCAGTGGATACCCTCCAAAAGCTCTGTCAAAGCCAAACAAGCATCCACCTCTTCAAGTGGGGTCTATGGACGCGAGGCTCCTGAACTTGTGACAGAGCAAATTTTACATCTTCAGGAGAACCAGCCTAGAAGGAACCTGATCACAGAGAAGCGTCCGGCTGGTTTCCAAGGTCGAGCTGAACCTTCGCTGCTGTCCAAGACAACCTTGAGGCACTCTTCCTCAAAGGACAGTTTGATCTTAGAGCCAGAAGCCTTTCAAGACGAAACCATGGACACGGACAGGGCAAACCCAATAAACGGAACCAGCGGTTACCGGGAGGAGCTGGTTGGCTGTCAAGAATGGAAAGACAAATTGATGCTTTGTAGCAGAGAATTAATGGATAGCACTTCGAAAAAAGACAATGTGCACAGTTCAAGTACCTTTACCTTTCGGCGAGGCTACAGGTCTAAACACTGCCAAGAAACACGTGATTCGCTGGAAGAGGATCTCCTGCTTGGAGAATCTGCACCACAAAGACAACAACTTCAAAAGTCAGGCTCTCAACAATTACCTGTATCGAATACAGACACACAGAAGGAACTAATGCACAAAGATGCAGGGCATCAAATGCAGGGGCAAGCTGTTGCGGCAAATTGCAGACTGAATCGAGCTTCTAACGAGCAGCCTGTGAAGACATATGACAGCAGATGGTCTGGTGCAGAGGTAAATCGTCAGCGTCACTCTGACCAGTACCTGGGTAGGCCATCACGGAAAGCAAGTCAGTTCCTCCCGGGCGATCAAATTCAGAATAAAACAAGGGCCAATTTAACCATCCCAAGTTTTCAAAATATTCCCACGGAGCAGAAAACGTCCAGAGAAAATGATCCTCAGACGGCAAGGCTGCACGCACTAACTTCGAGCCTGGCTGCTAAGACATCATCAGTTCTGGGAATCGAGATAGGACGAAGAGGGAGGGAACAGTTGGATAAACTAACCTCTGATTCAGCTTCCAACAATCTCATCAGTGACTTAAGTGCAGGCAAGAATAAAGAGACAAGTTTTCAAACTAACAAAGAACCATTAGTAAAGCCAAGAGGCCTAGGACAGAAAGCTGTATCAAAATCATCTCTACCATCAGCCAATGGCCATGGTACATACTCTCCTTCCCCTCAAGATGAGTGCATCCAGTCGCAACACAACACCAATGGTGGAGGTAGTGCTCCTGCTTCATCATCAGTCACGCAGTGCTTTTCCATGTTTCTGCCTGAGCTTCAATCCTGGGTGAGTGACTGTCATCCCTTTCAAGTCATGCTTTTATTTCAATACAGAGATGATGAAGTGAGGGTTCAAGTGGGTGAAATCTTTACCGTTTTACCCTCAGCAGTCAGCATCGTCAGGTCCACTGAGGTTTAATTCCGTGTTTACACTGTCAGGTCAACAATTCGGGAGAACCACAATTATGTACATGTACGTGCATACTAGTTGGGGTTTATTTGAAACGCTGGCTATAAATCAAAATTTAGAGATTAGCCTGCTCCAAGAAGTTAAATGTCCTTCTTTCATAATAACAAGTGCTGTTGGTGTACATGTAGCCTGGAGTTTTGTATATTAGAACAATTTCCATATTCGCGTCTGTACTACCTCAGCTGCTTTGCTTGGAAAAAGGCCGGAAAAATTGGAAATGGTTGTGAGGTTTTTATCTCCTGAGTTCATTTCGGCACGTTTGCTACTGTATCCATTTCCTAGATGCAATTTGTCTCCGACAAGCTAGCATCCATGGAAGACCAGCTCCAATACCTCACAGAGATCATCACTCAACCCGCTGAGAAGACAGAAGAGGCAGAGCCCGGGACAGTCTCTGCTGAGTCTGATGCCATCGATAGTCTCAAAGAGGAGGAGGAGGAAGAAGAGGAAGAGGAAGAAGGCAGGGATGAGAAGGTGGAGGAGGCAGGTGAAGAGGATCCTGGGCAAAGTGAGAGCGAAAAAGAACCCGAGGGCCAGACATGGGAGACAACCTTGCCTCCCATTAACACACCAGAGAGCAACGGTAATTTGGGGTTATATGCCAAAGAGACCGATGGTCATTCCGTGAAATATAATGATGTCAGGCTGTGTTTACAGCATTGAATGCAGCCACATTGGTAACAGGTTCTTTGTCCATCATGTTGAGTGTCTGGACACCATCAACAAAACTGAAATAACACAGAAATACACGTATATCTATTTTGAGGATTTTACTGCTTTATTTCTGCTTAGATTTAGTTACTGTTTGGGCTTTAATGAGAACACGAAAAAAGCAATCCTACGGGTGAGTATGCAGTGTATGGTTAATTCAGAAATTATTCTGGAAGAAGATTTGATTTTGATTTGATTTAAAAATGCACTTTCAAAGTAACTGGAAAAAAACGATGAAGCCAAGTGATTCTCTTTCACTTGTTACACTGCAACGTTGTATCTCACGCAGATATGATCAAGAAGATCATGAGTGATGAACGCTGGAATACTTTCAGCCCCTATGTTGGCGGACCAAGGCTGGCTATCAGGCTTGCAAGGGACTGTATCTTTGGCTCGGAAGTCTTGTCCAAGTCGACAGTGACAGGACGGAATGGAATGAATCCTCTCCAGCGAGATGGTATCAAGAAGATTAAAGGTTTGCAATTCATATTTTATCATAATATGATTACGCCTTTAGATCTAAGCACTTCACAACACTGTGCTTTGATACACTTTGTATCTCAATGGATTCTGCAGCCGTGGGTTACACCCATGGGCATGTCTCATCTGTACTCAATCTATACTCAACCTGTAACCTATCACGATCCTGTAGACCAAATGTATATTGTAATTCCTGTTTCTACAGTGTATAATCTCCATTTCTGGCTTGTTTTGTCAGCACCGTACCCACAGATTCTGGTGACCTGATTTCACTCTGTAGCCTCCTTTGATCTGTACTTTTTCCAGAGTGCCTGATGAAGATGTACGGCCCAAAATGCAGTGGCGTAGAGTGTGAGATACTGTGGAAGATGGCACGGGAGAGTCTATCCCAACTGTGCAAGCGCACACGGCGTCAGTTTGCAGCAGAAGCAAGTAACCAAGACGTAGATGATCCAGATTATACACCATGAGGGGTAGGTATTTGCAACATAACAACTTTGAAGGGGGCTCTGTGGTCTTCTCACATGTTAAGTGAGTATGCTCCTCAGATGGCCTATGTGTACTAGTGTAACATACTTCACGTGGTTAATGTGCTTGAGCCAAACACGTAACCCCGAACAATTCAAGCATTGTATATATTATGCCACTGATATTTCTGATAAACGATGCAAAATAAATTCTCAAGAGATCAAATTCAGGAATGCATATACAGGTATATGTTTTGTGAATAGCGTTTGCCTTCTGCCAGTGCTTGTATTTAAAAAAAAGGTCAGAAAATGACTCTTAATTTCCCTATTTTGTCAGTATTTTTAATTTTGCTTTTGATAGCCACCATGTGCTTGGGGACCAAGATTGCAAAAATGAAAGACATTTCATACACCAATTCACTCTATATACACACAATATATTAGTGCAGTGGTTAAATAATCATCAAGTCTACAAAAGGTTGAAAGCAGTGGGATCCTTAATGCTTCGTGATGAAATTAAGTCTACAAATAATGCAGAATAAGTGATGCTCATGGTACAGTAACACCAGTGGATTACCAATTGCAAAAAATCCCACTGACACAAAATGTTTCATTTAAACTTAGTAATGTAGACCAGACAAACAGAAACATGTATATACATGTAGTCAGGTACCCCCACCATGACTGTGTGATGCCTTGCCTGTTCATCCCTCAAATGTGAACCAATGTTCTCTCTCGTGGTAAAGGTTACATTCATCTGTAATTGTGGGTGATACACCGTATATCTGCAGAAATCTAGATGCGGCCAGGGGACCGGGGATTTCATAGGAGTGGTAGTAGCCAATCAAATTACAGAAAAAAAATAGCTAATCCTGGTTCTTTGGAAGTTAGTAAACGGCTACTCACCACACCAGGTAGTTTAATCTCAACCACTAGGAACTCAGGATGCCCCTCGGCGGGCTCTCTCATGATGGTGTAGTCCGGCTTCGGGGAGGCATTGACCACTGTCTGAGGGCTGTCCACCTCTGTGATCAAGGGAGCCCTGGGCTTCTCCTGAGTGCCTGTGCCTGGGCTGTTCCCATCGGCCGATTCCATCTCGAGGATCCTGGGTTTTGATTTGGTCCGGATATTGTGCTCATTGAGGTTTCCGAGACTCTTTCTGTTCTTAAGCTGTATCCAATCTGTAAGAAAAGGACAACTTGATCATTACTTTTCTTTTCTTGTGAATTACTTTGTTACTCATTTAACTTGAACAAAAGCCTGGAAACTGTTTAACAGAAAGAGTTTTTAAGAAAGGTATGTAACAGGTCATGTACTTACAAATGCTGTTAAACCATGTAGAAATTTCGAAGACATATACATGTACAGGAAGAGTTAACTATGCAGTTCGTAATGTAATTTTTATAACTTTCGTAACTTTCTTTTCTTGAAACTTTATAATTTCTGGAATTGAGAAATATAAAAAAATGGGACATTACATGTGTTTCAGGAGATTTTAAAACTGGTGGTTTTGTGCTTTCGGTGAAAATTATCTCAAAATTCTTTTGGAAGAGTTGACATTAGGAAGTATCTCTGAACTGGTAACATCTCTGTTGCATAGTCTTGGAATAAGACAAATTAGAGATCCCCTGTGTTCTCAGCAGTGATTGGTTCTTGACTTCACAAAGACTAATGTTCCTATACAGGAGTCGGTGTTAAAGCCAGCCATATTTTAGTGCAGGACAATATAGTAATGGCAAAGGGAGGGAGTGAATCAACCAGAGTCTTGCGGATCACGGCTTGGGGTCCAGGGGGGGCCTACTTAAGGGGACTCTAGATCGCTTTTTCAGTGAGTTTTATTTCCAAATTTATTAAGAGTTCAAATTCATTTAATTTTTCCAGGTAAAAATATGAAATTTCCAAAGCGATTAATGTTTTTTTCTGGGATTTTTAAGGATTAACTATAACATTGACAGGAGTCCTTTGTGTCTTCTGGAACCAATCTTTCAGAACTTCTGGGCATAGAAATATGCAAAGCTTAGAAATTAGGTGAGGTAATCTCCTAAAATGTTTTGCTTCATGTTTACCTATCTTGTTTTGTCAGCTTGAAATCTTAGATGTCTTGAAGGAAAATTTTGGGAAAAATAAAGAAAAAAGTGTCTGTTTTAGTGTGAATGCGATGCCAAAAGGTTCAATGGACTTAGTTATGCTTACAACTAGTACACTTTAAAAGTTTGTTCATTTCATTTGAAACAAATGCCATCCAACTTTTCTTGCTGTTGTCATTTTTAAGAAGTTAACACCTAGCTGCACACTGACCAAGTATTATAAAAAGTGAGAAAAAGAAATTCCTACCAATACATCTCCTGTTTTTAGATGCCATGTACATGTAATGGGAAGCAGAAGTGTATATTTTATTTGGTCGCCTTACTAGTCCACGAGTTCTGTATGCCTTACGTGTGACTGGTCTTGCCAAGTTTGGTCAAGCTCATGAAGTTGCCCAGCAGTATTTTGTGTTACTACACCTCGTAAATATTCATGAGCAAATCGGAGCACGTCATTGGCCGATTCCACCTCGCATCTGGGAAGTAGAAATGATACGCGACCAGGTGACATCATAACGGTGAGTATCTACCTCACTGCCGTGCAATTGTTTTTTCTTGTAGCATAAAAAATCCCTCTGGAACCCAAAGCGTAAATATGTAGTCTGTGTCATGTAATCTTTACAGAACCAGTCTATCTGGAGTTGTATCCTAATAACTATTACAGTAAAGACCCAAAACATATGTCAGCACCAGACTACTTGAAGCCCTGTTTCTATGCACATCTGCACTCCACTATCATTACATGGAAATTTAGCAGCTGAGAAACCAACAATGGTGTCTGTGAGTACAAGCAACGTGAGACTTCTGTTTGAATATTTATGAGGTGCAGTAAAACAAATACAGCATGGTTTATTTCGGGAAAAATGTTGGGAAATACTGGTCAGTTTGACTAATTCCCTCCGCTTCGCGTCAGGAGGTAATCAAGCTGACCTACACCTCAGGGCCAGTAATTCCCACTCCTTCCCCTCAAACCATGCTGCATTTGTATAATAGGACACTCTATGAAATTCTGGCCCGAATGTTGGGAGGCTCAATAATGTAAGTTCCCGATCTTAGCTTTTTATACATGATGTTGTATTCTACATGTGTTTACATGATCATTTAATCCCTGTTAAAAAAGTTTTTGATACAAAGAAAGCTGAATAAAGCAAGATACTTGCTGAAGTGACTCCAGGACTTACTTCTGTCAAGCAGAATTTGGTATTTGTTTTCCAGACCCTCAAAGATGACAGACATCAAGAAACCTTTAAAAACGTCGCTCTTCTGCACTTTCTCATAAAAGCTTGTGTTGATGAGAACATCATAAGCAATGCAGCCTTTCCCACCTGGAAGCAAAGAAAGATTTTCTATCAATCCAAAGAGGAGATGGTGTACTCCTACTTATGTTGGAAGATATGGTGAAAGGCTCATCCTTCCAGGCCATCTTAAATTACTCCAGTCAATTCTGAACTCGTCTTGTGTTGAATTTGAAGAAGCTGCCTAGCACAAAAGTTTACGGAACAGAGAAAATATTTGCTTTGCGGAAACAGTTGCTTGCCCAAAATTCTTGTAATGAACATTACATTGATTCTGACCAGCTCCTGCCAAGTTATGCTCAACAAAGCTGCGAAGTGAATTAGGTCTTGATCATGGAGCAAGAGTAGAAGAAGAGCCTACGATATGTTTGCAGAACTCTATCCATTTTCATTAGACTACTTAATGCTCTCAACTCATATTGAAAAGTAGTTGAAGCGTTCTCTTCTCTTAGGCCTTCACAAGCAACATTTTCGTGCATTACACACTTTTCATCATTTCTCCCCGGATGAAACTTCAACAACCACCCTCCTTGACAATGTTCAAAATAAATCAACCTCTGTTCCTTCATAGGACTGATAATTACTTTTGTCCACTTCTGCATGTCCTTCACCGATACTTAGTGGTACCCTGTAGTTTGGCTCATCAGATTCAAGGATTTTTACCAACTCTCCCTCTGTGATGTCTAAAGGAGCTGGAAGCTGTGAGGTGAAACAGAAATTCATTTAATGTATGCCTGCTCATCAGTGCCTGAGTTTTGCTTAGCAGCTTAAAGGGACTCCAAAATGTTGGCGAGGAGACAAATAAGCCAGCTCGGTATTCAAATAAGTCAAGTTCATTCTGGATAAAATACTTGAAACATGTTCAGTGTGTACGAGAATAGAGGAAGGACACAGAAGGAGTTTGATCTGCCCGGGCTATAACATCTGGCCAATTTCTGCTTTCTGGCATGCCAGGTATGTCCATAGCCAGAGTGCAGCGAGTGCTTGCTACGTACCATCTGTTTCACAACCATGAAACCCCTTTGTACCCTATGATCGCTGCCGCAATTTTTCGCTGGTAATCTGCATCCATAAAACTTTGTGTACTGAGGTATAGGAAATTGAATATTCATGCTTTGTTGGTGCTTGGTATGATCTCACAACAACATCAAATTTAATGCTTGCGCAGTCGCTTGTTTGGCTAAGATACAGACAGTAATGGGGCATTTGGGGAATGTTTTCTATTATTGGCCGACTCGGCGGCGACCATCACTGAACACTTTGAAGTGCCAGAGTTGCAATTCCTTCTGTGTCCTTCCTCTATGGTACGAGGCAGCTGACCACACACACACACTGATAAATCCCAAAAGACCTGATGCAATCCATTTTGTGCATACAGTTTTTTAATACATTGTGCCTGACTGGCTCACTGAAGAAAAAAAACAAATCAACTTTATGACCAGTATTTTTCAACACATACATGTACAGTGTACTTAGACAATAAAACAAGTGCACATTTCATATCAGTCACAGTGGGATACACGATGTAAATTTTTTCAAAGTGTATATTTTGCCATCAGTCGGTTCCACTTGACTGTTATGCACCCTTCAAGTCGACAACAGTGTGTACTCAAGAACATATTTCACTTCAAAGGGGAACACAAGGTTGGTTCTTAATTACCTCAAATGACACACAGACATTGATGAAGACCTTCTCCTTCTTGCCGTTCTTCGTTTTAATGCAGAAGCCTGGCTCTGGCTTTACTCTGTGGTAGGTTGGGGTGGACGCATTGGGGTCAAGGCCTTGCATCTCAGCAGCCTAAATGTACATAGAAATTGGTGGGAGGGTAAAGAGAAACAGACTGCTGGTATCAGTAACTCTGACAGAGTTATATCTGTGATGAATGTTGACGTTTGCAACTTTGAAGTACGTGCGTAAATCTCCAACAGGACAGGCAGGGGAGAAAGACAACCGTTAGTCAAAACCAGGAATCATCCATCTGTCCTGATGTACAAAAGTTCAAAAGCTCCGCATTGGGTTTAGTTTTACTAAAGGATGTTTGGATTTGTTACACAATCCACAAGCTTACCTGGGATAAGTTTATGTTTATGGTCCATCATTTTCCATTGCTTGAGGAAGCATATTCCCACACATGTATAACTAACACTGTAACACAACAACCAAGTACATTTAAGTACTAACAACTTTTGTCTATGAAAACTAGCCCAATTGCATGTCAAGTAGGCCTGTGTTAGACTGTGAAGCCTAATATTTAAGCATGTTCTTGGTCGGAGGCTACCAAGTACATTTAAGTACTATCAACTTTTGTCCATGAAAACTAGCCCCACTGCATGTTATGTAGGCCTATGTTAGACTGTGAAGCCTAATATTTAAGCATGTTCTTGGTCGGAGGCTTTTCAACCTACTGCACACTTGTTGGAAAATCTCTATTCAATTTGAGGATGCAACTCCCTATACCATCAAGGAGCTCCGTGACAGTCTGCCATGAAAACAAGCACTACGAAGAAGCCAACTATGTTTTCAACTTCCTGTAGGTTGTGTCCTCAGGTTGTGAAAGCTCCAGGATGAACACATAAAAGCTGAGTCCGTCCATTTGAACAGGGAATTATGTGCTTTCTTCCTCATTTACAGCAATATATGTGAATACAACTCTCTTTTGCTATCCGCCCCGAGTTGAAGCGCACCCCAAGCGACAAAAGAAAGACAGTTGGTAGTAAGTTTTCCAAGCGGGTTCTTGCTCACGCTCTGCGTGTACGCAATGATATTACAGTAAGGAATAAATTTGTCATACGTACTCAGTGTGCTCTGTGTCAAGCATGCCACTGATCCCATTATAAACGCGCATCTGTGCGGTGAATACTAAAAAAACACACTCTCTTTTGTTCCGCTCGGAGTGAATAGTGTGGGAGATATTTTTATTGCATAAAACAGTGGGGAAATTTTGAAATTAAAAACAACAGGACTTAGGCGCATGCCTTGGTGTAGTACTACTGCCACTGTAGGTGTGGTTTTACCTCCCTAAGTTTGATTCCACATTGGTCAGCCAGCACTGACCAATCAGAGACATGAGACAAGACCCAGGCTTTAAAGCCTAAAGGACATGTGTAAATGAGTCAGGATGCTGTTCAGTTGGGAATTCATTTTTTTAAAAAGGAAAATGTGATTAAAATTTGTCTCTCTGTCTCTTTGTCTCTTGCTCCTCTCTTTCGATTGCAAAGGTTTTGAAATTTCAAGTGAAGCTAGCATTTAATTCCTTGACATATAAGGCACGAGAAAGAACAAAACTTTTATGAAAATCTGAATTGTAAGCTATTCATTCAAAATCCACATTCATTTTGTGTACAAAATAATCAGTTACCATGGTTACTGTTTGTCCTTTGGCTATATACTTGCCTACAAAGTACAAACATCCCAAAACATCTCAAATATCCCTACTTCCGATGGAATCCAAACTATATAGGCCTAAAGTTGTATCAAAATGTTTCTTCTGAAATCCTCTTTCACTTCACAAAGAAAACAGAAAAATAGTTGAAAATTTATAGCACAGGGCGAACCCAGCAGTAGTACGCCTAACATAATTTATACCTCGTTGTGCCGACCAACAGCAATGCACGCGGAAAGTCATGAAAATTAGACACGCTCAGTAAACCACGATGGATCTGAAAGGAATGTTCTTATCATAATTCCTCCACCATTCTAAAACCATTTTTCTAAAACCTGAACAAAATATGCCCAGCCAACCAGAACTCCCCCTTTTTGCTTGAAACTTCTCGCCCTTTCTAACCTGCATCAGTAGCTTTCTGTACATTGTTTCTTCATCCATGGGCTCTTCGTTTTCATGCGGTTCCTTTGCCACATCCAAAAGAGTTGAATCCGTCACGGAGGCCGCCATTTTCGTAGTGCTTGACAACGCGCCCTCTGGAGACCGGGCAAACTCAGTCGAACTTTCTCAATAAATCGGCTACTCTCGCCATCCGACTGACCCCCCCCCATCTGGCTTTATTGCTTGATCAATATCCGAGTGTTATACATCGAATTATTGCAGCTGCTAAAAGGCATGAAAACCGTAAGTTATAAGTTGGGCAGGTCCCTTGATTTCTTCGGAGATAATTTTGTGGAGGCCCATGTAAAGGGCGTGACCTACATTATCATGATAATTTACTGTGGATTTTTTTTCATGGTTATATTCCCAATTAACATTAATTTACATTTTTACAGGTGGATAAAATACAAATGGATCAAGTATAACAACGTTGCAGTTTTATTGGTTTCTAGGCTACATGCCAAACAGCTTCAGTCACAAAGATACACTGAACTTTGGCACTGCAATTTGCATGAGGCTAAATTACCGCGTAGGCTATGTCACGGCACAAGAATGTGTCGCCATGCCAGGCCTATATCTTACCGTGACGTCTACATGACCTCCAGGATAACCTCACACCGTTATTATTATTCAGAAAGGGCAACATGGGGGTCATGATTTTGCAAGTGCACGTAGCCACACCACACGGGCTGTTTTTAAATCCTAAAGTCTTATCGGAGACTGTTATCTGGGGTCCAAACATTCGTGGAGCTTGAATCGATCTGAAGCTCAGACGAACTGAACAGCTATCGCGTAGCGAGCGGCGTGGACAGCTTTGCCAAGCTGAACTTCACTCCGGGCCGGGCGTGCGCGCACTCGGTTCATACTTACAAGGTACTACACAGAAATTAATAGTACAGTGGGCTTATTGTAATATTGTTTTCACTATATGCTTTAGGTTCTCTGTGATAATGATATGCAGTGTTTTATGCACTGCTGTTTCGCGTATATCACACACGGACTGAGCATAGTATAGCATGTTGCCGCAGTGCATGCTGCCATGTCCTGTTTCCTTGTTATTGGAATCGGATCAAATGTACTCGTCACGTGTAGACCTATATGGCTTAACTGGAACACAGCCTGCCTGACCTGTGTGCTCCAAAGTAGCTTCCTCAGTTTGTCCAAAGTGTTCCTTAATTCTAATACCACAAACGACTGGCGGGAACCTACAGACGTACAAGGAAGGGACTTCATTCTGTTATCAACCTCCAGTCATCCAAGGAGTTAATATATGCATGGAGGTGTGTTCCTTCCTCCATGATATATGCCTATGAGGAGGTTTAATTCATCGGTTGACAATTCTGTTAACTTGTCTGCTTGCAGAATGTCCTTGGTGCCTCACGTCTTCCACTGAGTTAGACCTACACTACAGGGAAACCTCAGGCTGGGTCTCCTCCGTCCGAGTTGCCATCATGTGTGGTTCGCCGTGTACCCCTAATCGTATCTGGTCTTGGCTAGTTCATCATTTCCCACCGCACCCGACGGACTTCGGCCTGAGTGAAGATGCCACACTTTTCATGCACTCCCAGGTGAGGTCGGGGATTATACATACACAAAGTATATGATTGCGGGCTTGTATGTTTCGCTTTCGAGAAGGAATATTTCGATCTCTAATAATTATTTCAGTGAAAGAGATTGGATCTGCTTAATTTTAACCCAAAGATGAACTTGCCATATATCCGTATAACACTGAGAATGAAACAGAAAAAGATCGCCAAATTATTTAATTGTGTGATAGCTAAGATTATATTAATGGTAGGCCTGACATATGTTTCCAACTATTAACTTCGACCGCGAAAGTTTCCCACTAACACACGGATTGTATAGACTGTCCGTATAGACTTATAACAGACTTCAAGGCTGTCTTTGCCTATAAGATGTTCATTTCCCTCTGACATTTGGCACGAATGAACTGACATTTGGCACGAATGAACGTTCTCACGAATTCAGTCTGTATGAAGGAAGACTGCAAACTTTGCTCCGACAAGAAAACTCGCGAGCTTCAATAGCAGTTGTGGAGAGTCTTGAATCTATAAATCATACGAGCACTTGACGAACAAGGCTCCTCGACTGACAGCGAAGGTTTGGTTCAGCCAGGGACCCACCATTCGCACCTCACAATAGTCATCTATTGTGAATGTGCCACTCGGGCAAACATTGCGAACAATACCTGGAATCCTAGCCTCTGTGGCCTTGAGTTAACCATTATACGAATGAACTATCTGCTGGGCCGAAATTGATCCACGACAAATGGATCCCGTTTCAGAGTAAAGACCCAAAGTGGAAAGGCCTTGTTATCTGATAACAACTGGCATTAGGGTTGGGCAAAACATGCATGGACAAAGTGTGTACATATAGTACATAATACTGTACAGGTACATGTACGCCGGATTTCAACGGATCCGACAGACTACTGCATGTGTGATGGCTGAAATGTTTTCCTTCTAAGAGAAAACACACACGATTGCTTGTTGGCTCAGGGCATGCGCCAGGTCCCACTATGAGGAAGAAGTTCTGAATAATGTTCTAGAGGAAACAACTTTTATCAATATTCCCTGTCTGAAACAAGCACGGCTTGACTAGCTCGAATCAAGCGTCTAACCTCGGGTGGATGATGATTCCCGACACGAAGTAGCCGTAAAGTTATTTTAGGTAGGCCTACTGTCACAGCGCCTCAACGGCTTAACCTCAGTGCATGTAACGACATTATGCCTAAATTTGCACGTCATCCGCCGGATAATTGTTTCTTCTAATGGGAGGCACATAATTTTTATGTGTAATTGCTAATATGCTGCTGGTATCATTATGGTTCTATACGCGCACATGCACAATTGGTTTGCGAACAATAATAAAGGACCGGACCTGTGTGCGGTTTCTGAAACTGAATGTTGGATAGAAAACTTACACGCAAATGAGTGTTTAGACGGAGGACGTTATCAGCCCTTTCTCCTGCATAATCGAAAATATGTGAAATTTAACGATAAAGAATCACTTATGGCAGTGAATGGATCGCGGTACCGTGCTAATCATAAAACCAATCCTTCCAATGCATTCCTCCTTCCCAAATCACCTCACAAAGTGGGGTGACTTGTCTAAATCCAAGATGGCCGCCACACTGATCGATCAAAGTTCCAAAGTGGGATTGGGAACACCATACACATACAGATTTTTAAAGGGACAAGCATAATAAAGATCAGCTACACGTGATCATACAACTGCTTGGTGACCCACCTCCACTGGATTGACAGGTCAACAGTTATATGACCAACACATGCCGTTTCCAATGGTGATGTAGTCGGCTATCTATCTGAGTCGGGGAGAGGAGAAGGGAGGGAAAACAACCAAACAACCACCTATTGTGCAAGGTCTTTTTTAAGTGTCCTTTGTATTTGATGCATTTTTTTTCTTCTGCCGACAGTGGTCCATACCTCAGCCCGTCTTTATCGCCTACCGAGCCTTCTTGGCCTGTTACACTTTCGCTTGGCTTATTATGTCTATCGTCAATGCGGGCCAGACAACGGGGCTGGGTGGATTTTTTGTCTTCCTGACCAACTGGACCTACATTTTGCTCAGTTTTTATCTCGTCATCTCATGCATATCCACATCCTATGCCTCGTACAGGACCAGACAGTGCCCATCAGATGGTAAGTACATGTATAGGCCTACACAATGCTGAGTTCTAAGTGTTAATCTTAAGCAGCTCCTAGGTCCGCGCGGGCTGTGTAGCCAGGTCAGACTACATGCACAAGATGTAAGTACATGTTGATCGTGCTCATCCCTTGCATGTCGATGGTTTCATCAAGGTCAGATTCCACACATTGGATGCAAGTAAGCTCAGCTGGTATCTTGCCAGTTCCTGCATGTATGCGACGTATACACGCTCAGAAAGCGCACCTCGGATTGTAAGTACATCGTGCAGAGTTTGCGCCTCATCTTCCTGGTCTCTGTCCTTCACAAGTTCAGACAGAGCACATCGTATGGAATCATATATACTGACCTTAAGACCTGACCTTGACAGTGTTTTTATTTCAAAGGCGTCTGGAGCTTTTACAGTTAAAGTGAAACATGCATGTGAAGGGCAAGTGGCTTAGGGCATCTGACCCCCCGTACACTTTATTTTTATAAAGGTAAATGTGCACTTTTTGATTTCCTAAAAGTGAGGAGACACGTCCCTTCTCGTTAGACTTTGACCTTATTGCTGCGATCAAAGTTAACAGTTATTGTAGCTCGGCTGAACTTGGTGTCAGTAGACAGACTAATCAATACTATACATATCATTGCAGTATTTGGTTCGAACACAGGTAGGTGATTTTGGCACCAAATATTGGAGACACTATTCTGATTTTGCCCCCTGAAGACACTCCCCGACAATGGCCCTTGAAATTGATCAATGAGTAAGCACTATTTTCCTTTCAGGAAACCTCAACAAAGCCGAGGCTGCCCCCATTCGTCAACCGGGAAGCAATGACAACTACCCGCAGTCATCTTCACCAGATTCCGAATCGTCAGGTTCAGTGCCAGAAGACATATCTCCTCAGACAACTCCCACACGGCTACCGTTCTACTTCAAGATCACCTGGGTGCTCCTCAACGTGTGTCTTGCTTTTGGACCCATCATCAGCATCATCTACTGGGCTTTCATCTTCGACCCCGAATTCGTCTACGCCAATCAGGGAGGCGCCTACGGAGTAGCGCTGACCGTCCACCGTCATGCATTCAACACGATCTTCGTGTACCTCGACCTTGCCGTGTCTGCCTCACCGATTACATTCTGGCATTTTGTCTATCCCGTCGGGTACGGTCTGCTTTATATGTTCTTCTCCCTGGTGTATTACTGGGCTGGAGGGACTAACCCTTACATCGACAGCCCAGCCATCTACCCTAGCCTTTTGGACTGGACCAACCCCGGAAAGACCATCGGGGCGGTAATAGCCTTCGCGGTTGTTGCAATCGTCTTCCATTCCGTCGCCTACGGCTGCTACCGGCTGCGGATGTGCGTGGCGGGTAGGTTTGATATGCTGACTCGAGCCCAACTGCAGGCGAGAACCTTGCGAAATGAGACCCACGCCGGGCCTGGGGAAGAGGAAAACCAGAGCACGGTCGTTGTGTGAGCGGCGACGGTGACGTCCTTAAAGGATATCTCAGATGGATGAAAGGACGCCCATGCCAGTTTTCAAGAGTTGTTGACAATGTTCGTTATTGGTGCTTAGAGTTCGTGGTTACCACGCCTTTTTGGATCTAGGGTGACCCTTTTTCACCTAAGAAAAATTTTCACCTTCTTAAGGAAAAACATGTAACTCTGAAGTACATGTACATGTAGTACTTACCTATATATGGTTGCTTTCAAAAAGCTACCAACACTGTAACTCAACACAGAATGTACATAGATTCGAGACATCCTTATTTCATAAACTTCAAAGTATATCAAGGGCCTCACAACGTCACTTGAAGGTTTGTTTATAATGAAACAATTCTGCGTGTTGCAAACCAATCACTGAGTTCCATGCCTTCGATCTAAGTTTAGGATAACATAAGTATACTTGAAAGGGTTGCGGTCTTAATGGGAGACTCTAAGGCGCTTGGTGGCGACAAATATTCTGGTCGACGTCCTTTTTACCAGTTTTTATATAACGCATGCATAATTCTGAGCGCACGTAGCACCTTGAAGAAGGACCGCTATGTTTGTTGCCACCTGTGTCTCAAAATCTCACACTGGTCTTTTGTTTATACGTAAAAATACTTGCTTTTCATAGTCCATGGAATAGCGCGGTACACAGTCACAGCATTGCAAAATAATTGGGTACTACTAGCATTATAATGGGCTTTACAGAATGACAAAAAATCGATTTGAAATGGATGAAGAAGTAAGATGTTTTCTGTTACATCTGAGATGTATTTATCAATTTATTTATTCTACTACAAGTATAGTGTACACCTCGATTGTACATGATTTGGAATCTTGACGGTGACTAAATTAAGACAAAAAGGTTGCATTACGCGTGCGTAAATAGATGTAAAATCAGCCAACATAGATCAAGCTTGATCTCCCAAAAGGCGATCATTCATGAAGCTTTGACATTCACCAACTAGAATTAAGAACTACAAAATTCCCTCACTGAAAACTAGCTGAGGGAAAGAAATCAATAAAATGTTTTGAAATAAAAAAAAAGAAAAAGCCATCGGATCGCGCTTTCCCACGCCCTCCTTTCCAAGACTTTTGCAACACTAAGTTGGATGAAGATTTTGACACTTTGAATCACAATGCTCTTCCTAGAGTCACCTGTTGGTGTAGGCACTGATAGCATAGCCAGAAATGGGTGCATTCATTAGATGGCCGAAATCCAACCTGTAGGCCTGTTTATTTCACACAAATCCGGATCGCATCAGTGATCCAACGTTAGTTCACTGACATCAGCACCCACCTAATGGAAGGAGCGAGGCAGCATCGAGATCACTGATTGAGATTTAAAATAAACAGGTTCTACGTGCTGCCTTTAACGCCGGTGCGCCTACGCGAAGCGGCTGCGATGGGAGTCCAGGGTTCTCTGACTGTTCCAGGATTTCAGATGCTCCGTGGTGCCGCCGAGGTTTGGAAGAGAGAAATGTTTTAAATCTTAGAGGCAAACTCAGTCGACTTGAAAATAAACAGGGCCGAGTCGTGCTCGCCCAAACCCCATTGAAGATTATCTCCCAGCATGATATAGGGCATAACCTCAGATTTCATGTTACAGGTACTGAAAAGATCAGTATCAATCAAAAGTATCAACTGAATCAGTTTGGGCAGTGAATTACACTACAGTGAGCCAAAGTTAAAGTACTTGTAGGCGTATTTGCTTAATTCTTCTCGACAACAATAATTCTGTACAAAAATATCAGTCTATTTTTATGAAAGTGAAATTAAATAATTAGGCCTATGCTCAGTCAAAACTGTGTGTAATATTCGGCGCGAAAATGCTAGCACTAATGTAAACTACTGCTAAATATTGATTTTAAAAATCACAAAATATTCAGTAAGAATCACAGTTTACTTTACAAATTACAGATTTATAGTAAAACACAATGCAATGAAGGCCGTCGTTGTGAATGCACATGAATGGAAAGTTCCATTTTGATTGTCTTCTGGCCTCCCGCCCTTGCGTAGCTTCTACCCTCAGCGTGCACTTGTATTCTCATAGACTGGATTGTCTGCGACATGAAAAAGTTAAACAATGGTTATGTATTCATCGAACAAAGGGACAATTCACTGCAGGTTCATACATTTGCAGCGTCTGAAACGATGGTAAATTGAATGAACCACTGGCAAGGTTTGACATTGTCCTTCTTAAAACAAGCTCAATAATGAGGGCGTTAGTATTTATTGGTATCCATGCATGTGAAAATAATGCGTTTCAACAAAACCTGGATGGGCAATGCAGGCCAAAATATTTCATAAAGTGGCAAACAAGGTCGATGGGTATGAAAAAAGCATCAAATTATTTCATAAGAGGAAAGCTCATTTACAAGCATGTCAAACTGCAGACTATACAAAAACACTTAATAATGGATTTGCTCTAGTGAACGAGGTAGGAAAAAAGGTAAATGTGGTTTGATGTAGATGGCACAAATGACAATGAATTATCATGCTGGCAGAGGCATGTGCTTGACACCAGTTAACCATATTGGAAGTGTAAACAGACACGGCCATGCAAAAAAACCCTGCTTTTGAAGTTAATCTTTGTCAACAGTTTTTACCTTTTACAGCTCCAGGTGTATTCAAAGCTGCACAAAATACAACAATCAGAAACGCATGATGTCCCAGTGATAACAAATACATGTAAATCACAAAGGCCCTACTACTGTGGCATGATCGCAGCACACTATCCACCTAGAGCAGAAGCGCTCCCTCATCGGTTAATTAGGGGAGTTCATTTTGTCGGCAGCGATGCAGCCGTGACGCATGTATTTCATAGTCGTTTGTGTACCGGCGAAGTTCAGTTCCCGCCAAAGGAGCCTCCGTTGCTAAGAAAATAGCGCCCTCTCTTGGTCCAGCTCAAGGCCCATTGACGAAGGCAGAAGGTGGGCATACAAAATGAAAGAGCATGACGTATGAATATTCACTGCAAGTCACAATTTTTCATTTTCTTACCCATATACGAAGATGCGGCTGTGGATGTGGTACCTTTCCTCCAGTTATTGTTGGGTGCCTTTGCTCCATTAGTCTGGCTTTCAGATCTGGAATACACTCCTGCAGAATAGGAAACAAATACATCTCCAAAATAAGACCACTAAACTAAATTTGAGATGCACTACATAGAATAATTTCTGCATGGGACCTAACTCAAGCAGCTGAAGATTCCCCTTTACGGCCTCGATAAGAAAGCCATTTTAGATCAGATTAATTTAAGATCAGATAAATCTGGATGAGACTAAATCAGATGAGACCATACTAGATCGATTGTGGGTAGAATCAGAGAGAATAATGATTCAACAGTGAACTAGGATGAACACGGCAAGGAAGAAACCAGAACAATTTAGCAAATGAGTCAAGACAGAATGACAGGAAGAGGTAATTTCCATCATCTCTCTCACCAGACTTAGAGTCGCGGAAGTCACCAGTCTCCGGCGCGCAGTACGGGCAGCAGGCCAACACCCACCGCTGCCGCATCTCCGGCTGCAGCAGGCACTGGAAGACGAAGACGGCGAAGCCCTGCAGGGAGTTGAAAGCGGCGAAGAGGTAGCTGAAGGTCAGGCTGGCATCGCCGATGGCGAAGAAGCCCAGGAGCCAGGTCAGCCCCAGCAGGATGGTGACACTGACCGTGGCCCGGAGCTGGGCCGCCACGTCGAAGCGATCTGACGTGCTGATCTTGCTCTTGCGCAGTTGGCACAGCTTCCAAGTGACCGCCACGAAGACTACCACGTTAAAGAGGAGAATGAGGCAGACAGGGAGGAGGTAGGCCACATAGAATGGGATCCCACTCAGCCAGCACCTTGTAAAATAAATACATAGGCTGGAGTTATTATCTTCGGACGGGCCTCCACATCCGGCATCGAACATGCGTTACATTATTATGCTCCTTCATTCTTGCATCTTCTGCTGCTATACGAAGAGCAACAAATTCGCGTTATTGGCCCTATAAAACCTTTAGTAGCAAAGAACTTTAACGCGCTGCCTTGCGAGTTTGGGTAAACTAATGAGCAATCCAACTTACAGATCATCATTGCTGCCATAGTTTTGAAGGTCTGCACCTAACGTTATCCCGACAATGACAAGTGGTATACCTGGGAGAAAAACAGCAGTTACAGTGATCAGCTTTCCATTTTAAAATACCTGGCTTTATGAAATTCAGAAATCACTACAGGTTTGGTCAAATTCACAAATAACCAAGTCTTTCGAAGTAACTTCCTCCAAAAGAGAGTGGAATGCATTGCCAATGCCACCTCTTGTTTCTTTGACATTATTCAAACGCAGTCTCAGCAATCATCTTAACGATTTGTTTCACTAGAAACAAACGTTACCACTGACCATAAGTCTCTCTTATTACGGTAAACCCTTCTTTTTATAGCCTGACCAAGTTGATATTTTAGAATCGAATTTCTATGTTACTCTGATTCCTATGTACACGTATTAAACACGTCACATTTTCAGACATGATGTTTAGTTATACTGCTTTAATTTAAATTTATTGAATTTATTGTAAACTTGCCTTCAATGCAATCCTTGGGCTGTGATGGGGAAGTAAAATAAATAAATCCATAGAAAAGAAGTGCCAAGTGCCATGGAGGTGAGATTTCAAGTGGACTTTAATTTATCAACGTGTATTGACAGCGTCAATTAAGACGACTCACCCCAGCCCACGATCACCATCTTGAGCAGGAAGTGAGAGTAATACGTTGCGAAGACCCTGACCAGTGCCATGTACATGTTAAAGGCTTGAATGGCCATCCAGGCCATGGCGGCCAAGAGCGAGAAGTGCAGGCAGACGGCCAGGGCCATACATAGCTCGTCCGGCGCCGACTCCCGGAACTCGGCCGTCACGGATGCCGCGATGAAGAAGACGTTGACAAAAATCAGCGAGATGACGAAGTTGACAAGGACCTTGGCGCGCTTGTCGCCTCTGAACTTTTTGCTGTCGTCGGAAAAATGGAAGAAAGGTCAACACTATCTTAGTTACACGATGCTCTGTGCATCAAGTATCAAAATCCTTTTATGTATTCCCACCATTATAAATTTAAGTTGGCACAGGGTTATTTTCCCCCATTTCACCTCTTTGACCTGAGTCGGTCGACATGTAGCTTCAAGTTTCCAATCCAAATTTGATTTCAAGGGTTCTCCTTGGTTTCATTTCCAGAAACAATATTTGAAATGTAACAAAACAGCACTAAGGTGCATACATCCTGGTTAGCATCTGATAGAGGCATTTTTCTGAAGGATGGACAGACCAAATGACTATTTTCTGAACTAGTAAGTCCTTATACTTGGGCTTCGAGTACACTAAAAATAATTAAATACCAAATTTTCAGTTAGAAAGAAACTGCAAACTATTGGAGTTACAAACGAAGGACAAAAGAGCCGAAAACAACTTTTTTTCACAATAAAGCATTCGAAAATTACTCACTCGTGCACTTTAGCTTTGGATCTGGGGCTGTGGGATAAAAAGATAGCCAAAGGAATGTTCATCAGAAAGGAAAATCAAGCAAGAAAGAAACTGAGATTTTGCACCAAAATGACTGAGCCAATGAGGATCCCTTTATTGCACATACTTGCATTATAACATGACATACGGAGAGTTCATAATCAAAATATCTCATTTGCTGATAGGCCTATGAGAAAAATCTGTCGAAATGTAGAGAAACTTGAAAAAAAAATGTTGCACAGTAGAGGTATCCTGCTTACTGTCTTACCCGCAGCAAGTGTACGTTACTAGAGTTAACACAAGTCCGATGAGGGAAAGCGTACATCCAGCGTATGATATAATAGACAGTGCAAGCTGATGACCTGGCGGAATATCCGGCCCATCGTATATATCCTAATCAAAGAAATAGGGAAGGATCAGTAATAAAATATAACATTCCATCTATCACCTCATGAAATAATTTCTACTGGACTCATAAACATTGATTCTCTGTGTAATCATTAACCCAAGTACTTGGTTTGCACCCGATCCGACTACCCAACGCAACTTATAAGTGAGGCCTGTGCAGCAAAATAGCCATGCAATAACTGTGACGCTAATATATTATCGTATGACGCAATACAGTTGGCAAACTTGTGAAGCTTGTTCAAGCCTTCTGCATGCAAACGTTCGTGACGCTGACTAGCCTTACTTATAAATCTATCTACTGTGTTGCATCATACGATTAGCGTCACAGGTATTGTAGCCTACTTTGCTACACAGGCCTCTTTTATAAGTAGCGGTATATATGTAGTCGAATAGGGTGTGGTTTTCATTGCAATGTTATGTACACTATTCACCCTTCTTCCATATTCTTTATGCACCCCTATCAATCAGAGTTTGCAAGCTCAAAGCAGCCGAGCTACCACCTCCTTGAAAAAGGAAGAAAGTGAATTTAAAGCCTATCGCTATTTAGACGTTATTGGTGCTGACTACAACACATACTTACCATCAGCATTGCAAAGTTGGTGAGATGGTTACACTTGCAAACCACGTTGGTGTCGTCTATGTTGTTGTTGATATCCAGGCTGCAGCCCTCGTTGGACCAGCCTCCCCAACCACCTTTGATTCACAGAATACAAGACTGGTAGTGTTTAATCTACACCCGTCGTGTGACAGCACAACCGTTCAACAATTTATACGCTGCTTAATTGGACGTTTGCAGGCAAATTGGAATGATGTCATTCACGTCCGTAATGGCATCACCAATGATGGCATCACCAATGAGTCACGATCCATACGTCTTTATTTGCTCTGAATACAGTAAATTGTAGTGTCTGGCATTTAGAAAATTTTCTGATGAATTAATAGAATGAATCCAATTGTCTCAGGTGATTATACCAAGGAACTCTAAAGGAAACATCCTTTGCCTTTGTTAATTATTGTAACTGACTTCTGATTGACTTCAGAACACTGTACCAATTTCTCATCCACGGGCAACAGACATAAGATTTGGCCATTCACAATATCAGTTGTATTCTACCACTTCGTAGTTCGCAAAACTGTTTTCTGCTGTTGGTACCCGCTGTAAGGTTTTAACAGGACTGCAGTTTGCCTTCTGCTATGCTCATAAAATCACTTCATCCCCTAAAGTGTTCAGAATTCTTGTTGGTACACTCGAAGTACAACATGAAGCAATCACCATAAAGGTAAGTACGAAAACTGGTGTTGCAATATTTCCCATTGGCTCAGTGCCAGGCCCAAGACAAAACACCAGAGTTAAAAGTCGTGTGGGGAGCCACTCACCGTTTTTTGCCTCGTCCCAGAAGACACATCGGGGATTGTCTGCATCCTACGAACGAAACAAACAAAATGGTAGATCTTTGCATGAGGTTGTATGTAAAACCACTGTCTGAATCTTCATATGCTTTTAATAAACTACGTTTTAGCTGGAAAATAAGTGGAGGTATTCGATGGCAAAATTTCCCCTTATCTTCGAATTTTGCTCCAGTATGCCTTACGAAAAAGTCTGTTCCTTTAACATTTTAGGAGCTGACCAACATTATGATCTTACCATCCTTGCTTTACGAAATGTGACTGTCACTGGCTCCTGCAAGTTGGTAATATTTAGGTCTGCTACCGCAGCGGATATGACGACGCTGTTGATGACGGTCTTGTACCCCTCGCGACATGAAACGGCGATACAATCTGCAGGTGGGGATGTACTTGCTGAGGTAGAGTTGGTCGCAACGTCCGTCGTCGACACCCCACTGTCTGTCGTTGGGATAGCATCAACCTCGTCTTCTTGCTTATTGGAAATAGTTCTGTTCCTTGCTGATTCTTGGATAACCTGGAGACAACGTGTATATGAATTAGCTCTTCAGATGATGATGGCAATCACAAAGCTTTTGAGTAAATGGAGACACAAACACTACGTCGTTAACGTGGACTGCAAAGTGCTTGCAGTTGAAAAGTTTTGGACATATATGCTTACGTCGAAAAATGTGGTTTCCTCGTACATGACAAACTGGCATCGCGACAGCTTGTTTCCCACGGATTTAAGCAAGGAGTTTGGCAGGTAGATAGAACCCTTGACAATCTCATCCGTGCTGGAGCTCTTGTTGTTGGTTTGGACCTCGTCTGCATTGCTGGCTGAACCAGATACCAATGTGGGCTTTTAAAGAAAAAAGTGTCACTATTAGGAAAACAAATTACGATTTCTAAAGCTTCAGTTTGATTCAAATTGCCATAGCATAACCCCCGTGGCCTTAAAAGTAGCAGGCTTCACAAATGTGTTTTATATTTAACACTCACTTGAGCGTTATCTAGGTCTTTGCCGGATCCAAAGAACAGCAGGCCGTTGTCCATTGGATCAGTGATGTCTACCAGCACTACGTCCACAGAGGGTGTGTCTTCCTCAAGAACATTGGACTGGAACTGGACCCCGAGGTTGAAAGTGTCAACAGAGCGGAGAAGCCTGCATGGGAGTGTAACGTAAGACTTGTTTTTAGAAACAGTTTGTTTTCAAGGCAACCGGCAGCTTTCAACTTCAAGTGACATATCTGGAGCCCCATTCCAATGAAAAAGGTAACAACTTACAACAGAACTATTAATTGTTACCTGGATGAAGAGTCGTCATTCAGCTGACTTTGTACGAGCTGGTCGCTGGGCACTCCGGTTAGTTGATCTAAGGTGTCCAAAACATTCCCAAAGACGTCTGGGCTTTCCTCCTGATAATTACCGAGGGCATTCGCCAGATTTTCAAAAGTATTTACAGCGTTGCTGACGTCATTTGGCTTCAGAACATCCGGGACTGAAGTGACGTCAGTCAAAGTTTCAGAAACGTCCAAGGCGTTTCCTGTTTGAAGCAAGAAACACAAACTGTTCTAAGCAATTGTGGATCGTTGGGTGCATCATTGGTGAATCTTCTGTCCAAATATCGGCAGAAGACGAGACTGAGTGAATGCTTCACTCATTTTTTGGTGACTGAATTTCAATCGATAGTCAAATCGACTCACCCCTAACGATGGTAACGTTTGATAGTTCCTCGAGAATTGTGGAGGCAGTCGGACATTCGCGGGTATTCGGCTCAACCCAACCAGTTGAGTCGTCCCCACTGTAAGACAAATCGGGTATATAGTATTCAATAAAAACTGCGAAATTAACAACTCTATAATTGGGTGCTTGGATTTTTGGAGACATGTGACCTGTATTTTTTGAAAGTAAGCCTAGACGACAAATAAGATACCTGTAAACACAAACCTTTACCACATAAGCTTTGAGTGAACAAAATAAATAAAAAATATTTATAAACAAAACAGTTAATGGCAACTCGTTAGATAGTCGCGCTTTGTCTGTGAAGTTTAGTCGAGATGCATTGATGCCGCTCTCGTATAAGATAAGTGAAAAAGTTGGTCGAGTTGCGACTTGTTTTTATACTAAATGGTCCATCGTCCCAAAGTTGGTGACCAGTTAACGAACATTCCCACGCTAGGCTCGTGCGGACAGCAGCGAACTGCGCGCGAAGACGAAACAAATCCATGATCAACTCGTCACCCACAACAGAGGCAGTATCTACCATAGTCTTGTGGCACTCTTCAGCTGAAGGTCGTACGCACACGGCAGGATGACAATATCTCCAGAAGACGTCTCTGGCCACTGAAACGTCCCCGTCACACCCTGGGTTTCCTCAGCCGGACATGGGGCTGGCACCGGTGGTCGGCTTGTCGGCGCGGCTGGCGGAGGCCGTCTGGTACTTTCTGCTGTGGTAGTCTGTCGCACAGGCGTACTAGTTGCTAGAGAGTAAAAACACATTAACAATGTTTTCAAAAGGAAAAGCCGATTTGACTGTACGCTGCGGTGGCTAGTGCGTTTAGCTGCGGTGGCTGGTGCATTTAGCTGCAGTGGCTGTACTCATCTTACGGCGTATTCAAGGGAACTTATTTTCTGATTGGACCGAAATGAGGCATTACGTATGAATTATTGGATCTGTTTACTCTTTCCATTAAAGAAGCAAGGATACTTCCCCTAAAAGAACCGCGAGACTTGTGTAAATACCTTGGCTTTCTAATCAAAGTTCCACCAGTGCGCATGTCACTCAGCACTGTCAGTGCCTAGAATCGGGTGGCATTTTGTACCATGCTGTCGAAGTTATGAGCCGTCGAGCAGAAGTCTCTGCTGTGGCTGAATTCAGCAGTGGCATTAGTAGTAGGTTAATACGTGCATCATCATCCTTGGGGAAAAACAGAGAAAGTATGGCGCTATCCGGAGGAGATATGGTTCATGGAGCGCATGAACCAACTGGAAGCGAATTGGAATGAGTATCAAAGAGCAGAAGTGAAAGCAGTTCGAAAATGCTACAGGTGGTGACAGAAGGGTAACGATAAGATAAGGCATGGGTGCGGTCAGTGGCTGAAGAGGATTTACCCAATGGATCTCCATCCTATATCCTACATGAATGATTGGTGAAATGTCGACTTCTGCATTTGCCCTACTCTGTTCGTGGAAGTTCTACGTTGAAATTTGTGTGTAAACAGGAGGTTGTGCGTTTTGAAACCGAGTATGTTTGTGGAGTTCTCCACCTTGGATGGCATGCAATCAACGAGTCACCGAGAACTGAAATTCCATCGACCAAAGGTGCCGAACAGTGATACGGAATCGTCGCTTCTACTGTCATGAAAAGTGTTCCTAGCGGAGGGTCTAGTGTGGTGCGTGTAACAGAATGTTCAACTTTGCGTTGGTGCAAAACAGTGAAAATTACCCAGGCAAGTAACACCCATACAGGTACAAAGACTGCATTCTTACAGGTGTTTCATAAGAAATTTCAAGGAACCATACGTTCCGAAGCTCTAATCATAATGTGCATTAATGATGTACTGACCTTGACCATTGCAGGTATAGTTTACAACCAGGTATTTTAGAACCAGATAACATGGATCGCCCCCAAATCGTTCATTACTGACGACGAATCCACATTGCATCTGCTCCTGGCACATCTCTCGAACGATGGATAAGGAGGCCTCCGGGTCACCGCACGGAGTGGCTCGGGGCGTGAAGCAGGCCTGGCTGCCGTCTTCGCGGCCGTACAGGGCCCACTGAACGTCAATGGTCCCACCCATGCCGCAGGATATGGAGAACTCGCCACCCTCGCAGACAAGTTCCCGCAAAGGTGCCTGGTGTGCTGGGTGGGAGTTTATGGCGACTGAATGAGTGGAGGGTTTGATAGTAAAGTCGATGGGCATGCTGGTTAATCGCTGTGGATTGGTATCTTAGTGGTTGTTTGGCGTTGTGGATACATGGACAGTTGATCTTGATCAAAGCATGGGGATTAAGAGCTGACCGAACATCTAGTGTGGGACAGCGCATTCCTAATGTAATTAGGGAGTTGGGCAACACTGTGCACTTCTCATTCCAACCAAAACAATGCATTCCACATGCAGTAATGGAATTGAACGAGTCCACAAACTACCTACAACATAGGTGTATAATCAGCGAAGACAAAAAAATAGTGCAGCAAGGGAGTTGAGCGATGTCATGAACAACCAACAACGATCCACAAAGGCGACGTCATGCAAATCACAAGCAGTAATGGAAAACCATGCACTGTAGTGAGGCCTACTTACTATCTTGAAAAGGTGAGGCAGTCTATCCTAAGTGGAGCCCGGGTGACGGTGCTGAAAGTGGATAGGCCCCAAGTGACTGTTGGTTGTTGATTTGCGGCAATCGATTCGTTGCTTGAAATTGGGTGTTGGTGTGCAGCAGCTGAGCCGTTGAGGAAGTGGTTAGTGCATTTCTAGTATTTGAGGACGATCTTTGGTGGATACTACCGATCGTGCACCTTGACCTTCTATAGTGACCATTACCATCATTCATGCTCTCCACTTCAGCTTATGAGTGGACTGCTTACTTACTGTAATCAAGAGTTCGCAGCACCTTGGTGCTTGGAGTTTGGACTGTAGTTGGTAAGGTTTGGGTAGTTGTTGACGGGGCACTTGTTGATGGAGCTGGGATAGTAGTTGATAGGACTTGCAAAGTAGTTGATGGGGTTCGGAGAGTAGTTGATGGGGCATCAGTTGATTGGATTTTAAAAGTGGTTAATAAGGTTTGGGTAGTTGTTTGGGCTACGTAAAGCAAAAGCAGTGAGTATACATTATTGGTGTTAATGATGGCAGTATAAAAGAAAGATGTACGATGACAAAAAGAATAAGTATCCAAGGTACGGAAAAATAATGGCTTAACAATGACTAATCTTTGAACGGAAAGTATACTGGTATTATGAAAATGAAATGTTCCATACGTTTGAATCTTTCAGTTTGAAACTGAGTTTGTTTCTAGTACTTGGAGAAACATCCAGAGAACCAACATACCTGCTGTTGGCGGTTCCGTTATCTCGTCAGGGAATGGAAACCGGTACCCGTCTTGGCAAAACAGAGGAATACAAAATGTTTACCTCCGCTTCTCAGATGAAATTCATGTACACTGCATGGAGTATGTGTTCCGAGATGTTTTAACGCTTTCAGTTTTATCCTACCACACTTACACCATATTAACAGCTTTGAACACAAGATCAGTTAACAGCAGTGGTTGTAATACATGTACATGTAATTAAGTTCCAAACTGTCGCTGTCACAGCTGCACAGTCCTACCAACCACAAGAAATCGACCGCATCCCACCGACTTAAAAATTTCCAGTGGTTTTCACCAGAACTACTTTCCCTCTTTTCATCTTTACTGTGCGTTAGCAAATTTCTCCCCGTGTAGTTACATCTTGTTAACTTTAATCAACAATACATATACACAGATTACCAGCCAACCGCCATGGGTGCCTTGCTCATTACTGGCCCACACGCGGTCTAAGATGTTTTTGAGTAACGCCCTAGAGCAAGTAGATTGACTTAGCAATAATATTAATTTTCAGCTCCATGAGAAGGCTACTCTCCATTTTAAAGTTTATACGAAAGTAACGCAAATGGTGAGACATACTCAAAATGGCGGTTTCCGGGGCGTTACACTTGTCTCCTTGACAACAGTAGCGGCACACGGAATTCACTGTACTCGAGCTGCAATCATTCTGGTTCTGCTGGGCGTTGACGAGGCAGGCATCCAGGGCCTGGCAGCTCTTGCTGATCAGAAACCTCCCGCTGGTGACTCGCACCTCGTTCTGGCAGGCCGGCTGCAGTGAGTGTACAAAAGAAGCGCAGTGATAAACCACGTTTCGGTGAAGTCATACACACTGCAAAAACTCTGGCGTTAAAAACAACTCTTTTGGTGTTATCAGATGACCACATCATAGGGTGTTATTTAACACCGCTGGTGTTACTTTGCACACCTATAAGTGTTACAATGCACTCGAAGGTGTTAGAAGTAACACCAAATGACACCAAAATTTCTAACACCAGTGAAAGGTATTGGTGTTGTCCTCTGATGACATCAGGGGTGTTAAATTTAACACCTGATTTGTGCAGTGCAGAAACATAAGATGACAAAGTTATTTCAAATAATGAAATGTTAGTTGTTACTCTAATAAGTTCTTTAGGCCGACATGACAATACAGTTTTACTTATTTTAAGTTTTTACCTATGACCTTTCAAATCACGGGTGTAAACGTTTTTGTATTCTGTATACAGCCTGAGATACTGACTTCCTCCTTTACAAAGCTATTCTCACCAGAAAGGAAACTGAAATCTTTCCTAAAACGACCATATCAATTGTTTTTTCCCTATATTATCATATTTTGCAGCCCTCTACCTCGAATTGGCACAGCTGAAGGATTTTATCAGTAACGGTAAGGTTTTCTACTCAAATCGTGGAAGAAACGGCTTATTTGGTAAAAAGTGGAAGTGTAAAATTTTTAAGATCAGTAATAGTTTTGGGAGACCTACTTCAAAGCTGTGCACTTGGTGGTTCGTTACAGAAACGAAATTAGAGCAAAGCAAGTGAACTTACGTTGATTCCTGAGCACTGTTGTTGCGCAAAATTACAGGCAGCGTTGGTGGAAGCTGAGTCACAAAAGTAGCAACGCTGCACTGTAAGAGAAAATATATGTACTAAACTTCAGAAGTCGACAGTTTCTATGTCATTTGGGGAACTGAAATGTTTATCCATCCACAGGCTCTCCCAGAATAATTGGAAACCAAAACACATTCAGACTGATTAAGTGCCATGAAAATCTATGGGTCGTGGTTTTTCAAGAATTGACTCTGCCATAACGAGGCAGTTCTAAGTAACTTGACCTTTCCTTCTGACCTATCGAAATGACAATGTGCTGTGTTTCATAGTCTCAAAATGATATTGATGTGTGTAAGTTGCCAGAGGGGCCAAATTTACTCAGAACTACTTCGTTCTTACAACCAAAGCAGTTTGCCCTATTTTTGCACTTGTCCCAAAGTAGGAAAACGCCACCTTTAACGCAGTCGGGTGTATCCTTAATTTGGCTATTCAAATCGCACAGTTTGACAGCTCAGTAATTTAACATGGTTATTACTGTTTCCTGTTTGCAAGGTTTGTTTACGAGATATGAGCTCAATAGCGACTCTGATGACGTCAGAATTATTTTTGTGGGTTGAGTCTCATAAAGACCGTTTGCCCGCTTCCTTAGTCTTGTAGAGCTAACCTGGTATGCAGAACCTCGCAGTATCGACCGTCTGCTGTCTCACAGATTCCGGCGTGAAGCACTGCACCCCTGATGCTGCAAAGTTTGGCTGCGTCCCTTTGTTAAGCAGCCAGTTCTTAAACCAGAGGAGGTTACAGTCGCACACCAGTGGGTTGTTTGTCATGTAGCTGTAAGGAAAATAACGAACAAACAAAAGCAATCCAACTTAGTGACACAGTCTCTTTTAATGAAACCTTTTATGATAGGACCAGGCATATCTGCCAGAGTCTTGTCAGAGCACAAGCGATACATTTCTAGGCATCTACGCTCTTCACAATGAAAATAGCCTTCAAATTAGTCAAACATAAAAAACTAGCGATGTCCGTACTAACTGGGTGGGCATTAGATGAGCGAAAAAGGAAACAAACGACTATAAAATCTACGGGTTTGGAAATGAATGTGATACTTACAGGTTTTCAAGTCGGTCTAATACGGTGAGAAATGACGTGTCGATTGTTGCAATGTTGTTGTGTGCCATGTCTCTGTAATAAGGCATAAAAGAAAACTATCGATGAGCCTTGCACAGTCTTTTTGTCTGCTCTCATACACGCGCAATATACTTCACAATTTTCTTTGACCAACCACCAAAACCTCGATAAACATCTTTGGCTGTCAACTGACAATCCAATATCGACCCAACTTGCCCGATACGTTTCGGTTATACTCACAGAGTTTTCAGCCTGAATAAAGGCAGAAACGGTTCTATGTCACTTGCTTCCTGCAATCTGAGTCGGTTCCTGCTCATATCTCTAAAATAAACGGGAAAATGTACAGAATACAGCAATGAAATAAATCATGGTTGGTACTTCTTATTGTTGTTAATGTCATAAAATGACGCCTGTTGCTAACCAGAGCAATTGCAGAGCAAAACGCATCAGGGTCACGTTACATCTGTCACATGATTTTGAAAGCTTGGAGCACATTCTGTAGTTTCCAGGAGTGATTAATTAATGCAAATTACCTACCAAACAAATGAAACAGTTGGAAATCAATTTACATAGTACACCGGTCAGGTGTAACACTAACCGGAAAAAAGTGTCACACATCAATCCTAAATTTACAGAGTGGCCCATCATGCAACACATTCCTTCTGCTCGCCAAACATTATGCTTACTGAGCTGATAACGCAGGCTGGCTATCATCAGGTAGCCAGCATGACTGGTTGTCCTTAATTATTTGATCAAATACAGTTGCGATTGCCCGACTTCTTGGGATTAACCAGCATTTTTCTGAATTATTGAAAGCTTTATAAAAACCTCAAAATTGAGGCTAGCAAACTGACCAATTTGGACACAGCAATATTTTGAGACATCTCTATGAGTATGGTATTGCACAGAATTTCAATAAACTCTACTTTTCGTCATTGTCTTACAGTAATTGGAGGTTGGAAAGACGGCTGAAAGTGGCAACGTCCAGACGGTCGCTGCGTATTGCATTTTGCACCATATACCTGAAATCAAAGGTCAGAAATTACAGTTCACACAAAAACTGTTCTCCATTTTCAAGATATCACATTATATGTATTAAAATGTGGAACGGCATAAGTTTATTAATCTAGGTGACGACCGAAACTGCTGGTTTTAATTTTTCTTTGAATGACTGCTGTGAAACGCAGGTTTTCAGAGGGGAAGAATAGTCCATAGCATTTCATTCCAGATATTCTGTATCGAGTTTATTGCATGTTTAACTATAGAAAATGCAAGCAAACTGGGCTGCCGTATAAGAACTGCAATTTGGCCCAGGGTTAGAGTCCAAACTGTGACGGAAGAAATCTTGTTACATGTAAATTAGTCTTCGCTAAGGATACAAGTTTGAACGCGTACTTACAGTTCTCGAAGTTCAACCAGATGGTTGAAAACATCACTACTCAGTTCTTCGATAGAGTTGTCGCTGAGGTTTCTGGAAGGAGACAGAAAGAAACCTGGTTAAAACTTGGTCTTTGTGATCACCTATACTGCTGGCTTATGCGTCAAGTTTCAATCTGTTTTGAAGCACAAAAAATATTGTTCTTAAAATTGACAACACTGATGGTCGTGCAAGTGAATCGATACATACCAAAGTTAATTGATAGTACATAATCACACTTCCAAGCTCGCCCAATGTCCTGCCAATCACCCAATGATATGGCAGTGTGTACGGTGTCCATTAAATACCCATTAGAATGATTCTGATTTATCCTAAATACGTTACATTGGTTGGATTTTAGTCGTTGCTTTGATGAGGAACTCCTGGAAAACAAGAATAACCAATAGGTTTTGAGTTGATTATACACGTACAGTATATGTGTGTCGTCTGGTATACCAGCGGGTACGGTCTGCAGCTGCAAGTCGGAGCAGTTCACGATCTTCCTGCTGCCATCGACGGTACAACGGCACAGGGGCGCCACGGCGCCCGTGCTGTCACCGCACGCTAACGGTTGCTGGCTGGCCACGGCAGCTGATTCACGTGGTATCAACAGCAGGACGAGAAACAAGAGGGAGGTTGGAGCAATGGTCGTCATGACTGGCGCTGTTGCCGGAATGATAGAAGTCTCCGTGAACGCACCACCTCAAGTTTTCTGTTTTGAAAAAAAAGCCAACTTCAATTTTCGACCCAAACTCACAGAACGAACTCTGGAAATCTGCAAGTCGGCGTGCGACTTCCAGTACGTTGCGAAACAGAATGGACAATAACAAATCTTACTTGGTATGAATCTACTGCCTTAAAATTAAATGCATCGTGGATGTGGTTTTTCGAAAGAAAAGAGAATAGGAAAACCGAAAATAAAAATATAAAAAGGACCTAGTAATAGTTATTAGAATAACAACTGCATTTCATTAAGCGCCTAATGCGTTTAAGTTCCTGAGCACTTTTCTTAAAAAGTCCACCTTGGTATTCTAGAAATGCAGGAAACCCAAATAAATGTTACAGACTGACACTGACGTGTTTATTATTTTAAAAAGATGGCTTTTACGGGAAAGGAAGTGGGACTGCTGTGGCCAGAAAAGAAAGTTGTGATTATCTCCGCAGATATCCTGTGAGCGGCAAATACTCCTTATAAGGGCGCAAGGGAAGTCCAAGTTTAACGACTGTTGTAGTAAAGATATTAAATCGAAACTACACAATCCTTCTTCAGGGTATGATGGTGTTGTCTAATTTTATCCATTTCCTTCTCATCGACAAAAAGAAAGGCACCACAATGACTTTGTATTCTACCACACATTAGTTGCGTGAGTGTAGAAATTGCGATGCATTGGGAATCAAATTCACACAAATCACAGGCAGTAAAATGCCACTGAATGATGCGCGCTCAGTCAAGATGGCTACCAGATGGCATTATGAGTACGGACCTGCTTTGGTTTTCGAGGCCCTATCGCTTAAATCTCCATGCATTGTACCCTCCCGTAAAATTCATGCGTTGGGTAAAAACCCGTTTGTATAAAATAATGAACAATGACACAAAATCTCGGAGAAATATGTGTTGTTTGGAATAGGTTTTTCACACAATTTGAAGAATGACCTGTGTGTCATTCCATTCATCAAGCTCTGTGTTTGTATAAAGCCCGGTTTTCATTGAGTTGAAACAAAGTGTATAGACCATCTCTGCAACTCAACGCCGGCTCGCCATGGTTGAACCTGATCCAATTTTTCCGACAATGTTTACGTTAGTCATGATGAAGTGTTCTCATATCAATGCGTATCGTTGGGGACTGATCGGCGATGTTCTCTGCACCCCTCTACGTCGACATGGAAACCAGGCTTGATTTGGCGTGACGGTTACAGATGACGGCAACCCGTGTGTTATGGAATGCGGCATATTTACATCCCGAGTAACGAACATCGAAAGAAAATATTCAGACTTCATTTAAACAGGTGTGTTGTATCTTACGCACTGGCGTAAATGTCACACGTACGTGCAAGAATATGAAAAGAAAAGGCCAACACGTGACTGTATTAAGATTTTTCTTCCTTTTTAATTCAAATTGCATTATTCCATAGCCGCCGAGAAGACGTGCTGGAAAGAAGTTCTTTGTTGACACTCTATATGAAAGGTTATCTCTTTGATTATAAAGCCTTTGGCTAATGTTATTGACTCTGGTTTATACGGCGCTTCTCTCACTTCCTTTTGTAAAGTTGGGTCAACTATGCGCCTCATGTAGCGCCAATGTCACCAATGTTCAACAATCACCATTGCACATACAGCACACTTTTAACTTTCTAGTTACAATGCACAGTGTTCACAATCTGCTTTTGAGTAAGTTATTTCAAACTTTCGTTTGTGACGTTGCCAGTGCGAAGCTTGGTAGGTGACGATGATGGGCCAGTTTAATGTCCAGTGGTGCACCCAACATTTGCCGTGAGGGAGAGGGCTCGGACCCCAAAATTGACCCTCCATATTGCTCATGATACACGCCCAAATCTTTCCATTCCGGTTGCACCACAGGGAACTCAGAGCTTGCAGTTTAACATAATTGGATCTTAGTTTTTGAGAAACTAAAAAAAAGGTTAAAAACCTCGAGCCCCGTGGGGGCGTCTCCACAATTCTCCATGAATCTGCGAACTCCCAATGCTAAACAAATCTGAAGCCATGATCTGCTAACGTTACAGAGTGACACCACAGACTGAAAAGATCGACAGAATCTATTATATTTACAACAACGTGGTCCAAAATTAAGCTCATTTCAGGACAGTTTTTACAGAGAATACCGACTGTCATTTTCTTTATTGCTAGTTTTTATGTCACTATTTCCTTGGTGGCAGCACCAGACGCTCTAACATCACCAGGCAACATTCTGCTTGTATCTTTTTCGGTCCTAACAACGGAAGAGCTGGGATTCCAACATCCCTCATTTACAAGCCTCTTCCCACTAAGTCAAATCGAATATTTTAAGAAATATGTAAACAATTACTGTCAGTACTTTTAGGGGAATGACACCCGACTGAACTTTCTTAAGGAACTGTAATTTAATTTTCAAATCGCAATAAAATATTTTGCCACTACATGTAACTAATACAGTGGAACGTCGCTGTAACGAACATCGCTATACCGAACACTCGGAAAGACCGAACATCCCCTTAGTTCCCAAATTTTCTGTCCCTTTTTACCGGACATTACAAATTTGTTTTAAAATAAAAGAACTGATGATAAATAACTCAAAGTTGGGGAAAACTGCACTCACAACGGAGCAACAGCCAACACGTGGCGCACTCTGTTTATGGATGATGGCTAAGGTAATCGAACAAGTCAGGTTTCAAGTCACAGTGTCAAAGGGGTGGACAGTGACAAAGGAATGCTTTCGTCACAGCTCATCATCGACCAGGTATTTTGACTTGAACGGGTGACTCGTGAAATTAAGACTTTTATGGCAAGGGTTCAATTATAATTGTGAGTTATGCCAAGAAAGGGCTCTGATGATGTCATCACTATGAGAATTAATATAATCAAAGTTATTAACAACCAATTTACAATTCAGTGAAAATCCAAACACGCTTAGCATCTACACATATTTACAAACTGATAGCAAAAAAAAAGTTTAGAAAAATGTTTACTGGCTTAACCCGGTTTTTGCAGTGTACTGAATGGAATTTTTAATGTAAAGTGTGGTTTGGGGTTTTCTTGGCTGTTGGGTCTCCAAAATCTCCGTCATTATCTTTATTTAGTTGGTGACAAAACAGCAGAACGGTTTCACCTCAAAGGTAAACTTTAATATTGAAAGCAAAACTTGCCGGTACTTTTCGGGGCCACCGCATGCCAATCAATGAGACTGCATAAGAAGCTGGATAATGAATGTAATGAAGGTTTCTCTTGGAAGTGTGAGATGTTCATTAAGTGGGAGGGATAATCTCGACCAAAATGGCCCGATGCCTGTTAGTTAGCAAATGCAGTAATCGTTGAACCACGAATAAAAGTGAACGCCTGGTAGGTTTTATGACCTCTGCGGGCGGTGGGGATATTAGGTTGAAAGCTTCTGTGAACAAGTACTTAATTAACATATGGTAGGTTAATGCTCGAGTAATGCAAACGGAGGCGGACTGACACGCTCAAAAAACTATTCTTGTAGTTTTGTTGCTGTTGTTGTTTTGAATTAAGGTAATGCAGGGTTACATACAGTTCAGGGTTCATGGAGTCAGGTAGGGCATTTAGTTTGGCCGTAAAGAAAAGACTTGCAAGCAGTATCGCCGTACTAATTGAAGCCGCGTAGGTCACAACTTCATGACTGACTGCTTATGTAAAAGGTTTGTATCCTTTTTCAAGGTTCGGTAAAACGGACTCATGTTTGGAAATGATCAAGTGAATGGCCTGTCACAGCTGCATGTTTACATATTTATGGGCTTGTTGTCCTCGAAGTTCCAACACAAAGTTATCAACAAGCTAAAAGAAGTGGTTAAATTTGTAATTCTATATTATTGTGAGAATAACGCCAAACTGGTGGAGCGTTGATGTAAAAGGAGGGGCAAATGTTTCTTTTCATAGGGGATAATTATTTGAAAGAATGTTATATTTACAAGCCAGTTTGTTGGGCATGTACAAAAATGGGGATCCTGGAACCTTTGCTATTAATATGGGTAAATTCATTCAGTGTTGTAAAGGGTCACTAAATTAGGTGACTCGAGTCGAGTCATTTTGTGCAGTCGATTCCAGTCGAGTTAAGTACCGCGCTCGTGCCAATTTCAGTCACAATCTTTTGAACAAAATACAATTGAAAAACAAAACTGCGGGTAATTAAGCCATTTTTTGGTATTTTTATTTTCATTTAGACATACTGAAATTAATTAGGGTGACAGGTATCTAGCGAACTAAAATTTTGCTTTTAATTCTTTTGAGACTTGAGTCTTTTAAGCTTGTGCTCGAGTCGAATCTCCATGAGAGTTCGATTCCAGTCGAGTCATTTGGTCGCAAAGACTCCGGACGAGTCGCCAACACTTGTGACTCAATCAAGTCAGTCTCAATCCAGTCATTGACTCGAGTCATTGCAACTCTGTTTCCATGACTTGTAATGGCTAATTATGACTGAGATGTTATTACTACGTAGCGTTTCGTTTCTTTCTGTCTTAGTTATTCTTCATTTAACCGGGGTTAATTTCACTTACAAACTTACAAACTGTTTCCCTAAAGTAGCCGTGGGGAAGAAGTCAATGATGAACAGTTAAGTCTTAGGACTGAAATCCCAATCCACATGTCGGCCTAGGTAGGGACGATCCCCGGGTCGCAAAGGCGGAAGGCGAGGTAAGTACCGGCAGTTGAGACTCTGCACTTTTTCCCGGCGATAATCATCAAAATAAAATATTAGCACCATTACCAATTATTAGTCGCAAGAGGCACAGCGTTACTTTTGACAAACAACTCGAAATTGCAGTGCACTTTTTCGAGCGCTTGCCCCCGACGATTTTACCGCCAGGCACGATTTAAACATCGAAAACAACTTACCGCTCCGTTGATCTGTATTCGTGGTTTATACACGCACGATTCACTGTTTATCCAGTCAACAGTGACTCGAGTTATAGCTTCGTTGGTGCAGTCTTCGCTTATGTGTTTGTCCCAAAACTCACCAGGCCATTACATTACAGTGAAGGGATCGACGATTTCTCTCCAACCAACAAAACAATGCATTATTTTGGGCATAAACTGCTCAGCCACAGATAAACTTTTGCGAAGTCGTCAGAGTGAAATAGCAATCTGAGAGGACAAAAGTTGTCACGAACACCAGGAAATAAAGACAGCAGACGGACCGCCGTTCCCAAAGCATTGAATACCAGTCACCGTTTAGGGATTATCCCACTGCAAATGCCCTTAGTGTCCGCGTGAATAGGTTTCCTTCTACTGAACAAAGTGGAGTTATGTAAGCGGGTTTAATTGTTGAATCATGGAGGCCATCCTTGGGCTCGTGACTGAATATGCAGGACAGGAAATTCCTTCACAACACGGAAATGAACCCACGTGCTATTGTCATCAAACAAGCATACTCATGTCACTGAACAATGAGTGGATAATGAAGCCGTCGGAATGTGAAAGTGACCACTCGAAAGTAAAAATGAAATTTGGCAGATGTTATTCGTCTTGTTGTGATTCACAGTGAGTGGATTGGTGGAGTTGCTACCTTATGACGTTCGGTTTGTCTGAACGAATTACTGCAATATCGTACCAAGGAGACATTGCTTCCAAAGAGACCTACGTAGTTAGAGGCTGTAACCTAAGTAAACAGCTAGTGATGAAAGTATTTTCGTCAATGAGCCATTTAGAGAAAATTAAGGACTAGGCGATATAATTATAGCATATATAAAAGAGTAAACATTATATGTTATATTTGATATAATAAATTGACATATATTTAGATACACAATGGTAAAAAGATAGAAACATATCGATCCTAAGATTACCAAATGCGAGATAAACATGATAAATAACATTCAGATACAAGCATAAGTATGTTAATTACATTCAAATTAGTGGTTAGGATAATCCATTAGACTGGGCACAATCATCAAAATGCAAAACGCCTACTCGTCTTAATCACGCGAGAACAACAGCCTTCTGTCCATGATGGTGCATCGAGCATAAACTCTGTTTATCGGGTATATTTGATGAGTCGAGTTTTACTCTAACGTTTTCAGTTTGCAGTCGCTCCAGTGAAAGAAGACGACTTTTTCAAACAAGTGAAGCAAATGCTTAAAATTACGAGGATTTTAGCACCGGATCCACTTTTCAGCTTGAGTTCAGTTGTCTGGTTAAAATTTTTCGCTGGAAAGCGGGACATACAGAAGTAATATTTTCTTATTTACTTGTACCTCGTCAAGAATCTCTTGAAGTTGAGGTCAACAGCTAAAGGGGTCTCAGTGTGTTGAATGTCAGTGCGTTTACCCCATTGAAGTGACGAGCTGACGCTGATGGCGCGCTTCCACTGGCTTTCAGCAACCACTGACAGGAAAGGGATTAAGCGCTATGGTGTCTGTTTGAGTAGCAGGGCACTGATGACCATCAAACGTCAACCTTAACTTAACGTCTTCTCAAATGTCTTTAAAAACGCCAAAGGGGATAACTGAAATTGTGATTCCTTTTTTTTGGCTGCATAATTTTAAACAGACATTTATTAGTTTTTTTAAATTCAATATTAAACACGTTGCTACTTAGGTCATAGTTTCAAAATATTAAAGATTTATTACAAACCAAAATTATACAATTGTCATCACCGCTGCATTCTTTACATGTCGGTAACCCTCCGTTCATGTAAGAATAATGCATTTGTGGGTGAGGTCATGGGAATTTAAGTTTTTAGTAATAAGAGACTAATTATACACGGTGTAAAATTACCAATGGTACATTACACTTCGGGATTTTTATTTTCCTAAGTTTGCTTAGTGAATGCAAATAAATCATCCCGTTGTTGATTTTCGACAATTCTCTCTCCCCACAATCAGACAGAATCAACAGAACAAAGGCGCGAGCAAACGTTACCGGCGCACACGTCTACTCCTCCGAGATTCAATCTCCTTGATTAATTCGACCAGTTACGGGTATCATTCGATGAGCATGGCCCCGCGGCTCAGCGCATTTGATGGAGGGCTAGTGAGAGTATTTATTTGTTCGCGGTGCGTGTGAAGTTGCGCAAATTGTCCTTTGCGGTGACAGATTCCACCCGCTCGTGCAGTCTGCTCCCTCAATTATACTTTTTTATGGTTTAAGAAAGCCGCTGGAGAGGTTTCACCACGTACTTCATAAAAACTGTAGCAAACGATCTCACACATTTTGTTTAATTTCGAAAGCATCTCTTTTTATTTCTTTCCCTCCAAAACAAACAAAATTAGGACAATATGATGCTGATTCGGAAGAAGGAGGAAACAGCAAAGAAGGAATAAGTGACGTGAAAGGTTTTTATGGTTATTTACTTCAGCCAACAACTTTGTGTAATGTTTTCCAAACCAGTTAGTCCCAACAACCAACGCTTAATTTAACAGCCCGAATATCACGGATCAAAGGGAAGACACTGTGAAATATTCTACCTGCTTCGATTCTACTAAAAGGGAGAGGAAATTAATACATCAAATGCATGGAGTACAAGTTGTGTAGATCAGCAAATTAATGCGTTGCCATGCAGAAAAAAGTACATCAACTGACAGATTTTGTCAAGATTCTAAATGCATGTTAAACATGAAAACATTATACTCCTTAACCCACTTGAGTGACTTTTTAATAAACTATGATTAATCATTACAATTGAACTGGGTTATTATTGAAATGGGCCACAGTTCTCGTTGCAGAGAAGCGTGTTCGTTTGCTATGTTTTGCAAGTGATTCTCACGAGCTGTTTCTTGTACACAGCACGAGTATCAAGCATTCGCTACAACAACTCTTGTACACCCCCTCGTCATGGGGAAAATTGACACCAAGAGTTGTTAGAAAACGCTCAGGCCTACTCATCCACGGTAAATTTAGCGCACAGTGCCCGTTTTTTGCACCACTGCAGGTTTCTTTTATTTTTACAGCAAGTATCTCGAGTTAATAGATCGCAACGATTGAAGTCAAAACTGGTGTTTCTGCAGTTCAAACGATTGTTAAAAGTGTTGGGATGCGCCTTTTTGTTCTCTTGCCGTGTTTCATTGATTGGAAAAAAGCATAAAACAAACATAATTAGAAAAAAAAAGAAAAGAATCATGAACCATTTCAGGTAATTTGAAAATATACAATTTTGGGGGAAAATATTAAAAAAATTAAACAAGCGGAAAAAAGTTGGCCATTAAGAAGTGGATAAGCGGTCACTATACATGAAATGATTTGATTTTTCATAGCAATCATATTCCATGTCAGAGCGATTTTGTAAAAAATAATCTTAATCCAATAAAGGCGGGAATTTGAATTCACATCTATAAAAAAAACTCAGTACAAAGAAAAGCATACGTCAAAAATTCATTCTTGGAAACGGAAGATTGTGTCTTTGTTCATACGATCACAGGTGAAGCTATATTTTCCACATACACGAACGAATAACGGAAACTTAACGAACACCGGTGGCACGCATGATATCAAGACGCACAACAGAGAGGCTGCGCGACGTCATTCCTCCAACACAAGCAAAATGGCGTCCGAATCTCGGAAAATTTTCTCATGAAATGCCTACGTGGTGATGCCACCTCTTGAAGCAAAACTGATACTCCAGATTGATGGATTATTTGGTCGCGGTTTGCCACTTTGTTGACAGTAATTGGGGGCGTCATATGTACGGTCATAGGAGAGACATCATTCCAGCATGCGTGTTTATATTACAGCCTACGCTGACAGACAGACAGAGCGCAGAAAGTCAGCAAAGTTTAACCAAGTTCAGCTTTGCCGGCTGTCGCCGTCCCTGTTTGCGTTAGTCACGAAAAAGTGTTTCCATTTTATTATGTATCGTCGGGAACTAATCAGCCATGCTCTTTCCGTCTCTTTACGTCTATGTGGAAACTCTGCTTAACCAAGGAGCAGATGCGACCCTAGGACAAGACAGTGAACTAGTTCGGTATTCCAACAGCGCATGCCCAAAATGAAGCGCGTCCGAGGTCACTCGGACGCGCTTACGAGGCTGCCCAATCAGCGCTGCCCAGGGCGGCCTTGCACGCGTGTTCTGTGTTCCCGAACGACCCCTGAGTCGCTTTTTTGGAAATACCGAGATATGGCTCATTCTGAATTTACGCTTGCACGATCGCAGTGCTACTGGCATGTACCGTACCGGTGCGGTATGCACGTAGTACTACGCCTGGCCAATCAGACAACGGGAAAGAGATACTCGTCGTGTTTGTGACACAGTTGATCAAATGAAATCTCATAATGCTTTCCCGGCGTTTTTATCTTTCCAGAATGCATGCAATAAGGCCTCTATACCTCTGGATCTTCCTACATGATCCACTGACTAAAATCTATCGATTTCAGAATTGTTACAGTCTTAAGACCCATATTAATGTTTAAATTCACGTTAGGTTTTATCATTTCAAGGAAGGAGAAAGTGCTTTCACTGTTCACCTTCTTGCAAAGCCTCCTCCGCGCTTTAAACTAATCCCAATTCCTATACTTTTTTTCTGGACGAGGAAAATGTCATCGAAACCAATTCACGGGCAAAGTATGACACGTGGCTCGATATTGAATAGAAAATACTGACAGCCGACAAACAACTTTATTCCGGAATTTTAAATTTAGCACTACCTGTCGTAATCGAGAACACTTTGGCTATTTTGCTGTTGTTTGCCTGTCCATTGCTTGCGGATATATCACTGATAACCTAGTAATGTCACTCACAGTCCCCAGTGAATATATTATATTTAGCTGACAACCAGCTAGCATTTGTACACCTCCGAGTCGAAACCCAGAAACCGCTGATATGAGAAATCTCGCGTTCGCACCGTACCCGGTAACAAGTGTGGCATTTGATACACGTAGGCCTGATACGTATTGTTTGGATACGCGTGCATCCAAGTGGCGTGCTCTGGTATGTGACGTTTGCACACTTCGGCACAAATTTCTTACGGACTTTGCTTTATAGGATTCCGTCTACGTACGATAGCAATTTCATCTTTGAGGCCAGAAGAACTTAATTCTTCCGTTTTGCCGTGGTGTTTCAACGAAAAAAGTGTCAGCAAGGCCCAAAGTTGCAGGTTGAGTTCAGGACTGAAATGACAGGCTTGAACTGCGCATGATCCGATTGGTTGGTTGCCAGGCTCCCGTGAAATTTGGACGGATCGCGCACTTTGCCGCTCGGGTTTTCTTCATTCCGTGGCTGCCCGTGATGCCAACCAGCAGCGCGTCTCCCTTTGAGCTCATCGCAAGTTACTGGAAAATTTGCAGATAAAACCTCGACAGACTCAAGTAGGTGGATCAAATTTATTTTCTTTCCTGTATAAAAGCCCACTCTTATTTCCCAAGAGTAAAATTACACTTTATACTGAAAGGAAGAACCGGACAAAACCGCATGTTTGAAACGAAACGTAGAAGCAGAAACCGTAGGCATTGGATAGAATGGACATTTGTCTTGTCACATCCCTGATTTTAGTTTCTAGATATTCACTCATTGGAAACAGGAGTATTTAGAAAATTCATTTGCAAACTGACCGTATTATGTTTGACTTTTCTGGTATGCGTAGCACAGAAGCTTATGAAATAATTATGAGGACTTCTTTGTGGGGAAATTGTACGTGCGGATAAAGGAACACAGACAGAACACGCGTGCCATTCAAGACACGTTTTAAATTTAATTTAGGATGCAACATGGTAAGTCAAGCAGAGATGGGTGCCGTTTGTTCCACGAGGTTAGCCGATATGGGTGTTGCTCATTGTTCATCTATTGTTTGTTAGCGGAACGAAACAAGAAAATGCCGCCAACATGGATGCCGAATGAACATTGATTTTACTTCCCATTGTCAAATCTGATACGGGTTTTTAAATATGATATAAAATCATGCATGAAAACAACCGGGAGGGCAGTGAAAAATCGGTGGAAAGTTTCGACAGCGTGTGCCTGATGGTGGGCAGTAAAGAAGACGCGACGAAACGCAACGCCACACGGGCCCATTTCGGTATTTAGACGCAAGGATTCCATGGTGCAATCGGAGTGTTCCACACGAGAAGCGGTTGCAGTACTTTTATTTCCCTCGCGACCGCAGGCGTTGATTTGTTCTCATACAATGACTTTCAAGTGTTAGGTCCACGACATGACGTCCAAATAAAGAACAAATGTTCTGCCCCAGATCGCTTTGTTCACAAAATATTGGCGTGTAATTGCATTGCACACATTGCCAAATACTGTACCTTGTGTTAAGTTATCGCCCGTAGACCAAATTCCTGTGCAATAATTACCCACAGTGTCAACAAACATTAGAAAGAAGGTCAAAGGCCAAACATGACTTCTTTTTTTTCCTTTGCGAGTAGTAGAATGCATGTCCAACCGTTTAGAAAGCACGCAAAAATGATTTATTTGAGCAGTCATGCGGTATGCACTGAAGTGAGGTTTAAGGATTAATCAAAGAAACAACCACGTTTTATCGTGCCGATCATGTCTACGTTATATGTAATTATCTTGTTAGATAAAAGCTACGGAATTTTCAGAAACTGGTTATCAGATGAGAATATTTCCCGCAATTATTTGCCAAAGTACATCGTGTAGGTCCTATCTGTTTCAAAGTCCGTGCCTTCACTGTGTGTCATTTTCACGGGAATCATTTTGCCGTGGGGAAAATCGAGACTTCTGCTGCTCAAACGGACCGAAGAGGTACGTGCTAAAAGCTCTTGTAGTGTATGTTGTAGGCAATATAAGAAACTCTACACTCAATTGACACTGCTGTCAGAATTCGTGCTGGCTATTTTTGGGTATTTCACCAGTATAAATGGTCACATCGACGAATGAAAGATCGTTTACACGGCATGTTACAGTATCACTGCACCTATAGAGTTTACCCTCACGGTCAGGCAAACCAAAAAACAACAACAACAACAAATAACAATTGGAGTATCACTGTTCAAAGTTTTTTTCTATAAATTTAGTCAAATTTCCATGTGGCTACATTTTGGTCGCTCCTCTTCTAAAGTTGTTTAGATTTTATCAGAATGAACCCTACTAAAGGCCGAATCAAATAATATGGGCCGACATGTTTCTTTTGATTTACACGGGGCGAGGTGAAATGCCTGCGCAGCACGGCCCCGGTTTTGATTAGCGCCAAGCTTTCATGAGTTTTCCCACTTGTGCTTGGTAGTCCTTTTAACACCAATTGAGCAAATGTCAAATAGTTTGTCACTGGTAAATTTTTCTATGGACCACGCATGCACAAAGACAATTCTTTGTCAACGGCCCCCCCCCGGAGATTTTGTTGGTAGGGTTAAACATAACGGATCTTCCTGCGCACAGAAAAAACTCTGTTTAACTGTAGTCAATATGTATTTTTGCCATAAATGTACGTTTCCACTATATTTGAGCGACGATATTCTGGATTGCTCTTAGCAATCACCCCCCATAAACACAACAAAAAGGAAAATAATGTTATCACACCTGACATAGGTATTCCGAACTGACGTCTGATAATCCATCTAATTTGGCCCAGTAAATAAACTGTGACCGATGAGATCACAAACTAAATGATTTGAAGAGGGATAGATTGATACACAAAGGCAGCATATGTTTATAACGTATAAAGGAATTTATAAGAAACTAGATAGAGCCAATTAGATTTAATCAGCTCAGCTGCATCCATCATCACCCACTCTCCGTGGGCATACCGAGAAAATACCGAGATGGCAAAGTCAACATTAACACAACGCACGCATGGGTGTCAAAATTCAATAGTCCGCAACATGGGAAACAAACAACGGGGAGCAATAAAATATACAGCTGGCAATCGATGATGAACGCCCTTCAAATGAATGATGCCCGTGATGGGGTATACATGTCCTCAGATTAGTCCACGGTATTCTTGCACTGAGGCACTTTCTGATGCGTTGGGATAGGATAACAGAGTCATAAATTGCCGTTTCGCATGTCTACAAGCCTCATCATCGTCTCGGCATAAGATTTCGAAAAGGTGACAGTGACTCGTACGCAACGTGCTCGTGGCCAGCTCAAGCTTTTGTTTTAATACGAAGGCGTTAATTTTGTCACCAAATAGAAATGATCGACTGCTCGTGAGTATCTCCCCTCAATTATATTTTGATGTCCGTTTTTCCTGCTACACCGCTCTACGTTCTCTTTGCCTTGCGGATTATGCACTTCAATACGCCGGAGTAGGCAGTTCGATTTTGAAAGACAAAAGTCACGTGAACAAATCAGTCATGCGAAACGCATTTTCATCCAGATAAGTGCCCGCGTGTGGGAGCGTTTTTGAGATGACATATGAAATAGCTCGCAAATAAACAGCTCATCGTACTACATGTAGCGTACTTTTTCATGTAGTTCAACGAAGCAATATCTCCTAATGATTGAAACTAATCTTTTTTTTTATTGCTTTTTGCCATGTAGGCCTCTACCGTGCTTTGGGAGGCTTTAATCTTTCAATGATTTAGGAGACTTGAAGTAAGATTTTAGATTTAGATTGTGCAACATTATTATTCATGGAGTTCAAAAATAATTTATTGCCCATCTGTTCCTACACACCTGTCTTGGCAAAACGTCAATGAATCATCAGCATTCGTCAAAATTTATTGCAAAATGTGACCGGACAAATTGAAATAGTTGGCGTACACTTTATCAGAGATCACGCTATTGGACAGAATTTTGCGTGTCGCTGCGAAATAGTGTTGAGATCCGTACTAACAAGGGGAAAAATCACCAGCTGGATCAAAACGGGACTACGGGGAACGGTGGACGTTGTTGAGTTGACAAATGACGGGCCAGCAGACTGGGGGGCTGAAACGTGCCGCGTATGCCAGCCGACTGGATCGGGCTCGAGTGCGCTTGAAAACCCTACACGATCGGTGTTGATGAGGCAGTTCAGAAAGATAGATCTGTTTCCCCCGGGTAAAGCACCACTTGTGGACGCTATCTCGCCTCATCTGACAGTCATTTCTGCGACGAGGCATACAGCCACAGTTCATTTCTTCCACTGTTCATAAAAAGTTATTTAACCATTAATTTTACCACGTTAAATCTGGAATCAGAGCTTGGTATGAATGGGCGTTAAAATGTGGCTTAACAGTGTAGAAAAATTGTTTCATTCATAAGAATAAATAAAGGATATCAAACAAATAGAAATAGACGAACATAAACAAAACCTTGGTGTTGACATAACACTGAAAGTATAGTTTTATTTTTTTGTCGCCGATGTCTGTTTAGGTACTTAGCAATCGGTATAGATATCACGCACTACTAAATGGACAACCAAGCTTTTGCCAGTGCTGACGTTCTTCCCTAAAGAACGTATCGTTTCATGCTCTTAAAACGTTTTAAAGACCAATCAGACAACACATTCTACTGAAGTGGATGTCAGATGCATGGACGTTGCCCACTTATGTTGCGAAAAAAGGAATCCATATGGTCTGGTATATTGGGTACCAGAGTTTTCGAGTGAACAATCTGCGATACAAATGAACTTGTGCATTCAGATTTCCATCCCAGGCTGTTGCTGCGTTGTTGTGTGTATGGGGACCTTGCGCCAATGACGCCCAATGCTGGAAGGGTCAGGTGTTTGGTGTCATTCCCGTCCACGGTGAACATTGTCTTAGTACTGGCATCCTCTTTATTATGTACACAAGTTTTTTTTCTCTATTTTATAATCTCATCACCTACTTCCAGCTTGAAATGTGCCGTGACATTTTGAAAGTTCAATGTCCTCAATGTTATCCAAGAATATTCTCGCAAAAGGGCAAGACCACCTGCAAACTGAATGTGGACTGATTGTAACGTAATGGACTCACAAGTGGGCCTCGTTAAAATCCGAGTATGCGAGATTTTTCACATTAAGTATCACTGCACTGGTGTAATAATGTGCGTTCTTTTTTTTTAGAGGCGTCCCTTTCGGGTCTAACTGAAAAAAAAAACAGGATGGAAAGCAGGCCTCGAAATTTGGTTCACCGCGGTGCCGTGGTGACATCTCTGTTACTAATGACGGTCTTCGTAGGGACGGACTCCCAGGACGTGTGTCAGAGCGGCACTGGGCCCGGTGGCAGCGGGACCCGGTGTAACTGCCAGCAGGTGGAGCCGGACGCGGCGTTCAACATCGACTGCACCGGTCGATCACTGACGGACATCCCCACTATACCGGTCAACACCGCAGTGTTGTAAGTCGCCTGCTCTAATTTTGCAACCTCTTTTGAATTTTATCTCAGCTACCATAGTTTTCGTACAGTACAGATGCAAAACTTCAGGAGAGTGATAAAGCAATCGATTCGATTCAATCCAAGGACAATAAGGAAATCCATTCTGGTGGAGAAATTGAGTTTCTATCCCACTGATTTGAGGCACGTTTCAATCTTACACATTGTTCAGTTTTATAAATCTTATCGACAATATCAATAGGTTATCGAGCTAATACAAAACTTTACAGTTGCGTCTATTTATGGCGCTGACTTTGTTCATTAACAGTGAATTTTGCCTGGTATCCATGCATTTAATGAGAGATAAGCGAGGATTATTCCGATAAAAGGATGGATGAAAAAGATATGATGACATGCTTATAACATTTCCTGCTTTTGTTGTTTTGTTTTGTTTCGTTGTAAATTTGCTTTCAAAGAGATCTGACTAATAACAACATCCAGCTAATCCGAGAACAACATTTTCGGCGTCTGGATACGTTACAGAAATTGTAAGTCGAAACTTTGCCACATATATTTTGGGAATATTTGTTTGGTTGTGAGCAAATTTGCGGGATGAGTGTCATATGCGAATTAACATTACACAGGAAAATAATTTCATGTACACTTTTGCTTTAATTTCCAGAACCTCACAAATCATTACTTTAAAGGGTAGCTGCAATGAATTTGTTTTAAATAAATAATGACCTTTAAAATCACCTTTGTGTTTCAGTTAACCTTATTTTCAGTTTTTGTTCCACTATTTTACTACCTTTTTGGTTTTATGCCAATGAGTATTTCCATATTCATTAAGAAAAAAGTGATGTCATCCCAGGAAGAAAGCCGAAATGATACACTGGTTTGTAAACCCAAAAAGCATGCGTTTTTGTAGATTTTGCTGGACTACATTTTCTCTTCTTTGCTAATTCATTGTTGTTTATATGCATAGCAATACGTGGGCACGAGTGCTTTTCTCTGAAATGTTTTCAGTAAGCAGATTCTGGCGTCACAATTTTAATAGAAAATCCGGTGCACAGAATTGTGTCTTCCCTGGATGACATAACGGCAACAGCGCCCTCAGTTGTCCAGGAAATCATGGATAATTTTAAGCGTTTAAAAAAGTTCACCTTTCAGTGCATTTAACCGATTGTTTATGAGTGTTCATACATTGAAGAAGAGTACAAAGTCGCTGAAAATTTTGTCTGATTGTTGATTGATGTAATGATCGTCTGTCCTTATCGCTTTCTTTTCCGCCTTTCGCTTCAGAATACTTACAGGTAACCCGCTCGAATGCGGCTGCAACTTGACCGATTTCAAAAGCTGGATCATCAACCTCGAGAGCGTGAGTGCTCAGATCGTTGAGGGTGCCGTGTGCGGGGACGACAGGTACAGCGGTAGAGCGGTAGTAGACGCCACGTTTTGCTTTAAGAGTGAGTGTTGCACGTCGTGTAAAGGAACGAGGCAATGAGCTCTTTACGCGTTGCGGTGCCAAAAGAGGCTGGACTGGCAAGAGTACACAATGGATTTTCGCGTTACAGTCTCACAAACTGCTTAGAATTACACAAAAGAGTTTTCGCATTGCAAGTGTTGACTTGATTTGGGCTCCAATCGGGGTTCTTTGAAATGAGCAGTGAACTTCCGCTACTACAGTGACAACGTTCAGTGCCACTAAACCCACAATTAGGTCATGCGAAACATCATACGTTTAAGTAACCCTTTGAAAACAGCCTAGATAGCATGATAATAAGCCATTTGCGAGTTCAATTTGAATAAAATCTGGTGCACTGAGTTATCTGACTGCACATAAACGTAACGATTTGAATGCCCCAGACTAAAGACACTGTTGCTACACCTCGTGATTTGGGGCAAGCTTTTGCATAGCGACCACGATCTCTGGAATGGACTGGTTCCTTTGTGCCGTTCTTATCCATTAAGAACAGTGTATTGTTGCAAGGCGTCTCTTATGTCACTAAGCAAAAGCTTGCCCCGAATCACGAGGCATAGCGACAGTGGTTTTAGTAAGGAGAAATCAAATTGTTATGTTCACGTGAATTTAAAGAACCCAGTGTGCCAGATTTGGGTCAAAGTGAACTCGCAAAAGGCTTATTGAACTTAAGGGTCTTAGTTGTCTGTCGAAACACAAGGATCTGGCAAGTCTCACCTTTTAAAGCTTTCCTCATTGATGTTCTGCGGTCAATTTGTTCACAGACCGTCTGTGCCACACTTGCCTCAACGCTGTTGACAGTAGTGAATGCACTACACGCACGTGCTTTCCTGTAAGTCAACAATAAAAACGTTACGTTGTATTCGGGAAAAACTCCTGAAATGGAATCAATGATGATAAAGGTCTAAACTCCCAAAATTGAATCAACGTTAGATAACAGTCTAAAAACCCGCATAAAGCTGTGGACCAAAAAGGGCCAAAACTCGGGCCGGCAGCCTGGATTCCACACTTGCACCAACCTCTGTACAATAAGGCCAACAACATGCCACATTATTGGTTGCAAAAGGTCAAATTACGGCAAAAGCGTGATTGTGCTGGGACCGTGGGTATATTTTTACACAGGAAGACGCCTGCCAAAATGAGGTGGCCTACGCTGTGGATGGAAGCGTCTCGATGAATAAATCCTGTGTTGTCATGATGAACTGTCAAAGGGCCGCTTCGTCCGTTAACCAGGCCCAATGCCGACAGACTGACGGCGGGGCCTCGCGGTGCATTTACTGCTGTCAGAGCGACGGATGCAATCAAGAGCTCAACACCATCAACGGTAAGTTTGCATTATATGTTTCGATTAAGGCTAATCGAGCCTTTCAGTTATTTTGTGAACGTTGGTGATATTTGCGTGAGTAGAAAATTGCGTTCCATTTTACTCTTTCAGATACTTACGTCTTTCCTTTTCGGAAGCCGCTGGTTATCACAACTGCAGCACCAAGCACAACAGGTAAATTTCCGTCGATTTACTGATAGTTAAATTCAAACTTCGAAATGGGAATCTCAACATTTAAAATGCAGAGGCTGAAATGCGAAATTTTGGGGAAAACTTTGCCCTTTGCACACAGATACGAGCCACGTCACCACCGATTCTCCGATGACAAGTTTCCCCGTGACGACACACAACTGGGTAACCATGCAAACACACACCACGGGAAGGACTCCGACACCTCTGCTAGAAACACACCCAGGGACGGATAGCGTGGTCGCGTCATCAGACCCCGTTTCAACAAGCCGATTGCTGTACACAGGTACTGGATCCCACACTTCAACGTCCTTCCCAGAAACCGCATCTTGGCGCACAGAGAACAAGGTTCAAACTTCGGCAGCTTACATGACAAAGGAAGCGTCGTCTGCTGGAACCGAATCCCCAACTACGCCGCCCTTCTTGGGAACTGACACTGCGCCGACGGAAATCATGCTGGAGACCTCAGAACCCTTTTCAACAACTGGGACAGCCACGTTTGGAACCCATCTTAGCGCATCTTCGGGACACCTTTCAACTGACACTTCCCACACAGACATCGGACATCAGACGACTCCTTCAATCTCAACAGATTTTGAACAAACTAACAGCTGGCGGTCTCCAACAGAATGGACAGACAACAAACCTCAAACAGCCACTGCCACCTCACCATCCGCTCATTTTACCTTTACAGACAGGGGATTGCAGTCGACCGACAACAGTCTGGTGAGCGAAACTCAACCGACAGACAGTGGACGGGACACCCCACCACCATACCAGGTAACTTCGGAGACACCCCTAGGAACTGCAGCATCGTCCCCGTCCACGTCACAACCCACCACGGAGTCTAAATCATCGTCACCCAGCAGTGAGGTTCCTCCAAGCCACATGTGCCCGGAAGAGGTGACAGAGGGCGACACAGGTGTCGTCACGTGGCCGGCACTAATTGCCAACCGGACTGCTGTCGTCCCTTGCCCGTACCCGTCCCTCACGGATCCGGAGACCGACCGATACGCTCGTAGAACGTGGTAAATTTTATTTCTGTCTTTCCATAAATGATTAAATCTTGAATCAATAGAACCAAGATATAAGTCGCGCCTGAAATAAGAGATAAGTCAAAGTGAACAACTTTGTTGACCAATCGAAACGAATTTCTATGCTTTGGACAACCGCGGTGGAAAACTGTATTTGCAACAAGCGAAGTTAACTTTCCTCAATCAAACAAACGAAACTGTTGAAGTTTTAAGATAGCACTATCAAGAACAAAGCAGCCTTATTAGTGGAAAGTAAAACCATGATTGATTTTCGATTTTGTTTCGATTCAGTTTTGGGTATGCCAGCATAGGCTGGGTCATCTGGGAAGAACCGGACATGAGTGAATGTCCCACCGCATCGGGAGCCCTGGAGGAACTTATCCGCATAAACATCACATACGGTAAAATGTGTTTTCTGTTTCATTTAAAAAAAATAATTTAACCTTGTGATTGTTTTTTGTGTTCAAAAGAGTACACCTGCTGGCAGATCTAAAGCGGGTTTAGCGGGAGTTCAAACTTTGACCCGCTTCTATAACTCACTCACTTCAAAACATCAAGGAAATCAGTTATTGGTAGTAGGTTTTGTTGAATTGAAGGTGGTTAAAACAGAGGATAAATTCGTTTGCAATATAAAGGGAAGTTTGGACAGTGAGCACAACTCAACTTCACTCGCTTTACATTTTTTATGTCTTTAACTTTAAACTAGATAATGTGCTAGACGTTTCTGATCAGCTTAAAAATGTGACGTCATACGCCCCGGCACTAACAGCTGATGATGTGGCGGTCGTTGTGGATGCCCTCAAGAGCCTGCTGGAGGCCCTCATCCGGTACCCTGAGAAAGGTCAGGAGATCTTCCTGGATGCCATGGTAACGGCCAATCAGATGACGTCAGTGAAGTTCGAAAAACTTGTGGAGAGTCAGAAAATAAACCGCACAACGAGCAGGTAATCAGATGCTACATCAACTATCGGTTTTTACTGTCAGCATTCAATTCACTACTTCTGATCTTCTGTTTGTACAAATGTTTCTGTTGCTATGACAGTCCAGTTTTTGATAACCAGTCGCGAGCAAGTTATGATTGAAATTCTTGCAGGCTTTTGCAACTCATCGATGAAATAGCGCTCCACGTCCCCTTACTGAACACATCAACGTTGACGTCGGAGTCACGTGCTTTCGACGTCATCATTCTCGATGTCGCTGATCAGTCAATCGATAGTCTGCTTTTCGGTGGTTTATTGGAGAATAACAATGTGAAGGTACCTACTCACTACAAATCGCGTGTAGTTTAGCAGATCAATCAAATCTTTGCAATTACAAGCATGTATGTATTAGGCACTTTTTCAGTTGACATAAAAATATTGGTGCATTTAATTATCTGTTTCAATCAGCATGAAATATGCACTATCAAATTTCGGGTTTGAGCACAATACAAATTCTTGCAGGTTTTTTATAGGCATTCATTTTGTTTAGTAATGAAAAACTGTGCTTTCAGCCCTTCGTTGTCTTGAACGGAAGTGCCCCAGAGAACGCGACAGACCTCATAGGATCAGTGCTTCTTCCACCAAGCCTCCTCCACATACTTGGAGACCAACTGAGCAGGACACAGTTTTTGTTGTACCAAGACACAACATACTTCAACGTAAGTAGATTTCTGCGAGTTGACTTCCGTTGCTTCGTTTATTGCTGTAGGTGTCTCTTATATTTGAAGAGAGATATATAATTATAGTGGTTTCCGTCTCTTATCCTGTCCGAAAGGGGAGGGGGGATGGCGGTTGCCATGAGTAAACAATATAAGACAAACAGGGTTCGCATACTGTCAAAACAAGTTTCAAACCCTTTTTTGAATTTGTTTTTCAGCTCTGTAATGCCACCTACAGAACTTGTCTCTGATCTCGCCACTTCCACCTTGCTTGACACAATTAAATTTTAAAAATGGTCTTGAAATATACCCGTGTTCGATAGGAAAAATCCCAAGTCTTGTCACTCTTGCACTTTCTTTTGGAATTTTATTTTAGGTGGTCACAACATCGGTGGAGCACCCCTTTGGTGATTTGAAACCGGCCCCAGAGGGCGCTGTCACGCTGCTGAGCAGCGCCGTCATATCAGCGGGCATGGGCAACCTGTCTGTCGTTGATTTACGAGAGCCAATCTTGATGCAACTGAAGAGGACTCACACAGTGAGAATCAAGGGTCACTGTTATAACTGTGCAGTAGTCTGCTTGCCACACAAGTTATGGATAACACAATTTAAAACGAAAGCCTAAGAGAAAAGAAAAGAAGGCAAGCAAATATATTAATAACATATACCCAAGAGAGTACAATGTCCAGAACCGAGTCCTTTGGAAATTCTTTCAAATCTATTATTTTTCTGATGGATTCATGAACCTCAATTATCCACAGGAAGCTAAAAACCCGCAGTGCGCTTACTGGGATACAGCAGCCAATGGTAAGCCAATTAAAAAGTGAAATCTGCCTGTGTTGAAAGTAGGGCTTTCATTCTATGCGATGCCATCTTTACGGCAGTTGCCATAAAAACATTGCTTCAGGCAGTAAGTGTGTATGCTTATAAAGCTAGTCACAAACAACGGAGAAGGAAAACAAAACCATGACAAGCCTGTAGATTTGAAAGATTTCTTATTTTGAGATGATCAAACCAGAACCAAATGTGTCCCACCTTTAACAATGATATCAACGAGTTTATTTTGATTAATTTATTTTGAAGATAAACAAGGCGGCTGGTCGACAAAAGGCTGCGAGGTGAACTTTGACCTGTCGGACTCGACGTCTGTCGTCTGCGAATGCAACCACCTCACCAACTTCGCAATGTTGATGGTGGGTACATTGCTCTAAATAAGCGAACATTCAACTCGTAGGAAGCCGAATTTGATCAACTTGAAAGTAGTCGTGCGCATTAAACGCCATACTTACGCACTATAAATCAATGCGTTCTCCGCTAGCTCCCTCGAGAAGGGCCGATCCTGCAACAGACATTGTTGTCTGTGGCTTTCAACGCAACAGGTCAACGACAAAAAACGAAGTCGTATCCTCAAGACAGCTGATTCAAACGTGGCTAAGGCCACCTACACAGAGGCCATACTGATGAATGAGCAGACAATGTACTCAAGTACATCACAACTGCAAGTCCTTGCACCAATCCAGTCACGATTTCCTCCAAAACCCCGTCGCAAGAAACAGCTAGTGAGGAACTTGACTACAACACAGTCATACTCCAACTTCTTTCTCTTTTTCTTTTTAGGACGTATACAATAGTGGTGAGCCGGATCCCGTCCATTCGAAGATACTTGCCATCATTTCTTATATTGGCTGCAGCCTTTCAATTTTGGCTCTCACGTTAGCTATCGCAACGTTGGGATGCTGCGGGTAAAATATATTACTTCCATTTGTTTTAATAATTTGTAAGCTGAACTTCTGTACCTGCACTACTACCGTGAACTACCAATAACTTAAATTGACTGAGGACAATAATCGATCGCCTATCACAACATCAGTTAATTTCAAACAAGAATTGAGTTAATCAATACATTATCAAAGATCTTTCGATAAAATCCTCCATTGTACCCTCCATTTCATAGGCAAACCTTCATTAAACATCAACGATGATAGAATTACTTAAAAATTGATTATTCAATAATTAGTCAACATTTAATCGGTCTTTTCAACCTTACCATTGCAGAGAAGAGCCAAAATACCGAGTCACTGGAAGGTATGGTATTATTTCTGATTTAATCTATTTCTGTGACGTCACTACTTTGTTCAGAGTGCAGATTACTTTTGCAAATCATCCGCAAATGGTAGATTGGTATAGACGAACAAGTTGACCTTGAGTTCCCCCGCTCCCTCGTTTCGGTCAAAGAAGTTGTGACCGGAGGGATATGGGTAAAGAATAATACTGTGTTGGCACCGTGACACTGAGTGTACTAGTAGGGCCTCGTAACAGGCACAGTGGGCATATTTAAAGGATACCAGGAACGCCCACACTCCGGCCTTATTGTGTATGTTTGCCTTTCTCCATAGAAAATGACGTATAGTTTGTTTTAAATATCAATGCTTTGTAAAGCAGATTTTCAATAAGGATTTGAATTTTCTCTGCACTTTTCATTAAGGAATGAATTTGATGGTTTTGGCTGCTTTTCTGTGTCTACGATTGGCACAGTCTTTTTATATATTTGATTATAGCATAATTGAACTGACGCAAACTCGGACACATTTTCTAGTTGCTCCAAGAATGTCCTGATCAGTCAGAATCACTGCTCCCCGAGTTTACGGTCCAGCACATATATTTCTGTTCATTTCACCAGTTCACGGTTTTAGCCCTGAAGGTTTCACTGTAATGACACACGTGTAATAATTAATCTAAGGCGCGAGAGGAAGAGAAGAGATTACAGGTATATATCCAGCACTGAGTGTCGACTGCACAAATACTCTCAAGAAGCTGATACAGCAGTCCTCAATTTCAAAGAGTCCTGTGGTGGTTCTAGTCCGCTAGGTTTCGTAGAAATGGCAGACGTATAATAATGACACTTAAGTTGAAAGAGGAGAATGTATCCAGCACTGACGGTGTTGACTGCACTAATACCGTCAATTTTTCACGTAGCCCAAACCCAGGCACGTTAATCGAATGGAACAAAGGTGTGCACTCTGTAGTCGAAGGGTTAACCGCCAGAGTGTCATAGACTCAGGACTCCATGTTCGTTTAACAATGGGAAATAGTTTCAGTCAGAGAATAGATTCGGAACTGTACATTCATATGAAGCGCGATATGAGACGGAGAGAGCCCCCCCTTGTGTTGGTCATTGCTTCACTGGAATCTGAGGAATTCTTTTCATACGTGAGGGGGGATATGTTTGGTAAAAATAGTCTGAAGTGTGTGTATGGCGATTGGACATGTTGGGGGGTACCCCCTGGTCCCATTTCTTGCTGGATTTGCGCAAGAATGGGCTCGATACAGTTCCTCGTTCAGTCTCCTTGCCTTACTGAAGATTTCTTAGAATTTTTTAATATACCATTCGCCAAAAAGTAGGAATCAGTTTGTTATTAAGTTATACCAACCGCAGCAGATCAGATTTGGAAAAGCGAGTGCTTTTCAAGTCTCACTTGTAAACTACATTCCTGCGGTTCCTCGAGACCCCTTCTTGCAAAATTTTGGAACAAGACGAGCCCAGCTTAATGGTCTGCATGAGCTGAACCTAATAAATCTTTCGTTGGTATGAAAAGAGCACTATAATCAACACTAACAGGAATCCAACGACTACACAGACTCTTACAACGCAAGATTTGTTTTGAATGCATATACAAGCATTTAGATGTATTTGGACCCCTTTCAAGGCACGCTACTGTGTTTACTCATTCCTGGTAGGGAAAATAATTTGTTACACAAAAGCATACCACTTACGTTTCAAATATTGTTATCACGCCATGTTCCCGCAGCGGCTCCCTCAACATGGGCACCAATGGCAAAGCCCGGGCCGACCGCCACACCAACATCCTGATCCATCTGTCTGTCGGGCTCATCCTGTCCGATGTCTCCTTCCTGCTGAACACGGTGGCCGTGGAACTGGAGCTCGGCCGGCACATGTGCGTGGGCATGGCGGTGGTCACCCACTACAGCCTCCTGGCCGCCATGGCTTGGATGGCACTGGAGGCCTTCAACATGTACCTGGCCCTGGTGCTTGTCTTCGACAAGTACTACTCGCGATTCATGCTGAAGATGTGTCTTTTTGGATGGGGTGAGCCAAGTGAAAAATAATGGACCGTAGTATGATTTGTAGTATAGCGCGCCGCCTAGAGATGGTGAGGCAAGCAGCACATCCTGACACAATCGGACAACATCTTGCTGTCGGGTTGTGTAATCCTGCAGGGCTATTCTTGTCTTCTACGGAGGCCGTTAGGAGACAAGATTTATTTCGTTCCCTCGAATAATGCTTTTGTTCCCTCGAAATCATTTTACGGAGGCTTAAAAACGACCATCTCTGTTCCAGACGCGTAGCGAGAGCTGTATGTGTGTCTTGTAAAACCGTTTTCACTTTTCGAATGTATGTCTAGTTACGAAATCAATAACGGTCAGTCCTGGAATACAGAAGTGACACTCGGTGGTTCATTAACAAGAAATAAACCATTTATGCTCTTTCAACTCTGAACATGCGCCGTTTAGAACACATTGGGTATTCAGGTTCCAAGATTTGTGTGTGTGGGTGGGTGGGTGGCGGGCCGTATCCTATATTAAATAACAAAATGTATCGGTGACCAAACCATTTCATATGTCCATGTATTTATCTCCCTGTAAAAATGAGCAACATTTTAAGTGAATTTAATTCACAAATGGACATTTTACCATTGGTGTGAATCCGGGGGATGGGGTATATGTCCCTAGCTTTTTAACCGGTGGGAGTGGCAATCATCCCCCACTCGTGGTGAGAAAAAAACATGTCACGGACTTCCAAACAACCAAAATGTATTCCATAGCACTGAAGGGAGCAAAACAACGATAAACTATCAATAAGCCGGTTTTTCTCTGTAAGTAATTTACCTTTCCTACCCGTGTGCATACATTTTTGTGAATTGACAAAGCTTAGAGTCACACGATAATTTTTATTGAGCTATTTTATGCAAAGCAATCGATAGCGATGCAGGTATGTCAAAATTTTCAAAAATATATTGAGATAATTGGCATCACACTAAATGTAAGTCATTGAAACTACCTTAGTTTTGTTACTTTTTCTTACAGAATTAGACCCTGCGTGGTGTCAAAAATATAACCGTAAAATTATTGGATTTTCCTGACTTGATTGTGTGATATTGAAACACGTTACCCCAGTATAAAGTAGCAGCATATTCAAGGAGAATTATATTGTAAAAATGGCAGTATTCACCAAAAGAAGGTCAAATTACCAACTGTCTGCACTGTCACGCTTTTATTATCCAACAGTTACAGCAATAAATCAGAAGCGGAAGTGAGATCGATTAATTTGATAAACAGAGAAAATGGTACCGGTATTTTCAAATTTCATTGCAGCCTCGATCATTTTCCAGAAAATTTTCAGATATTTTCAGTTGCCCTAATCAAAATAGTTTCCATCAAGTTTCAATGATCTGTTTTCATTGGTCTGATTTGCTTCACTCAGCGTCCCAATTTGCTTCCACAACTTCGCTTCCATTGCACTCCACCACACTTTACCCCTACTAAGACACTGCCGCCTTTGCGTGTTAAACTACATTTTCACGAAGAGAGGAACGCCGCAGGATTTAAGACATCTTTTGTAGTAGAGGATTCAGAGACTCGGAAAGGGTGGAAGAAAAACCTTCCTTCGAAAAAAAAATATATCCAAGGTAAAACATAACTGAAAAACGTAATTACCCCATACCTCCGTGATAATTTATAAGGCAACAGTGTGGGTGTCATTTCGAGGAAATCAATCTTTTAAAATAGTTGCCCCCTTAGGGGCTCCGTAGCCTCGCTTTTTGCAGGAGGTCAAAAGGTGGACGAACGCAAGTACTGGATTTCCAACTCCAAAAGCGACACCTGTTTATTTTTTAAGCTCAAACAAAACTTGTGTCTCGGCAGGAATCTCCATTCAATGCATATCAAAGGAGGGCCTCTTTAACTTCCTGGACACTGGCCAGCCCATCCCAACAAAAGCACCCCGCTTAAGCAGCTCATTTATAGAAACTAATTTCCGGGGCTTGCCCAGTTTAAAACTAAGGATCTAGGTCAGCACGCCATGACAAACACGCTGCAGGGCGGCGAACCACTGGCATCAGGGAAAAACAAAGAGACGCCCAGTATAACTGTCAAGCTCGGCATTCCGAATCTTATTAGGCTCCGTCTGAGATTTTGGCTGCGCGATGGCATATCGAGACTAGGGGATTTGTCGGCGAGGGAGCGAAATCCCCCCAGCCTCCCTCCGTGGGGGGAACTGTGTCTGAAGCTAGCAGTAACACATGTGTCTGTGGGAAGTGGATTAGCATAAAGACACATTATTAGGACCGGAAATAATGTGTCTATACTCGAAGGCATCATTGCAAAGATATCATCGCTAGCGCTCTGTCAGTCAATGCTGCATGGGCGAGGTGTGAACGAATACGAACCAAGCAAGGTCACTCCTTAGATCTCCATAGACTCTTACTTCGTTGACCGTGAGTTTCCTCAATTTAGGTACTCCAGACCGACTCCTTATGGATCTTTGTCTGCTACACAAACATTTAATCCTGTAACTCGTATTCAAAAATGTCAGCCTTTTTGTTTGCCTTGGGTGTTAATTAATCGAGGACCATACAGTTTTTACAGACCCAAGAAAAAGGCGTCGGTTGAGAGAGGGCCAATAGCCTTCAGTGAAAATACCACTTAGCAAAATAAACGTATATATCTGTCTTCCTTGGTAAGATAAATAACCAATAACAGAATTGTATAATGTATTTTTCTTTCATTTTTTATCTCTTTTTTGCAAACTCAGGTGCTCCTGTTATTATAGTGGCTACGACCCTCTCGATAAATTTCCCTGACCACTATGGCCTGTTTAATGGCATGTAAGTGGCACTTAAATCTCTTACACGAATTTGTAGTACTGTTCAAATCCCAGTTTATCTCCATAAAAGCAACAAAATTGGAAATAAGGGAAAAAATTTTTTTAAATAAAAGGAGAAGTGGATGCTTGTCATCTCAAACGATTATAATTATCCTTATAGACTAACCCGATTTGACGCCATAACTGCGGTGGCACCGCACTCACACGCACAATCTTCAGCTTGACGCGTGCGTGCACGTGGCAAATTACTACACACTGTTAGTCGAAGAGGCATGTAACGCGCGCGTACCATCTGTCCTAAGCGCTACACTATTTCCACACTAAAATCATTCGAAGTAAGGGTTCTGCTGAGAATTGCAAGACATGCTCGTGTCAGTGGATTACAAGACAAGTTCTGATTGTCATATTAACAAGATAGTCAAACTCAGAGTGCTTCATTGAGAACAGCTCATGTGTTATGGTTCTGGTGGTGTTATTGACTATGACAGAGTTTCTTTAAAAGTTCAGGCTGTTAACTGCGGTGCCCACATTTCGACCTTGACTAGCTCAGTGGTCGAGTGGTAAGACCTTTGTACAACTTAGCAGGTGGACATGATTCGAATCCCACCGGAACAAGCGAGTTTTTTTACAAGCTCTTCAACATTAAATTTGTCTCTTTGACAAATGAATTCTTGTTGTTACAAACACTCAGGCAAAACAAGTTTAATCTTGTTAAAAAGACAAGCTTTTGCTGTAAGTGCATCCCTCGCTGAAAATGAATTGGACCACCGTAAAATTACAACCTAGAATTTTTTGTCCGTTAGTCTTTTTATCTGTCTAATTAGCTTCCTTTGCTGGGGTGTTATTTTTTCAGATGCTGGCTAGCCCGGATCCCTTTTCTCGCCTCATTCCTCGCCCCCGTCTGCACCGTCCTCCTCTTCAACCTGGTCGTTTTCGTGGCGGTAACCTGGCAGCTCTGCAAGATGCGCAGGCGCAACATCAGCCAATCGCGCCGCCGGTTCGACCTGGCAGCCCAGTTCAAGGCATCGGCCAGCATCACCTTCCTCTTCGGCCTGACCTGGTCCTTCGCCCTCTTCGGCATCGGTGAGGCCAACCTGGCCTTCAGCTACCTCTTTGCCATCTTCAACAGCGCGCAGGGGTTCAACATCTTCGTGTTGCAGTGCCTCCTCAAGCCAACAATCCGCCAGCGCTGGATGAGGGTGCTCCGATGGCAACGGGAGGACATAAATGGCTCCTCCAAATCGTCCAGCGCCAAAGGTATATATCAATCTGATACACCTGATCTGATCTTAAAATTCTCCTGGACACTGCAAAAATTGCAATATTAAACATTCTTTGTACATGTCACTTTCACTTTCCTAACCTGGTCTTGCACCTGTATGAACGCACCCAGACAGACAATTTTCTACGCAGTTTTTGCACTAAGGCTGTTTACACGGGTAAGAGGTAATATTTCGATGGGGACAACTGCCAATGTCAAACTATCCGGAAAATATTTTACTGGAGTTTTCATTCAGCTTTAAGGGTATATAGATTATTGCTGGATTTGGTTGAACTCCCCACCAGAGAGGGTTGGGATCCACTGAAGACTAAGTCACTCGCGTTATGATTGGTACAGAAGTACATCGAAATGGGAAGCACAAAATAATAAAAACAACCTCACGGACAGTCCGCTTTCTTAATAATAATAATGCAATTTATTTACTTCCTTATCTTTCTCACTCAGATACTAACAACGTAGAGCTGTTCAAGGTGAAGGGTGACGGTGGAGGCCACACAAATGGGCGATTATAGTGGTTGGAAAAAGGGGAAGTGTAAATGAAGCTTGAAGGACATCAGCTTAAAGTGATGGTATCTGTGCAAAACCGTATGGTGACACTTCGAAATTTTCTCATCATGTAAAACCTATCAGGGGTTTCCAATTTCATGGGAGACTTGAGACGCTTGGTGACAGCAGACAAACTGGTCCTTTAGTTCGGATTACATGTTCATAGTCGTGCATGTGCTCAGAACTACACGAGGTATACGCAGCATTGCGCCGCATGCCCAGAGCCGGGAAAAAGTAGAGTTCATACTGCTATGGAGAAAAAAAGATCAGTATCTCTTTCAGCCCGTTGTGAACCACGGCAATTATGGATTCTACCTGCTCATATATTCAATAAAATATAAAGCTTTATGTCGATTCTGATATCAAGAGCTTCGAAATCAAGCGGGCACGAGATGTTGGCAGTACCTACATGCATTTCAATAATTTATACCAGCAGAAATCATTTGCCTTATCTCGTTGACCTTTTACAACTATCTGTGACTTTGAAAATTATTTATTACTCTAATGATAATCTCCGTGATCTATATGTTGCTTCACTTTCGATATGAAATGGGGGTCAGGGTGATAATAATTATATTAAATATGAAAAATGGTTGTTTTATCAATGAATCTTTTACACAGAAGCTCTTGCTTTGCTTAACTTTGCTAATACACTAATCCGGTGTCCAGCGTTTTGGAAGTGACACCCATGTATGTCTGCATGAAGTTGGAGGAACGGTGCCGGTGCAGTCCCATTTGTGAAACGCATTGTTAACGTACGTTTACCACCTGGCCACTAGCACGTTATCCATAGGATCGATCATATTGAAACTGAAAGCGAGATTAACTGTTCTGATACCATCCAAATCAACAGTTTACACTATGAGATAGATTCAAGGAACAAGATTTTAAAATGGCTCTCTTGTGAATAAGGTTTTGGATTTGCCCGAAACTTATGAAGCAGCCAAATACCTCGGTGATCCTTTGAGTATTCCATTTCTCCTGAGGCTTTCCTCAGGAAAATAGAATTCACCATGAATCACCTCGGGAGGCTATAGTTTATTGCACCACTCGAAGCTGTCAAATTTTGTATACTGTATTATTTTAGGCTATCAGAATCTATTAGTCAAGCTTGCGTGCTTGCTGAAATTACCTACTAGTTGATTAGATATGTTTTTGTTAATAATGTGAGTAATGAATGAGTTAATTCTTTACTGAAATAAAAGCGCAGAATAGTTTTCAGGACATCAATTCGATGTACACGTATTTATTTTGCTTTGAAAGACAAATACGGTCCTGGTGCATTTATCTGAGATTATCTACCACTACTGTTTCCTTGTAAAAGTGCTTTTTGCCTGGTCATAAAGATAAGACTAAGCCGACTGCAGATCTTTTATATTACTTCCATTACCCTTTGATCAAACTGTATCGTTGGAGAAGGACGGTGACTTTCCTTGGTGAACACATGTCGACACGATGACGGAACCTTCGGCGAGGTGAGTCCGTACAGCTTTCCTATATAAGAAAAGTATATTCCAGATGTTGGTGTCCATACAATCCAAAGAAGTTATCTGTCTCCTCTTGTGATTACCAGAAACGGTGGGATAATGCACACAGGGTCTTGATGACAGTGTTACTTCGCATTAATGAGCCTCTGCGATTGTGAAATGATGCAGGCTCTGTTAGCTTGTATGGGAGTAGGCTAGGGAGATTACAGTCCGATCCCCTGCGACCGATTACAATTCTAATTCCAGCAAACCCATTAGTGGAAATTGCAGTTGTCCATTTACTTAGCCAAAATTACACGGACTCTCTGTAGAGAAAAAAAATAAAACCTGTCATTTTACATTACGTTCAAATTAAGTAAGCAACCCCTCTGGGAACATGTTCTCCGCGGGCAGCCTGTACCCTACCGCGTCCTAGACAGTAATCTTCAGGGGATCATGGATCTTGAGGTTCGGGCGAGCGATGTTTTCGTGGTGTCCTATCCCAAGTCAGGTAATGTTTCTAAACACTCATGCGTCAGAGCAGTTTTCTTTCCTGAAATTGCTCTGTAAAAGGCAGCTGCATTAAAATCGGTTTTAATACAGACCTCAAATGGACTATGTGTCCCACTACTCTCTTTTCCATTTTGGTTTTAAAGAGTGTTTTGCTGCCTTCGTGGTTTTTATGCTAAAGGTATATTCCACGTATTCATGCCCAAAACTGTAATGTCATCCCAGGAAGACAAGCTCCATGTTGTACTGGTTCGTGCACAAAACCTTTTGCTTGTTTTAAGATTTAGCTTTCCTAAATTTCCTTTTAATTTGGTGATTCGTTGTCATGCAAGTACACACCCAATACGCAAGCGACCAATCCTTTCTCAGAAATGTTTTCAGTCAGTGAAGGCAAAGGCCAAAGAGAAACACACTGTCCTCCACCACGAACATCAACCTAAAAGTATTGTGGGCCCTTGCAGAAATACCTTTTTAAGAATTCTTGATTTTTCTGAAAATCCCTCCAGGCACTAACTGGGTACGAACCATTATCAATTGCATCCTGCACTGTCCAGACGAGCAGAACAACCTGAGCTTGCCACTCGAAATGAGCATGTGCCACGGCACGTCGCAGGGGGAGATCGAGGCGGCGACCCCGGTGTTCCGGATGGTGCAGTCGTGGGCATCCCCCCGTGTGATGTTCACCCACCTGCTCCCGTGGCTGCTGCCGTCGCAGCTTACCCAGAAAGGGGCCAAGGTATCAAGGCTGGGAAATTGACCAGCACTCCATCTCTTTTTTTTAATATTTTTTTTTATTACAGGTATCGCTCCAGTGTTATCAGCATTCTAATATGGGCAGTTTCGCTGCTACCGCTTTTCTCCGGGGTTCATTGACAGGGCCTTTACATTTTGCCTCGTGTTTTCCATTTGCAAGTAGCATGCATTTTTTTTATAAAACACAGATTGTGTACGTCTGCCGCAACCCCAAAGACGTGTTGGTGTCTTACTATTACTTCAGCAAGACTGTCAGATCCAGAGCAGAGCCAATTACTTCAATGGAAACTTACTTTGAAACTTTTTTGCAGGGAGAAGGTTAGTTGGACGTTGATTTTGCATGTTTTTCCCACAAACACTTCTCATTTGAGAAAACAAATTATGCGATTTAATCACCTGTGATTAAAAAACAGCAAATTTTAAATACCGCGTCCTAATAATATATTGGAAACAACTGCTTCTAAGCAAGTGCAACCTCATCAATAAAGTATAATTGCAATGAATTTGTGTCTCTAAGCAAACTGGTTTGTCACGACATATGCTTGTTATTGCGCCAAAAGCCTTTCTCTGATATGGAAATCGTCTGTTTTGTAGTTCCTTATGGATCCTACTTCACTCACGTTAAGCAGTACTGGGAGATGAAAGGGAGACGTGACATACTGTTCGTTAAATACGAGGATCTTAAAAAGGTACACGGACCTTGCTGTCTGCCATACTTGGAGAAATTCCTGAAATGCCGAGACGTCTTGTGAAAAATTTGTAACTCCTGTCAGATACAATGATATGATGAAGCCAAGATGAAAGATATCTGAGAGCACTATTACTTCGGCCGGAGCAGACGTTATGTTACTGAATAAAATAACGTAAAATTGAACGTTACACCGTGCCTATCAGGTGGTTAATCGTTTGCGACAGGTTACGAACATGGTGCCGCTTGTTCCATAGTCTCCATTCTTGACAACCACCACAAAACTCACTGGAGTTGAATGTTTATCAAATAAAGCTGAAGGGTTCAAACTGTTTCTACCGCGCCCTTTGGCGTCACGAGACTTTGCCTCATCTCGTTGAGAGAAAGTTTCAGTAAAATACAGTTGTAGTTCAGCCTCTGACTGATTTACTGATTAGATGATATTTCCAATCTGCTTTGTGACTCAGAAAACGAATGCAGTTATTGAACAAATTGCTACATTCCTTGGCCGCCAACTCAACATCCAAGAGATCGCGGACATCTCAAGCCATTGTTCTGTTGAGGGCATGCGCACAAAGTTTCGGGCGACGTCACAGGCGGTGTCAGTCATTATGGATGAATCACAGGGCGAGTTCATCAGACAAGGTGCTCCCTTCATTAATGTTCGGCATTTAGGTTAGCCAGTGATATAGCGTAACGTTGGCTTTGTCAGCACTTATTAAGCAAGTATGCTTGAGAAGAAAACGTGTCTGAAATTTTAGGTCCAATTCAAAGACAACAGAGTTAGACGCTCTAAGAAAATCGGTACTGAAGTTTTTGAAAATTTGCAGTGATCAGTCTCCTTTTTAAAAGTTATGTTTCGTTTTCACATCAACGTTTCTGTTACTTATGGCAGGTAAAGTCGGAAGTTGGAAGGAAAACCTGTCCGAGGCACAGGGCAAACGTTTCGACACGTTATTTAGAGATCGTCTCGCCGGCACTGGCCTTGCATTTGACTTCGAGTGACCGGAAAACTTTTAGTCTAGCCGAGTTGACGTTAACTTAGTATATATACCTGGATATCATAACAGATTTCATGATGTGACGATAAATGCTCGAATAAAGGACAGTGGACCTCTGTGTTACTTTGTCCCTCGATAAAAGATTCAGGAAGGAATAGAATATATGGAAGATTAATTGCAAACAATTGGAAATTATGAGAAAAACTGAATTTTGGATTGTTTGAAATTGCACGAAATAGCAGGCAAGCCCCCCTTTCCTTTGGTATTCAAATTGTAGAATCTCTTTTTTAGGGGAGGGGCTAAGCAAATAATCACTCGCAAGGAGAGAGGAAAGATAAATAAATGCAAATTGATTCTTTTAAAGCAACATTTCAAACGACATGAGCATTACAAACTCATTGATATTGCAGTATCCATTGGTTTTTGCATTTGGTTTTATTTCACATTTAGCTAGAACCGTCAGCAGTACTAATTTTCTTATTAAAAGAAGGAAAACAAATGACTGGCAACAGAATGAAAATATGACTCACATCCCGTCGAATTACAGAAAAGCATAATCGCCTGCCCCTTGAAGGATGTGGAGTGATGAATTATCCCCTTAATAAACAGAATATATCTTCAGCCCGCTTGGTACTGTTTATTCATAACAGGATGCACCTGGGAAAATGTTTGAAAATGTTATTAATTTTAAAACGTTCCATCTTCTCGTGAATATGGCTCAGTTTAATTCTTAAAGAAAAATGACAATATTTTTCATCATGTAAGTTATTCTCTCTTGAGTGCATAGATATACACGCATAGAAAAGAAACGGCGAACTGATCCAATTACATGTCACTATTGTACTGTATGCAGTCCTTCCATCAAATCATTTCTCGTAGGGGTGAGAAATCGATAGTTACAATAATAACGCATTAACTCTTTGCTTGTCAGAATCACCGCGCTATTGGGAGAAGCAATTAACCGTAACTGCCCACAACAGCTCCCCCGGAAATCACAAATTGTTCAGCTCCAGCAAACGACCCTGAAAACCTAATTAAAAATAAGCAGCAAGGCCTCGCCTGTCAGGTTGGCGGTTGACGGGGAAATTTCAAGCGAGCATCAAGGTGACATTCCTCTCCTCGATGTTCCAGTTACAATGTCTGACATTATAGAGACACTGATCCACACTCTTGAAGAGAAATCGATGAAGGATTACTCACTACTGGTGCCGGATAAAAAAGGTGTTTCCAAGGTACACGATTAGCTTTGTGAAAACCACTTAGAATTTAGGTACTTTCCCAAAAGCCTTTCGTGGGTGCGACGTGTTGAAAAATTGTGCACCAAAAAGGACTTTGAACAGTGTTTAAATACTAAGCACCTTTTCTACAGTGCACCTGTTGTAGAGTGTTTTTCTTTTTCCTTTTCTTTTTTTTCATCTATTTCTGCAGATGTCATTTGAATTCAATATGCACATAGATACGGTTTTTCGTTGCCAGTGCGTGAAACCAAACCAAGTGTTTTGTGACTGTGATTAGTAATTGTCCCTGGACTGGCCATGAATGAGTAACAAAAGATAAAAAGTTGTATTTTGCGTCTCCTGAAAACGTAGACCTAGCCTGAATCTTTTTTTCTTTGTTTTACATCGTAATATGCCTCCCTAAAGCTGCTCTGCCAAAAACAAGTTCTATCGTCTGATGAGAAAGCCATAAGGTTGTAATAATGATTCATTTCAGAGCCACACAAGCTCACAAAAGAGACAGTTTGTGCTACGTGGTGTCAACGCAAACCACTTGCCTTATAGCATTCATGATATGGACCAAAAAATGGCTGTGATAAATGAAAGCCCTTCTTGATATCTCGTTTAAAATGACAAATATCACATTTTCTGCTGGAACAAAAAAAAATAGAAAGCGGTAGCAATTGTACATATCAAACTTCACGGTATCATTTCACTTGAGAGGTCATGAGAATATATATAAATATTAAAATCACTGGCAGATTAATCCACTCAGCCAACAAAACCGTCTTCGATTCAGCTTCCTGTGTGTTCCAGTAGCCATTGTCAAAATAACGCAAGCTTGTGGAAATCACATTTTCATTTAAATTAAAATCAATCATGCAAAAAATGGCATTAATGTTCCCATGCGTTGGAAATTTTTAATTTGGTGTTAAGATTGCAAACAAGGATGCTGCTTTTCACCTTCTTTAGTTTTCATGGGAAGAAGATGAAGTTTTGGAAGTAAAATAACGCTGTTCTTCCAAATTTTAAGATTCCTGACTGCTACGGTTGTTCCATTCATTCGAAGAGTGCTTTGCAATTTGAGAGTAACTATGGACAAAACCGTCGTATTTCAAAGGAACCATCAGTTCATTTTGTTTCATTTAATATCGGCAAGCAGAAATAAGGAGCTGCGAACCTGCCCCATGAAGATAGCACATTTTCTAACAAACCAATTGGATTTGGATTTTAATTTACATTTTGATCTTTTCTTGAGGTGTGTAGAATGTAGATGACAGATTTAAGGGCCTGGTGAACAATGAATTAAGACCTAGAGATGAACAGTAACTTTTACTGGGATTCCTGCTCAGTTTAGGGTACCAACCTTCGTCGTAGAGAAGTGAACAAGCCCCGTGCCGTGTCCAACTTACTTGGCTGGGGCTGAAGACTAGATGTGCATCAGTGAGAACTGTAGATGTTAATTTTCGACAGTAGCCAGGTTATTTTGAAGAATCACTGTATTGAGACGTTAATAAACAGACTTTTCGAAACTTGGTCTACAGTCCATGTGCGATTGAAGGCTCTATGGTTTAAGTTCTTGGTTCTGAAATTACTTCCGTCATTTTAACCGGTGTAAACTTTCAGTCTCAACGATGATCTTATTTTACTGCAGTTCTAGTGATTATTTAATATTCTTAAACCAAAAATTTATCAATTTCACATGTGTGCACTTCACGTTTCTCGTCCGGTACATGGTATGGTAGCACCTACGGAGGACTCTGAAATGGCCTGGTTCGCTGGCGTACGGCAACAGTTTATAAGCCGGAGGAAGAAACGTCTTATCTTGGGCTGCAAGATTGCGTAAACTAGTGGGTGAAGACAGCTCCCCAGCCAGTAGACGACGGTGCATATCATGTATGCCTGAGCTGGAAAGTTATCACGGGCGTAGACAGCAGTAAGTGTGACAATGGGGCCGTAGCACACCATAAACAGCGCGAACACCACCACGCAGATCTGAGTCAGATTGCTCTGGTGCCCGCGATTGGCCCTCGAATTCCTATTGGAGCTTGGCATCCGATTCTGCTTTGTGTTCGTTGATTGTCTTCTTCCGGCGGGTAGCCCCTCAGTATTCACTTCCTCGAGTTGAAGGTTTGGCCGGGAGTTCCTCCCAGCCTGTTGGCGAAGTCTCCTAGCACTCGCACGAACCCTGATATAAATCCCTGCGTAACTATACAGAGTCAGTCCCAGGGTTGGAAGAAATCCACCCAGCACGAGGATGTTGTAAAGTGCGGAGTCCTTGCCTGATTTAATGAGGACGCACCGGCCGTACGCGGGGACGTACTTTGTGTGCGCGATGTGGCAAACAGAGATCACAATTTGGGTCGCGAGTGGGATAAACCAAGCCAGAGAAATTAACATTACCAAGTTAGTCACGCTCCTCAAGAACATCCTCGTGGGGTGGACGACGCAGAAGTATCGGTAGAGCGAGAGCGCAGCGATGTTGAAGACGGTGATCCCGATGAAACCGAAGGCAAGGTAGGCCGTGGCGTGGCAGTACCAGAGGGCGAACCGCCAGTCGCTGTGAATGAAGGAGTCGAGGGTGAAGGGGACCACAGTGATCAGGAAAGCTAGGCAACTTGTGGTCAGACTAACGATGATGGCGTTTGCTCGGGTCCGGAGGGAAGGTGTCATAACCACGCTGAACACGACGCCAACATTGCCCAGTACGCCCAGGACAAAAAACGGCACTGCAATGACCACCAAAGTGGTGACTAAAGCCGACGCCATCGCTCTCAGAAGAAACCAAATGCTATTTCAAGCCGTCAGATGATGCATAGGTAAAAGATTGCACGAACGAGCAAAGACGCTTTCAGGCTGCGATTACAAATAACTGCCAAAAATGTGGTACCACTGCCGATATCGATACTAGCCGCAAGTCAGCCCTCACTTCAGCTGGGAGCGAAAGCAGTTCGGCTATCTTCGTTGTATCCCGAACAAAGGGAAGCGCTGCTGGTATGCAGTGGCCTTCCCTGAAGTCTATGCATATACCGGTATATATGGCTATTGTAGTTCTGTTTTCACTGGTCGTTGATGAAATACATGTACATGCCTCTCACGGAACGAGTGATATCGCTGACGTGCAAGTGACCAACTCCAGCACCAAAGGTGACTAGATCATGGTTGTGTGTGACAGCGTGCATTCTTCCCATTAGTGATGCGCACAAATGCTCAGTGCGACATGACGGCATACAGCTATGCGCATTTGCTTTTCTTTCAACACTAGTGTTGAATGCAGCTGGGCTCTCCATGCAAACGGGTAAATAGATGGTTGGCTGTTTAAACCCGGGACCAAGGGCAATATCGCATCTGAATCGCCTGGTGATCCATCATCCTTCGCCTGAAAACACAACGTCGTATTTGCACCAAACATTCCCGTAATTGCATTATTTACACCCGTACATTGCCAATGCTTTCCCCACTGTTCATTTACATTTAACGGTCCAATCATGGCAACATAATGATCAGCCTTTTCGGCACGTGACATGTTCAGTTTGCTCATGTGCGGTTATTTCACAGATCCTTGGGAATTTGCCGCGTAATTGCCTCAGTCTCATTTATTCTGTAGTCAGAGAGATCCAAGAAATCCGGAAGTCCGATTACAGTTTGACAGCTACAGCTCTCACGATTCACAATGAACAGTACTCTTTTGAATTTGTTCTTTTCAAATCAAGAAAAAAGAATGTTTCCGTCTGACTTAAAAATGTCCGTTAGATTTTCCCAATTTCGGAATTTATCCAGGAATTGAAAACCATCCCACAGTAACGGTTTGCAACTGCAGTTTGGCTGTATGTCGAGCTTGCCAGGTCCGAGACTAGCCCCTGGCTTCTTCACCTGGGCTAAAATGCTACTTGGCAGTGTGCCAGATGCCTGCCATGCGAAAAAAGAACCCAAGAGCGGCAGCAAAATGATCTGAAACGTGTCGGATTACTGGACGGAGACAGTGAAGGCGTGACAAAGCGCACAGACCTGCAGGTGAGCGATTTTCCCCGCGTCACTACCCCGGGTCGACTTATTGCAGTAATGCTTCGGAGTGTCGCAACAATTCCATGTTTTTTCTGAACTTGTCCAAATGTAGTTAAAATTAACTGCAAGGCATCCGAGTCCGGAATATGGCGTAGCTGTCAGGTAAGGGAATTGCGGCCAATTGCTTGTAGGAATTTCGCATCAGCTCAAATGTGTTAGATTAATATTGGTCGCATCACACCTGTAACACCACGGTCAGGCGGGGTTCATTTGGCCGACATCCGGCAGGACTGGTTCCATCGGCCTGCTCACAGTTTCCGTGGTGATTCCTGTCAATCCGTTGAGCCCGTGGGCGTGTTCATAATTTGATGGCCGACGTCGGGGTCATCATCAGAAAAAGAGGCATGGTAATTCTGACAAGTGGGAAATTACGTTTTCACAATATTCATGGATATCACATCGATTGTTTCGTTCAGTGGCGCACCCAGGATTTCATATGAGGATGGACTTGAACTCACCCCTAAAACTACTACTCGTGATGCATACCCCCTCACCGGGGTGCGCCACAGGGGATTTGCATTTACGGCTACATCAGAGCTAGTAGGCCTAGTGGAAGATTTAGGTTTATATTGTATTTTCATTTTCAGCCCCCTGAAATGCATCAAGCAGGCAAAACAAAAAAGCACCCCAGCCCCCCTTGGGTGTGCCAAGTGTTTCATGCAAAGAAATATGAATGGAATATAACACATAACACGTAAAGATCAAGTTAAACATGGGCAGTTCTGCTTGCAGTGATGTATCGATTAACTTGTCAGGTCATATTGACATTGATATTGGTAGAGTCGGTTACTGTATAATCGATATTACTTTCACACGTAATGCGGGACCCGATTTTTATTCTAGGAAGTATTAGTGTATACACCCTTTTTTAAGGATTGCAGGATAAAGTTGGCCAACCCTGCACTCATAAACTGATGGGACGACGTTCAGGGACGCTTCAATCAGCTCAGTTTGGACTTCAACGCTAAATTTATTTCCATACAGGCATTACTTAGTGTTGGAACTGAGACGGCATGACCAAATTCATTTAATTCCCTGCCGCGTGTCGATATCCTTGAGTCTGTCGGAAAGAGACAGCGGGCTGGAACTGTTTACAGAAAAAGCTGGGAAGTGACAGACGAACCACTGACTGAAGGATTGGATTAAAATGTTTCAGGCAAATGGACTCGACTGGGACATGAATGTAGGTGTCGTGCGGAGAAGATTGTATAGACTTTAGCTATATCCGCACCCGAGTACAGTCCTGAAAGATTTGCAACTGAATGGAAACCCATCAGGAAAAATTCCTAGACTGAGATGCAGTCGGTCGGACAAGAATACCTTTACCAGCGGATGGATTTGTTGTGTGGCTTTTTAGGCTGTTTTTGGCTTTCCCTGCTCAACATTAAGCTTCTCTTTGTTTGAACAGCTTGTCGAAACCATTTGAAATCTTGCGGCATCGATTTCTCGAGTGTGCTTCCTTTATTTTTTGCATATCGAGCTTCCTAGCAACGAAAATATCAAACCGAAAAGTTACTTTAGCACAGAACCCCGTTCGGTTTAGTATCTTCGTTGTGTGAGCTTTCTTAATGCTCTTATGTGTTAAAGGGTTTTTAATGGCGTAAACACAGCACTTGATCGCTGTGGTAAATCCCATTGGACAGAACATCATGGGATAAAAATGACGTCTTTTAGTAAAAGATTCTGATTTAGTAACAAAACGGAATATCCTGTTTTGGGTTAGGTTTTTCTTTGTTTTGTTTTTATTTGGTTTTTGGGCCACCCTTCAGAACAAAAAACTACAAAACTGCGGTAGGCCTATGTGCTTTCAACGCCCCATTTTGAGCGCGGTGTGCAGCAGGCGCCTAGAGCGCTTTTAACTACTGAACAAACACAAATGGGTTGCCTATGTGCTCAAAATACAACTGACTTGAATTTCAAATTCATAAAAGCGATCCCCTTTCCAGTGTATTTAGTATCTCCAGACATTAAAACATTCGTCGTAAAACTGACCCATTTTGTTTGTGAACTAGGGCCCCTAAAAAGCACCAAAATGGTGATGGAAATAATTTAGCCTTACCCAGTTTATTCTTTTGAGACGAAATGCAAAAGGCAAAATAATGAAAGGCCCTCCTTTGACAAAACACGAACGATTCGGGCGCTCCTGGCTTTTTTTTTTTTTTTTTTAGATTTTTGGAGCAAACTCTTACGAACAGAACGTTGTCACAATTATAGCGAGATGTCTCTATTTGAAGAAATAGGAAGGTCACGTCAAGTCTATTTAAGAAGCGAGTTATTACTTTGTGCGCCCGAAGACGATGTCTGCAGTGCAGGATTTCATAAATAAGATGGTGAACGCGGTGAGACGCTCGTAAAACACACATAAAAATGCATATTTATTCCTATATAACACTTTGATGGCGAGTTCGTTGATGTAACGATTGGTGTTGATAAAACGAGACATTTTGACCCGACAAGTAATGTATTCATTCTTTGTTGTAAAGGTATATCATATTCGCTGTCGGTAAATTACAAAAAATTGAATTCAACAAAATTGAATCAGAGCAATAGGATTTAAACGAACCTTCATGCCGATTTCAAGTTCTACGAACGGATTGGGTCTCAAATGAGAACTTACAGACAGAAATGCAACATAAAAGGCAATGGTGTGTGTTATATCTTGAATAGAATGGTAGACTGATTGTCCTAGGCGTTGGTGTAGTATGTCACGACCAACCCACCTCCCATTTCATTCTTTGCTCCGATGGAGGAAATCAGGAGGCAATTTTCCTAAACATTTGCCAACTCAAGAAAATGCCTGCCAAGCAAAAGCAAGTTAACAGCAATAAATATATCAAGTAAGTTGTGCCGCCTGCCACCGGTATCCTGAAAACTGGAAAAGCAGCAATGTCCTCTTCGTAGCTGGGCAAAATTCAGGCCTAGCAAGTACGCAGCTTTAAAATCCCCGATGTTTTTTTTCCCTGGAGATGAATAGTAAGTATAACCCGTCCTTCTGAGATAATGAATGCTGTCGATTTGTTGCTCCTGGCAACCGAAAATGCGGGTATTCTTTAGTCTCCACCGTCTGTGTAATCAGCCATGACGCACACGTTTATTACAGCTTGTCAAAATAGATTCCCTGGCCGTTCTTTATCACTGCTTCTAATGTAAGCGGGCAGCTGTCCGAATTTTCGTAGCCCAACACTGTAAGTATGCATGTAGTGAAATCTTGAAATGGGCCACTCATTTTTGCCATGAAGGAAGGACACAGAAGGAGTTTGAACTACCCGGGCTACAACTTCTGTGAAACATTCCTTATTCAATAATGCACGAAGCGCCACCAACTAAGTTATACCAGGCAAGATATGGGACGGAGGGGTAACCCCCCCCCTTACCTGTCAAATCCCTATACACACTCTAGACTATTGTTATCTAATACATCCCCCCAAAAGTCTGTAAAGAATTTCTGAGATTCCGATCAAACAATGACCAACACAAAGGCGGAGGGGGGGTCTCTCCATCCCATATCTTGCTTTAAATGAACTATGTAGTACCGTGCAATGCTAGACTGGTTTCGGTCCCAATATTATTTTCCTCTTTCTTACAGGGAATGAGATATATGAAATAGGTGCAGGATCAGTCATGTGGAAAGACGAAGTTCTATTCGATGGGTACGTACCGTTGAACATAGAACGAATAACGATCAACGACCCACCAATCAGATGACGGGGATTTTAGCAGGTAATGCTTAATGTATACCAGTTTTAAATCGAACATTACATCCGCCTGAGTAGCGGCGGTTTCCTGATTTAATACATCTTCGTGCAAGAGGAATAGGGAAAGGGAACATTGTTGAATAAATGGAAAAAAAGATAAGCAGAACCTGTTTTTTGTTTGTTTGTTTGTTTGTTTGTTTGGTTTTTTTTTTTTTTTCTTGAAAGATTTTCCAGTCCTTATTGAGAACCTTTTTAACCAGAAGAGGCTCTTCAAAAAGCAACAGCCCTTTCAGAAGGCTCAAGTGTGGGGGAAACTATTATTTAAACAGGGAATATTAAAGCCCTCTGTCGAGAGGCAACCACGGTTTAAGCACGTACGTCCTTCATCATCTTGTCCAAGCAAGCCCCCTACGTCTTCAGTATTAAAAGGGCTATATTTTACCACTTGACAAGCGGGACAAAGTAGAGTTTGGTATCTCCCTTTCAGTCACGCAGCGACAGATTGAATTGACACTTTGATAGCATGAAGTTGGCGGCGTCCATTTTTTTGGGGGGGGAGCATTCTGCAAACTTCCAACCTAGTCCGACATAGCATTTTGCAATTACATGTATAGCTTACCAAAAGACACAGTGAAATATTCCTGTTCTTGCATGGTTTACTATTATGTTGGCTCCACTGATCTCTATGCACTGAGTACGACAGTGCCTTCAGAATTTACAGGGCGCCAAAAATTGAGCTACGATCCGGAGACTTAATTTGTTTGTGCACCACGGAGATATGGGCAGACGCTATCCAGTCAGATTATTCAGGTCGGTGGTTGGCTAACAGTGAATCTGCTCTATGCCTAAGTACTCTCAACTAGAAATTTTTGCAATGCCGTCCTCAAGTGCACACCTAAAACACACAACTGGTAGTAATTTTTTTTACGAGAAAGACCTTATCCCCACGAAAGCATCTTTTTGATGTGTGTCCTGCACCTGTCTTTTACAATGTAATCTGTCATATGGAGTAGTGTCATACCATTTGTGGTTCCGTGTCGCACTTTCATTTGTTTCAAATGTTGATTTAAAACATTTAGGTATAGAAAATCACAAATCTTTAATTATTCATCGTCGCAAATTTAATCTTTAAATGAACTTTTTTCATTGCTTTCATTTTTATTGTTAGATTCCCAAAATAAAACTGTTAACCTCGCTTCCAATTCAAGCCTACCTATGGATAAGGTCAATTGCCCGTATGTACATGAGGCTGGGTTCGCTTTACTTGGCTACTGATGGGAATGTCAGCAGTGCATCTAAAGAACTGCTGGCTGGCGACTTGCATAGGTGTGCGTTAGTTCCCACTGCACAGCAAGTACAGTATGCCTGTGTCAGATACAGTAACCATGTGCTGGAGGTGCGCCGCCATAAGGGAGATGTGTTTGGTCAGAGAAAACTCCCTCTCTTGTCCATCGAAATACGACTCACTATCTGTTACATTTTCAACCTTCCTTCCTTCATTGGTCACAAGAGGGCGTTGTCGTACATGTCGATGCGGAGCTGTATAGAGAAGGTAGCGCCAGCTTCAGATTTTGGAAACAAAATTGTTGTTCATTATGTGCACAAGTAGAAGGTTCAACTATTGTATACATACTGTTTGTGTACTCTGGGGCACACCGTCGTCAGTTTTGACAAAGATGTCGTAATTCTGTCCATACACGCGGCTCTATGCATGTTTACCTTCTGCATATGGGTTCATCAGATATAGCGCATTCATAATATTATGTCACGTCTTGTCGCATTGCAGCTCAGTCGATATTGCTGATTGAACTTCAAACGCCCTCTGTCGTGGTTCAACAACTAAAGAGGCTCGGGAGGTGTCTCCTTGTTTCCAGCTGGGGCGCCCTTCTTTGTAAGAACCGTGTTTCTTCAGACCTTATTTTGTATTCAAAACTGAGCCCCATTTCTCACAGGCGGCAAAAGTTTGCAGTTAAATCAAGTCAAGCTGATACAAGCTTTTGCCGAAAAAAACAACAAGATTTGCTGCATTATTGTAGTGTTGAATTTGATTGATTTGTGAATTTTTTTACACTTTCAGGATTTTTCTCCCTTTTGTGCTAACGGCTAGCCATAGTTTGCCAGCCACTGCTTTACGTCGGCTGTGACAAAGCAAAGCCAGGTCTCTTGTAGAAATAGTGCTCTCATTCCTGCAATGTACTAAAAAATTGTTTGCTCATCAGTCCTTGCCCCCTCTCATGCCTGCTGGTCTTCGGCAGAATGCCGCACATCGTGGGCCGATCAGCATTCGGTAAATTTTGCAGTCTCACACGGAGACGCAAGGTCTTAATAATGGGTCAGAACCGAAGTCACACGACGGCGAATGATTACCCCCCCTGCAGTCAACAGTCTGTCTGTCTCATTCACGGATCAAAAGTTAATGGTGGATTTTTCTTAACTGATCTCAATTCACAAGACAACAAAAATGACTCGTGTCTGTGAGCGTCACCGGTAGGAAAATTCCACGATCATTTATATTATGATAATACGTACAATATTATTATTGACGTATCCCTGCATTTACTAACGGCAAATACGTGCACTTTATCTGTACAGTGTTCAAGAGTATGCACTTTAATTAAGGACATTCATAATTATTGTACATGTGCCTATTCATAATGTACTATTGAGGTTGTTCTAAAGTGTATATACATGTATAAAAAAAGCTGGGGTTTATGGTAGAAATGAAGTACCGATGTCTATCACAAGCAGTTTGTTTATTTTTTTCTTATGATGCAAAAACGTTGTATTTGTGAGTATATTATCGTGATGAAAAGACTACGATTTCCAAAATCGTGAAGTCATGATGACGTCTAAATGGCTTAATAACAAGTACTGATTACATGTAGTTATCAAAGTAGACCTTTTCTATTGGCTACAGTGACAACAAACAATCTTGTCCTGTAAAGGCAGATACTTTTTGTGAGAATTGAAATTCTTGATAAGGAAGTGCTGTGCAGAACTTCATAAAGTGTTAATTAAGTAACGCTCGGTTAAATAATTTTACAAGTATTCATGCAACACAAATATGTACAGGTACTATTCGTTTCATTGTTTACTTAGTTGCGGAAAATGCCCACCAAGGTACAATAAGACAAACCCGCTTTTACAATTTTCCGAAATGATAATTCGACGAGAAAATTGCCCAGTAAATCAAGAGGAACTTCATAGACTGTTTGAATCAATTCACTTTGTGACATTTACAATAATTTACACGACCATCATCTGTTTGCTTTGTAAAGTAGGGAAAATGTCTAGAAAATCATTACGGGTTCTTGTTTCACGCATACTTTTAAAACGTTGAGGATTCCCTATTGTCAGCCGAATCATTTTATCGACTTCAGCAGACCATCAAAACATATAAAATCAACCTGCACTGAGATGAATGCTGTGAAGTTGAAGTGCCCTCTGCCAAGCTAACGATAGGTGGCACAATTTAACAGTGCAAACCACAGACACATAAACCCTTCGACGGACAGCTCCAATTCAAACAATGGCGGGGTACCGTAGCCGAGACATCACCCGACTAAATCCGAAGTCGTGGGCAAATTCACCCTTGGTCAACCTCGTTCCCATGCGTACGATCTTGCACCGCCATGTTGGTTCTTACAAGGCCTTGCACGATCTAACGCGATGCTAGTGAAGGAACGCGCACGCAGCCCACAGAGTCGAGGTTGCCCCTTGGTATCCGCCACAGACATATAAACACATAGACCGTCGGTCTTGCGCGTAAAACCGTGATTTTGAAAAGTATCAAGTTCGTAAGTGATTTCGCCACAAAGCGGACGCGCCACGATTTGCAGGCTCTCAGCATTGGACAATCGCTGAAGTTGCGCGTTAACTTCCTGTTCCGTGGTTCCATGTAAACGGCGATCAATGCATGTAACCCTATGTGCAGTGCACATCCCTAAGGGCCAGATTCAGTAAATAGATGATTTTTTTTACAATCAAAAATGGCTTCGTAGAATTTTATGGCTGGAATTCTTCAACTGTGCGTAAGTTCCCTGTACTGAGGGGTGAATTTTCCCATAGTTTTGATTTTAGTCGGGTGCCGCGCTTATCACTAAAAACCCATGTAGTTTTGAATAGGACCTGGCAGTCTATGCGTTTACGTGTCTATGGTATCCACCCCGAGTTGAGTTGAAGTCAGGTTAAATGTTATTGTGTTCAATTTTAGATAATGGAGCGAAAATATTTCTGGTGAAGTTAATTTCGGTTACGGAGAAGAAATAGCAAAATATGCCATAAGCTCCTGCCTAATTTCTGCATTGAGAGGGCATCGTTTCCTCATTTACATAGGCCTGCAATAAGCAGGGTTCTGCCGGATTCATTACCCGCCACTGGTCCCTAGGTTTAGAGGACGTCAGTAAGACGTCTGAAAACTACGAACGGGACGGGAACCGGTCTGAGCGCCAAGTCCAAACTTTAGAACCAAAATGGCTGTTCATTATTTGTGCAGTGCAGCATGCAGCTATTATGTGCTTAGTGTCCAGGCGAAATGGCGCATAATCCACCATTTTGGTTCCACAATGGAGAGACTTATGTTGCAATTCTCTGTACATAGGGCGTACAGTTCACTCTACGTGTATGGGATGTTTGGATCCAAAGGAAGATATTTGATTCCTACAAAACTGTGTCAAAGTTAAACCACCAAAAACATTACTAAGTTGGTATTAAACCGAGGACACATCGCCGTTATGCAGTTTTGGTTGTGAGCGGACATTTAGGCAGAAGCCTATCTCTCACTCGAACACGCACTACGTTTAGTTCGCGCGCACGACTGAAATCTGGTGAGTGCGAAGAATGGATGCGTGCCATGTGCCCTCTGTCTTTGCTCGGGGCCTACAACCCTATGGTTATTTGATTTATGCAGACTCAAGGGTTGCTGTAGTCGATGTAGGACCAGTTCAACTTATCATGTCGTTTGGGTCTAAAGCCTGGGTTGGAGTAAGTGACTGGAAGTTTCTCTGTTGTATCACATTATCTGTCAAAGCAAGGTCGCCTCTCAGGTCGATCTGTGACGCGACATTCATTGTGGTTGGCGCCACGCTAGAGCTGCGGATCAGCGTTCGGGCCGTACTGGTGAGGTCGCGACGCAACGCGGCCAGCTTGTCGCTACTGCTGCCCTCGCCAGCCGCTTTGCTGTTGGTCAATGAGCCCGGTTCGCGGTAGGTGGCGGCCGCGTGGACGTGGTCCTCGGCCACAAAGTGCACGGCGTAGAGCTTGGGGAAGAACATGAAGGCCAGCGTGATGCTGCCGCTGATGATGAGCGCCACGGCCATGACCACCAGCTGCACCACGGCCCCCGGGATTAGAAAGTAGCAGGGAATGAAGGCCAGCCAAATCACCAGGGTGGTGTACACGCTCAGGCTGATGAAGCGGGACTCGTTGTAGTTGTTGGGGACCTTCCGGGTAATGAAGGCGTGCACACTGCACAGCACTACCAGGATGACGTTGTAGCTGAGGGATATGATCATCTCGTCGTTGCTGATGTTGCACATGAGCTCCACCTGGCCCGGTTGGGGCACCTTCTCCACAGGTGCTGGTGGTTCCTTGATATGCCAAGCTGTGCTGATTACGAGCTGCAGAAAAGAGATTTTGAAGATTAATTCATGTAACATGCAGTAACATTGCAATCGGCAAAGTAAGACTTTAAAAGTTTTCTATCTGACAAAGAAAATCCGAAGTTTGTTTTCAATCAAAGGTGGGGGCCCGAATCTCGACGCCACGCAATCACGTAAAAGTCTTACAATGAATGTATTTGTTACGACGTGCTGCTCCAGGGATTTTTAAGGGAAGAAAGATCCAAGAACCCAGCCGGGACTGTGCATAAGTCTGGTGAGACTTCTGTGCACGGTGCAGTGGCGGGGAAAAAGGAGCTGATGCTTTGCATTTTACTTTATTTGGATTCGAAAGGCAAGGTTAATTTTTAAACGGATTTGATGAAATGGTAATGCTTTCAGCTGCTAGTGGACCTTCTTAGAGCGAATTTAAGTCAACGGCTGGAAAACAGCATTCATCGCCGACGTCTGGTTAAAAAAGTGGAATGTTCTTGTGAATGTTAAGATTCATGTGCTTATGGCTCATTATTGCTTGAGAGGCCTTAAAACGAGGCCATTTGGGGAACGCATGGTAAGTGCAGTATCGGTGATAAAGCGTCCATAAATTAGGGACTGGCTGTGTGCTCGCTATCGAATGTGTGCGGGTCGATTTAGAACACCTTGCAAATGGTGAAAATGGAACTGATATATGAAGTAATTACGGTTCTTGGAACAGAGTGCCGAAGCAGTATCAGTGACATATAAAGTACATACAGTAACGACTCTACGCCTACCAGTAAGCGCATGACACAAGAACTGAGAAAGTCTGTTCTCGTTCGTATGTGCCAGCACCCCACCCGTTGCCCCCAATTTTCCCTTCACAGCCAATTGCAAAGGGCTTTCTTATCTGATACACGGCACTGGAACTCTATATACATGCATTAGAAAAAAAACTAGTATCGCCCGCGCGCCGCAGGTACTGTGCTAAACCACTCAACTTCATGGTCAGCTACTTCTGGTTCGTGTTTGGGATTAAAGAACGGTTACAGAACTGTGTTCGTCACTGAGGCGGGGTGACGTGCCTTGACGATAATGAATGCCTTCTTGCCATTCCCTGACCTTAAAACCACCGTGTTTGTACTTTTCTACACACCATGACAAGACAGAGACAAGACTGTAATAGATGCCGAATGGAAATGGTGCATGGAACAGTTCGTGCACTACCGATCCAGCGATGCAAGGCACCGGTCGAGCGTCCGCTCTTCCGAGGGGAGCGGATCGCGCCGTGAAATTAATACTCCTGGAGAGGGGAAATCGAGCGATGTATATCTCCCCCTGACTATCTCACGAACGTAAGGGTATAATCTTCCAGTAAAATGAGCAGAAACGTTTAGGGTTGTGTTGGCTCTGTTGCTGACTGCAGTGCCACTGTTATTGGCTCAAATCATTTGTCAGGCATGGTTCCAGATTGCAAGTCTTGACTCCTTGTTTATTAGAGACGCGATTATCAAATTACCGACGAGTTGCAGAGCCCTACAGACTTACGGACTGCGTTTTATTGATTGGAGAGTAAGATGTGTCAGACAATAAATTCTCTGTCATTACACCACAGATACTAGGCCTGGAATCTTGATTGGACAAGCCCTTTGACTATACGCGGGCAGAAATGCTCACAATGATCAATCCTGATAAACTTTACACATGTCTCAATTTAGGCTCTGTAGGCCTAATGCGGTAAGCCGTCAAGGCGAGCGTTGCGGCGCAGCGTGAGAAAGGGCTCCGGGCACAAGGATGGACAGGAAACATGGCCACCATTCTATCCCACTAATAGCAAATTAATTCTTTAATAACTCTTTCATCATCAGCTTCCAGAGACACTACTTTCTTAATTTGTCACTTCCTAAGTTGCGGAAGTTAAACTTAGGTGAAGCAGCAGCATTGAACAAATAAAAAAGTAGGTCATGCCAGAGAAAAAAGGCTCAGTAAACAAGGACAGCTGACATCTTGCTAATTATTATCTTGAAATTTGCAGCCCGTTGGTCATAATTATGTATGCAGTGTTGCTTTTAAAAGGCTGACAAATAAAAATTTTCATCCACACCCAAGATTCAACTTCAATCGTGTGGTTTCAGAAGCGGTTGTAGCCTCTGTCGTGTGCCACCCGATCCGACTACCCAGCTTGGTTAACGAATGACGCAATCGCTGAAAAATGCCACCTTTACTGGTGTGCCAATAATACATTATAATAGGCACGGAATTACGTATCAGCTCTCTCATTATTGCTAGAGAAACAGCTTGTTTGCCTCGCTACGGTAACCTCTTCATGACGCATATTGTTGCGATTCACTTCTGTTTTTCACCAGACCCAAAATCAAAACCGGCAAATAAGGCTGACTGGCTTGGTAATATTTCCAAGTATTCCCAAATATAATACTACTATGAAGTCAAAGAATCGCATAAATATGAATCAAATTCAGCACGCCACAGCGTATGAGTTAATCAACTGTTACGCAAAAGTTGATATGCCTCTTAAAAATGGCGACGTAAAAGCAAACAGTGTTATTGCCTCCCTACTGCACGCGACTTTTCTCCTCTCAAACACTGCTTCCTGTACATACATGTAGAAATGAAGTGTGGCCCATTACAAGGGCTACCGGATATCAAAACCTCCTTAAATACCTTATAGATCGGTTATCAAGGAATGCATCAGAATTGTTTTGACTTGATTTTTTTTCCAAATTGCTACGCGTAGGATAGTGCCGCCAAAACACAAGGAACTTGATCCTTAACACTTTTCTTAAAATATAATGACATGTGTCAAATCATTACGAAAGCCGTTTATATCACGCATGCGTATAACGATGCGAGAATAAACCTGGATGCAGACGCCATCGCCATGGCGAGCAGTTAATAATGGGCACAATAAAAACCTGCACATGTACTATTGTGAAACCAAATTTCATAACAACTGGGAAACATGTCGCCTTCATATCAAGCAACTAGGAAGTGGTCCACTCGAGTCTTGACATTAATTAAGCTTGCTGACGAATCATGGACGGAAGCGTGTCGCTAATATTAACCAACTCGGCGCAATTTTACAAAGAAAGGAAATTGTAAATGTTCACATTACGCTTCCAGTCTGTCGAGTGTGCCACCGGTAGACGACACACTTCCGTAATATCGTAATTTAGACCTATGCCATCGGTATAACACTCAACATTAACAAAATATTAATGTACTTGTGAGAAGGTGTTCCGTGTTCGTGCATCGAGTTTGCACATACGCTTCGAGCTTCATCCACGAATATGTAGCGACAAAAATACCGAGTCGGCGTATGTAAGGGCCAATGCTGTACCAATGTTGTACTCACTGGTGACAGACCCTTACTACATGCTGAACATATGAAAGTACTCTTGTGTACAAGGAAAAAATGGGGTAGTGCAGGAATCAAGAAAGTAACAAAGTAGTGCGCCGCATCGAAATTTGCTCTGGAAGATCGCGTTCTCATATGTTGTGATTTGCGATGCGATACATAGATGATCAAAAAAGACTGATATTGAAAAACGAAGTTGTCCTTGTCGCCATCCCTGAAAAAACAAACCAATAGCAGAACAAACAACTTGAAAGAAATCGAAAATTCAAGCGTTGCAAAGTATCCCTTACTTTGTCCAGGTCCACAAAAGAAGAGCTACTACCTATTTCACAGCTGAAAACTTTCTTAATAATATCAATAGTCCCCGTCGAAATGGCCAAAATTGGTGTCACCTGCATGACCCGTGTTTTGAAGAATTCATGTGATCCACAGAGAGGACTTGAGCAGAACGTTACTCAGACAAAAAGGTATTTGAACTTTTCAATACCAGGCGTGGAGTAAATATCACAGATAAGTTAAGGAAAAACGGCGAAAAAGTGGAGATTCTTTGATTCGAATGGGCGAGGACGCGACTTAAACCACGTCCCTCCCTCCTCTATTATTGTCTATATTGTACAAAAGAACAAAACGGCTTTACTGATGCTTTGAGAGCAGTGAGATGAATTCCATCATCTGTCCAGCGTTGGCTGGCTATGTACATTTGCATGTACATAAAAGCTTCATTCCTTCCCAGGCCGTTGAGTAACTCCTTGGCTGGGTGCACAACTATTTTTCATTCACAGACCTACATGCTTTACACGAAGTTGCACACAGACATGCAGTAGACACCATCAGTGTATCGCACGGCACACACGCTGCCTTACGGTCCCAATGGATTTCTATCTATGTGTTAGTAGCGGAAATAGGCCCTATAACTATGCTAAGTTAGCAAAGGCTATCGATATGACGATACGGAGCTGGGGATCTTTTACACCATCCGGCAGGTTTCTCGATCGAGTGACTGATTTGAAAACTTCAGTTCACTGCCTCTTCAAATGAAGATTACGCTTACAACCTTGGAAGGACATGTTTACTCTTGGAAATCCCTCAGTCGCCAAAGGAAATTCTTTCGTTTGGAAAACACATGCATTTGGAATATCATCTCATTCATCTGGGAAGTATCATACGTAAGTTTCTAAACGATTAATGTGTTTTGCAAAATTATTGTCCAGAAATTGTGATTGTTGTTGTTTTTGAAATTGTTTAATAACAGAGAAAGAGTTAAAACTTAGGTTTAACCGAAAGTAAAGTGGCTAAATGTGAATTAAAAAATAAATACACAAAGGAAAATGAGAAAAATAATAAAAATTATACGTAACCATTAGAATATAAATCTAAATTTAAATGGAAAAAAAGGAACTAAAACTTAAATGGAAATGATATGTTAAAATGAAACTAATGTGGAAGGGGTATGTAAAAATGAAGGAGACACATTAAAAACATTATACAGTGCAAAGTAAGGAGCGGTTCACTTTAATTGAAAATCGCTAATCTCAACATAAAATATTACCGTGTCAAATCTAAAAATTTGACTGTTAACCGTACTGAACGTCTAAAACATCTGAGAGCATTTATATTTTTGAGAGCGTTTCTCACCGTGTTTGACGTTGTAATTTAATGTCACAAATGCTTTTCCTGTATCTATCAAGTCAAGTTTGATCTATCACTTTTTGAAGAATGTCCAAACTGTACATTCTTAAGAATAATCGACACTTTACTGGATAGGGTGACGTCACAAGAGTGGTTTAATGGTATTTTGTGGTAAAAAGGACATCTGTATTGCAACATGTAAAACTTGTTACTCGCTAGGTCAGTGACATGAGAAAGCTTCAATTTCATGTTTCTATCGACTTGTTGTTTTCAATTCAGCCAGCAAGCGTGAGCGAACATAAGTGTTGCAGTCGCTGCTGTCAAGAGACGAAGATAACTAGACCAGAAAATGATTACGCTGTGGAGAAAAAAAACCTGCCCGTCGTTCTGCCCAAGAGAAGTTCCAATTTAGGAAACGCGCGTGTTTGGAATAATTTGTTCGTCGTCACGCAAAACAATGTTTTCTGATTTAGAGATGAGTCTCAAACGGAGACAGGGTTGTGCATTAAGTGGGAGCATCTTTCATTCTGCTTTCTACTTTGGGCAGCTGCATAACTTACTTCTCACCAGTGTGTTCATGTAGAGTCTGATCGTTGTTATGAACTAGAAAAATGTGGGACCCTGTTCGAGCAGGATACGACGTGTCACTCAAACCCTTAACAAGCACGGGCAAACTCCCGGATCGACATCGAAGAGACTTCACAAGCAATTTTGTACGCCTGTGGGAAAAAAGACTTTTCCAATTGAGCGGAATATATTTCCTCTTTATTTTTCCCTCTCTTTTGGCCAGGACTCATCTGCCTCAGAGATGTAATAAAAACCACAAATTGGAAGATTAATGGGTCAACTGTGGTCGGTGGAAGGTTTGGCGGTCTTCTTTACGCAGCATATTAGTGGTTTGCTGGGAAAGACACTAAAAGGAATTGTCCCTTCACCCGGCAGCGGACGGAGGGTTTACCTCTCGCTACGGGCCAAGCAGGCTCCAGAACCCTGATCATATTTCGGTTGTTCCTTTGAAAGTCCTGCGGCGAATCTAGCGATCTGTTTGTTTTTAATCTTACTGATTGGGGCTGATTTTGACGAGCCTGCCATTCGACTCAGGAAGGGGGGTGTAATTACGTACGCACGCTTATATCATTTTGCCTAATAAATGGCGCGTCGAGAAAAGATCCCAACGATCCCATATATTGGTGCAAATAGCAAACTGTGCCACTCACGCGGCCACCCGCGCGAGTACGGGGTGATACAGTGACAAGCCAGTACGATGCAGTGCGTCAAAATGCAAGAGATCGTACTCGTGGTAACAACAAGCGCAGTACGTACGTCCTGGCACCCCCGATCTCGTGGTAATTTTCCCGTCACGCGCCATTTTGGAGTTTTTCATTCGCCGCCCTATTTGTGTCATTAACAATAAAGTTTCAAGAGGCCAAGGCTTCGTTTACCAGTAGATACACAAACAGCAGTTGGGCTATCGAGCTCACAATGTTAGCATAATACTTCAGCGATGTTTGCTCTGTACGATTCTTCTCCGTAATGAAAATGTGAAGGCTTGAACAATCTTCGGAAGAGTATTGCTTAGAAAACCTTTCAATCAAGCACGATGGTAAAGAAATGTCAGCATAAATTATTTGTAATTTTCAAAATTGGCCAACGTTTTATTAGTCTGGACGAAAAAAGGCTGAAAAGGAAAGGAACTCGAACATGTCAGAGACTTCCTTGATGACGGAATGGTACCCGTTTCGGGCGGGAACAAAATAGGGCGTGTCTGTAAATGCCATTGACGATCCTTTGGTGCCAACTCTCCGCACAGGCGCGCGACATTATGCGCGTTTTACGCTTTAGATATCGGAAGAATTAAAAAAACGCAGAGAACGCTGAGAAATTTATGCTGTAATGTATGGTCTTCGCGTGCAAGTCGAACGAGTGCACGAACCTGCTTGGAAACTTAGTGCCAGCCTGTCTTTCTTTCGCCGGTGAGGGTGCACTTCAGCTCAGCGCGGATTAACCACAGACACATAAACGCATAGACCGCCGGTCTTGCGCGTAAAACCGTGATTTTGAAAAGTACGGGCAAACATTGAGCGAAGCGACAGATGCCGGGCAGAGCGTCCAGTGCGCATTTACCCAACACGCGCAACGCACTTACATCGCCTGCATTTGTTCACATGTACTCCCAAAATGCGTTCACTTTTTTGTCTCTTTTGTACTGCTAACTCTTCTTTTCAGATCTTGGAACCGCATTGTTTTGAATCCCTAGGAGCCAGATTAAGTAAATAGAGGTTTTTTACAATCAAGAAATAGCTTCATAGAATTTTATGACTGGAATTCTTCAAGTATGCGTAAATTCCCCATATCGAGGGGTGAATTTGTCCATTTTGATTTTACTCGGGCGCTACGCAGATCTTGAAAAACCCCTGTAGTTTTGAATAAGACCTGGCGATCTTCGTGTTTGTATGTCTGTGGGATTAAAAAAGTTAGACCAACAACAATGCGAGATCGCAGCAAACCAAAAGGTAACCAACCCCTCAAACTGTCTAAAACTAAAACTGGTGGGAATTTTTGCCAGGTATTGTTCAGAATAGACTTGTGCGAGTCGTTCCACACAGTGGCGTATTCTACATTCCTTCATGCTTATTCTACTGTTAGTTATCTTACATTCAAACGGCTCTTGCTCGCATATCGATTGCACGAATAAAGCAAATAAGCCTTCAGGGTTGTCTGGGACAAGTTCATTACTACATGTAAATGTTCATCATATGGTGATGTTTAACCTGTCTGGCCGTGTCGTGATGCAAATGTGGTTTATTTACACACACTGCGCTAAAAAAAAACGATCGATGCTTCAGCAGTCAATACACCAACGAACCTGGCATTGTGGGTCATTTTGTAAAATTGGAGCCCGAATTCTTTTGTCCCTGTTACACCTGACTTGTACCATTTGACAAGAAATATATGACTAATTTAACTTCACACTATTTTTTTTTCGTTTAGCAGATAATTTACCATACTTAGTTATTCCCAGCAATTAAAGAATGTATTCAACATTTTAAAAATCATACGACAGTGACCAGGAAAAATTTGATCCCAAATTTATAGAATAACCTTTTTTAAAATTCCAGTTTGAAGAATTTTATTCATTTGCGTCTCTTAATGCTGGCACAAAAGATCATTTACCTTACTAGACCTCCCGCTAGCCATTGGGCCCAGATTGTTTGCGCACAGCCAACAAAAATGTTTGACAAAACCTGAAAACTTGACTTGGTCAGGCTCTCTTGAAGGCAATTGCCCTGGGACATGTCTAGCCGCACGTCGGTGGACCTTCAACCAAGCAAGTGTAAAGCAAGGCACGTTTTCAGGCTGCACGGAACAATGGATGTTAATAATTTCACCGCAGTTCGTGCACGGGACGGCGTTTCAACCGGCCTTCGTGCTGTGTGGGCAGAACACAATTTTGTCTCAGTTTCAACGTCAAAGTGCGTCTCGTTTCGCGCCCAGTGTACGGAAAGCCAAAGTTTAATTGCCACAACGCATACAAGCCCACGGTTTGCTGGAAGACTTGCACTCTTTTAAAAACACTGTGAAGTTTACTTTGCAACATAATCGGTGAATTCAAAATGTGCTCAGTGTAACAAGCATGTCAAACTCGACAGCTCTGTTTGTTTACGTGCGCATCTTCGAGAGTCGGAGAGTCACATTGCAAATATAACGTTTGCCTCACAATGAAGTGCGCAGGCTAGGAGGGCACGATGGAACATAATGACCTGTGACGCCAAAAACGACTTCATTGCCTGATACAACATTCTGGACGTTTAAATCTTGTCCAGAAGGGGCTATTATTGTTTTGAAAGGGATGGCATGGATATGCGCCTTGGCTACATTTCAGGGCGCCAGCCCAAACACAAGACATACATCTGCATCTATATCTGCATCGGTGTAGATATTGAACTGGCTTCTTCCACAAGGGGAGAGCTTTCAGACCTATATATGCGAAAAAGAAAAGAGATAACAGTAACAAAATAATAAGATTTTTGTTTGGCGCCTTAATCTAATTTGTGGGAGTCTGTGTCAACATGAGGTAGTTTTGCAGTGCCCTATTTGTTTCTGAAAAAGGAGGTAGTTCAACGATATCGAGCATGCCTTTAACAAAGACGAGAGAAACTACGTAAAGACTTTATCGAAGGAGGCCTTTAACAAAGACGAGAGAAACTACGTAAAGACTTTATCGAAGGAGGCCTTTTGAACGTACTGTGGAAAGTCAACATCCTAGCGTGAAACGATGTTCCCTTTTCATTTGTGTAGTTTTTACGTTTGTGGATGCGCGATTTCATTACTTTTATACCGTTTTGTGTAACAGTCCGGGAGCTACCGTGACGACCCTGCATTCTTTTGTGTTTTGTAACAATGGAAGTGAATGGTGATGAATGAATGACAACACACAATAATGCACGATATGAAGATCGAAAGGTTGAAAAAGTGGCCTCACTTGATCGAATAGCAATACACTGAACATTGCCAGCACGACACTGACGATATAATTTCTTCCTATAATGGGCTCCGAGTTGGACCACGAGGGGTGCAATTTTCCTAGCAACTGGGCTTCATTGGTTCTAACTGCGACCAGTGTGGCTCTTTTCAACCGATGAGGGAGTGCTCCTACTCGGGCAGATTGACCTTCTTAAGTATCCTTCAGATTTAGAGGCTTTTGAGACCTATATTCGGGCGGGTTCGTTCAACTCACCTGTATTAGAATTAACACCAAGGACATGACGACCTGAGACCACGGGCTGATGAAACTCGGTCTCTTGGTGGATCTCTTTCCGGCCTTGAAGATCCGATAAATGCGATTTGCTCTAGTCAAGAGAGGTGCGTAGGTGAAGGTAAAACCCAGCATGAACCCGGCCCTGATTACGTAGCAGGTGGCCACACTGGGCCTGCCAAAGAACGCGAAGACCATACCGTAGCACAACAGCACCCCGAGGAGCATGAGGTAGCTCAGCTCCCGGCTGGAAGCTTTGATGAGCGGATGCCTATTGTTGCGGACGTATACCAGGAAGGCCAGGCTGGTGGCCACTACTCCCAGGGAAGTGATGACCACCAGCACGATAGCGACAGGGTCTTCCCAGTGGATATAGAGTGGCTCCACCGGCTCGCAGCTGAGCCGTGACTGGTCCGGGACCTCCCTGTCTTGGCAGGGGCTGCACACCGTCTCGTTCACAACGATATCGCGCTGGCCGCACGGCGTGCATTCCCAGCAGCATTGGCGCTCACCTATCCCCGTCTTGATGTACCCAGGCTCACATGGCTTGCTGCAGTACGAAGGCGGGGAACTGAACTCGCCCTGGTCCCCTGGCACACCCCATGGAATATTGGGCTCGGTGATGGTCAACTTGTGGAGCAAATCCCATATCCCAATGCGTTTCAGTTCGTACTGCGTCTCGTTGTGCTCCTGGATTACCTCCAACTCGTACCGTTTCTGCATAACCCTCCCGGAGGAGTGCGCGAACATCGAACTATAGCGAGATCCCGGCTGGATCACGGCTGTCATGTGCTGAAAAAATGTTTCCCCTTCGACAACCAAGTTGCTGATATTACATGGCGGACTTGAATTTGTGGTTGCGTTGCAGTAGTCCCAAACCATCTCGTCCAACGCATAAGCGTACACCCTCACAGCATCAATGACTCGAGACACGCCGCTAGGCTCGCTGAATCCTCGCCCATACACTTTGTCACATCCATGTCCAACGACACAATCGAGGGCGTATTTCACCTTATATTGGTCAAGCCAGGGGTTCTTGTAGCCAGGGAGTGTGCTGTCATTCGCTATCATCAGGTCAATAAAATAGTCTTCGAAATCTAGGTCTTCCTCGTCCGGTAACTGTGTCTTGATTGCGCCACGAGCCATCTCCCTGTTTCCTTTTTTTATCTCCCCCATGCTCATCCCCCAACCATCACTGCCAATAATCTGAATCTTCCCCTTGGCGTTCATCCTAGTCATCGATTCCAGCACCTTATTGGCGTGGTTGGCCTGCGTGAACAGGATCACGACTTTGGCCGTGTCGGCCCGGGCCAAGATCTCCCTGACTGCAATGTCTACGACGACTGAAGGGGTGTTCGTGTCGATCTCGAACTGGACGCCGATGCACATGGTGTATTTGAAGGTCAGTTCCTCTTGGAAGCTGGCGAGGGCGTCCCGGCCGTAGCTGTCGCTGGAGTAGATGACGGAGACGTAGTTCCAGCCAAATTCTTCCATGAGGGCGACGACAGCTTTCACCTGCAGTTTGTCCGATGGGATCATTCTCAAGAAGTACGGATAGCGAATTTTGTCGTCTAGCTCCTGCGCAGTTGCGAAGAAGCTCAACAAGGGGATTTTGTAAACACCAAGCAGCTGCGCCGCAGCTTTAGCGGTTGAACTCTTCTCGGTCCCGACGACACCTACGACAAGAAAAACAAACTTACAATTCAGTACCAACTTCTTTTCACCGGCGACAAAAATACATCCCCTGAGACCCTCGAAGGCCCTTGGTCTGTGCTTTCAACGCCGTGCGTCAATAGAAGCAAGGAGATTTGCGAAATGACTGTTATGCACACGTACGACATGTCACCGAAGGCTTGTTGGTGCACGAAGCCCCATAGACTTGTATAAAGATTACAAGAAAACACGGGCATTTCACGAGCTTGAAATCTTAACGGGCACGAAAGTATCTTGACATTACCTTGACACACATATTTATCGACGCGCTCGACCTCACCAGGATTCTTTACCAGAGGGCTAATTTGCGGTACCACATGTCGTTTTTACGCGCTCTAAAAATAAAGTCTCGGCTTCCTCGATGTTTACTGCTTCGCCTTAATTTCGGTTCACTGAATTTGAAATTCCCACTTCAATATCTCGAGTCATGCTTTCCTCGAGGAACATTCAACAATATCATGCAAGTTCAAACGTTGGGGTTTTTTTCAGTTGAGCCTGGCATTGAAACGATGAGGAGACACCCCGAGCTTTGAGAAAGGCTAACACGATTAGTTGCCATGATAGTTGGGTTTATACATCAAATACTTTCAGCGTAAGGCGTTTAATTTGGCTTAAAACTAACCTAAACCGTTTCTAAAAGGGTTATATAAGCCAATATGTGCCAAAAAACTACCAGATCAAATGCTTTCAAACATCGGGATTGCAGTTGTTTCATTCTGTTGTTTTTGCGTTTTCTGTAGATTTGTTGTTGGGTTTGGGTCAACAAGTGCAACCGACACCCATCATTTTATGCGCACGGGATACATGTCAAGTTATTCAAGTGACTCTATCGACTTTTAATAGTATTTACTAGTAAATTTATGTGCATATGGAAGAGATTTGATGTTGGACTTTGGTCCAGAAACGATATGTAGTTCTTAGTGTTCCCGATGGCCAGTACCTGACGTTTGGATTTGAAAATCAACAATTTAGTTGCGCTACAGGCTACAGAGGGACTTTTTCAAAAGGAAGTAAAGTCCTACAACCATTCGCTGACAACCAATTCATTGTGTGTCGTTAGTGACTAAATTTGGTTTCAGAAAAAAAGCCACAGGGCTATTTCGTACTCCCTCCCAATGCGGGCTGCCATATTGCTTCGGGGGGGGGGGAATTGCTGAAGGTCAAGCTGTCATTTTGCTTAAGTCTCATATATTTTACGCAGTAGTCTTGTTTAATGTGCTTTTCAACCCAAACAAACCAACAACTATTGTGTAGTTTACTTCCGTTTTAAGTATAATCATGCATATCCAACAAAAAATGATTAGAAAAGAAATAATGCTCACCAATCACTGGTTTCCACTCCTTGAAAGGATCCTCGCACGAAGCTGTAGCACCTAAGTTGATGCTCGCATCTGGGATGAAGAGAGTCGTATGCGCCACGGTGGTGGGCTCGCGGGAGCAAGTGTCGTAGATCCGGAAGCCCAGGGTGATGTTGGGCAGGATGTCTGAGCGATTGTTGATCTGCCGCACGGCATAGGCCATCGCCTCCAGCCGGTGTAGGGTCTCCAACTCCCGGAGAAACAAACAGTTCTCCTCCAAGACAGGCAACAGGCCACCGATGATGTAGTCGCCGGGCTCCTCGTAGACCTTTGGCGATATGGAGTCCGTGTGGACTACAAGGAAGATACTGAAAGCGAGTACCACGCAGAACCCAGTGTTCATGATGCCGAAAAAATCATTTAAGTCCAGCAACAACGTGAAAAGACCTAGTACTACAAAATTCACCCCTGAACACGATCCATGGCACAGGCTGTGGTGAACCTCCGGTACGCCTCCGTATTTAGGTTCTTGAAAGTATGACGTTTAAAAAAATCGCACACAAGGTTCAAGGTAGGAATTAAACTGCCATTAACTAGACGGCTTCCAGTTGGCTCAGGTAAAAGGCTACAGTATGATGTGATGGGGGATTTATCTTGTCAAGTCTACATGTCTACATGTTGTTACATGTTTCGTTATCAAACGAAAGTTGTCGGTGTGGCCTCATCACTACTAACACGGCATCTTCAAATAATGAGCTCTGATGCACCCTTTTCGTTGGCCTGGATGCGAATGGTTAGCATTCTCTTTTTCTACGTAATGAAGAGTGATGTGGGCTTAATCGTTGGACCTTGTCGATTGCGCAGTCGCAAATTTGAAGACGCGTGTGCTCACTTTGCATTTAACGGCAAGGTGTACCTTCGAGGAAAGAGGAAGATGACGTGTGGGTCCCCGACTGGCGAGTTCCCGGCGAAAGAGACGGTCGCCGGTAATGACTTGCCACGAACTATCGGTCTGCCCGCGGTCCGTTGACTGGCAATTCATTGAAGGCGTTCGCACAGCGGACTCTGCTCTCCGTGTATGTACAAGACAGCTGTCCGTGGTGTTGCCGTGATGAACTTCCCCGGCCGTACTGCAGTAATGTGCAGTGAGTGTGCGCAGATGTCAGCTTTCAGCCGAACTTGTTTTCGCACATCACCGTAATTGCATTTGAAGGTCTGCGCTGAGATGCTGTAACGATAGGAGGCAAACACAACTGTCAAGTACCCGGCGAACATGGATTTCATCCGCATTTCATAGAAATCTGGGCCATTGGAAACCCCCCCCCCAAAAAAAGGTTGCATGACAAAGTCTAGGCATGATGGCCGAGATATTCAAGGGGCAATTCATAGAGAGAATTGAAAAGAGTCGTGTAAGTCTAAGTACTCCTGAACACGCCCATTTAAGTGATCACGCAAATGCGCCACAGCTAGTGTGCATTTAATGAATAAAAAAGTCATGCGTAAAAAGTGTCATATGTGTTGACTACCATAGCGCGGTTATGGCTGAATTTCAAAGCGTTTAATCTGTTTTGGGTTTTTTTTTTAACGATGTAAATGTTAGCACTAATGGCACCTTGTTTCTGTTTTTTTCTGGCTACATGTATATGAGAAATGCTTTCCTCTGTACGACTTCGGCTGTTCGATGTGACGGTGGAGAACGCGACTCCTGGCTTGTGCAAGAAAGCCACAATATGAATCAACCCAGAAACGTTTTCTGTGATCAAGGACATTTCCAGAGTGAGAGACCAGCAACCTACAAAAGGCTGCAAATTATATGTGCTTAGCATGTACTGTTTGACGGCGATGGGCATGATGTCGACACTTGACATCTATGGAGGCCAACACCGACACTTTTTACAGAGCCATTGGCTGAGGCAAATACTGTCGCTAGTGCTATGTCTAAAGCTGAGTTAAAATGAGTCACAACATTCCGTGAATGTCGTGTCGAATCAATGTGATCCGTGTCTAGTCGAGACTCATTAGGTAAAGAAATCGGGTCAAGTGCTAGGCTCCAGTCAATTCGAGTCACATATATTTGAGCATGCACTATACAAAAAAAAAAAAACTAGAGACAGACAGTCAGTTTGGACATTGATAAAATTTACATCTGGGCTACCACATTACATGTGGCCACATTACATTTGACTTTGGATGAAAAGAAGAAGTCGGTGGCAGCTGATCGCCATACAGCAGACGAAGGCACGATTTAAACCACGTGCACGCGGACGCCTACACCCACAAACCTCTGTTTGTTGTTTACCTGCAATAATTGTTTAGCTTCTGGAATACCCAGTCTGAAAATACCTTGTCTGCAAGTTTAGGCTGGTACCTCGGAGAGAGGACAATAGACGGCTGCAAGTAAGTTAACCGTATTTTCGACATGACGTCAAGATTCCCAACTGGCGCCCTAAGTCATTACAAATAGTTTTCCCAAGAGAAGGTTGCTTGTATATTTGGGACTTGAGTCTTATTAGCTTTCACTCGGGTCAAGCCTTCTGAGGGCATATGCATTCGAGTGGAGTCATTTGGTAGCGATGACTCGCGTCGAGGTGAGTCGTATACTACCCGTCGGGACTCGGCTCGAGTAGAGTCACTGACTCGAGTCATTATAACTCTGGTCTGCAGACAATCACAGACTTAAAAAATTAGCTGACGCCATCCTGGTCACAGTTAATAGCCTGTCTGTCACATGGCTTACGCAATAGTGGAGTTCTAAACAGTGCCGTTCTAAGCGGTTCACTGAACACTTCTGATGTCTTCTGTGCCAATTTTTTATACCTTTTTTGTGCAGCATTTGTTTTGAAAGGGCAAGAGTTATTTAGATTATGCATAAGGATTTTCAATACATGGTTTTTTTTTTACTTGAAGAGACAATGGCCTCCTACGAACTCAGGCACTACTTACACAGTGCAGCGCGCGTATTTAATTTCGGCATGCACTGTCGAGGTATACCGTTCTTTAGACGGCAAACCTTCTTGAAAAGTCCCAACCAGCCCTTTTCAATATTGTATAAATAACTTTAGATCACCCTTCCAGATATGAGGAAGACGAGGAAGATTTTGGTTGCCTTGACAATGGAGATCCGTCGTCAAGTCCACGCTGAATGATATACGCGGGTGAACCTCGGGTCCACTCGCGGAGAGGCCGGTCAACATGTTTTTGCTTTGACTGTGCCGAGCTGGTTTGGTCATGCCACCCTGGCAGATCGTGAGGTCGTGGGGACATTTTAAGGTGCAGCACAGATGGCTGAACTGCCACACTTTGCACGAGAAACACTCCTCAGAACATCAGCACTGTTTTACCTGTGGTGTTTGGATTATTTCACGATATGTTTTTTAAATGATGCCTTACTTTGTGATGTTTAATCTTCCGTGTTTAGATTTGATTTCCTAACCTCCTATTTTTGTGTTTTTTGTATGTACGTTTTGCTTTGGCAGATTGAAGTATTTAACTATTTGACAAAAACGATGACAAAATAAAAATTTGGCTAAGACTTGCTTGGTGTTGGGGATCCTATAGCACAACGTATCCCTTTAAAGGGGAGGTTTGTTATAAATGGCAGCGTGATGTTTTCTAATTACCCTCGAGAATGATAGATTGCCGGCTTGACAAGACTCCGCTCGATCATTCTCTGATTCGTGCTCTTGTACCGGCAGCGGACTTTTCCCCCTCGTAAAGAAGTAAGCACGGCCCACGGCCTCGATGAAGTCAACGGAACGGGTCCAGGAGAGGCTATTACGGTGTAAAAGTCACCGGAACCAATGCGGAGTCGTCCCCCGCTTTCAGAAGAATGTTTGATCGGGCTCGTGACACGGGCACAGTACGGAAGCAGCAGTTAGTGGCGCACTATTGGGGCTTGGCCAGGAACCCCCCCCCCCCACTTCAAGATGGTAACACCTCCCCCCTGGTTGTGCCAAAGAGGACCCAGTGGAATGCACGACCTTATCAGAGCTACAGTGGTTTAGGTATCTTCATTGTTCAGAAGATAAAAAAAAATACACCGTTCGCAACAACTACGGGACGAAACAGCAGTCTTTTGACTGCAAAAAATGAAGAGCATGAAGACTGAAAAACAAAAACACGCATTTAACATTCCTCGGAATCCTGGTCACTTTCAATGCCCCACGGACTCCAAACTCATCTCCGAACAAGTGCTTCTCTCTATAAGATTCGGACTTTTCATTTACCTATTTGAAACTGTTCTGTAAACTGTCAGCACAGTTCCTGTTTTCCAAATAATTCAGGTCATGCGCCCCGAGAAATTTACCTTGTCAAAACCGCCACTTTTAATTAAACAGTTCGGGGATGTACTGCTAACGATGTGAGTCGAAGGATTCATGAACGAAGAATTATGTGCACGCTTTCTTGAAACAGTTCCTTCACAGTGTACTATGCTGCATATTTGTCCGAGGCAGACAGCTGAGTACATTTCCATGGCTCCCAAATGAAAAATTTCTCGTTAAATGTTAAACTAGCTGGTGCCACTACTGGTTCCCGAAGTCTTGGTGATCACGTACCACCTTCCCAGTAGGCCTAATGAAAGGTTTAAGTTTGTTTTGTCGGTAATGATTAAGCCTCACTGCGTTTGTCCAAAAGCTGTTGCTGAAATAAATCATGAAGGTTGACGAAATAGAGGACAGCGAGCAATCCGTTTTTAATAGAATTCCATTTTTTATATTTTGAGTGATTGCATCTAAACGCAGCCGTTCAATACGTTGAAGTGTGACATGAAATAATAGCTGCAACACGCATGACTTACTGCACAGAACAACGAATGAAAGAGACAGGTGCAGCGTTTCGTAATGCAAGAAGCAGGGACCCGAATTTACAGGGTCCACTTTTTATGGGACAATCATAAATACCTCAGACAGTTTTCGTATTCGACAACGTGAAACTTGATTTGACAATGCCCACTCAGACGTCATAATGCCCGCTGTGTATAGACGAGGCAGTTAAATCGATTCTGATTGGTCAAGAGTCTGTGTGCACGCTGCTCGCCACGCGCGCGTCCAGTCCACATAAGGAGATTCTATTGGACAACTTGCACAAAGAATATAGCATATAATTGACGGGAGTGTTCTGGAAAATGAAGGTTAAATTCTATGACAAATGTGTGGGAAATCCATCAAACATTGAATTCTTTTCACTCTCTAAAAAAAAGGTATTTATGAACGAGAATAGATATTTTGCTAACGTTTAAGACCAGCCAAGCACATATTTATTCCCTTAACAGAACTCCAACAAAACGAATACATTCGAGTTTAGTTGTTACAAAACCGTCACCCGAATTTCTCAGGAACCTCTCGGCTAGCCTTATCCGGTGACTCAAGACGTGCTTGCGACGAGCATTGTTGTCTGCTGCTACAGCTAAGAACCGTGGCACACTGTCGACAAAACAAAACTGACGTTGTAGCCGCAAAGATTTGCAGACTGCCTGACAGCGAAGATGGTGGGCCGCAAAAAATAGTGGGAGATGCAAAACACAATGATAAGATGATCCTCAGCAGTTTGAGTGTCGTCATGGTATTCAATTCTACCCAATTCAACCAACCCAAACCAACTAACCCAACCTCAGCTCCGACCCCGACCAATATATAAAGCAAGCCAAAATAAGACAGGCGAAACCCGACGGTAACCAAGAGCACCTCTGAAATCTTGTGGAAGATAAGACGACTCAGACCAAAACTGATTAAACTTGAAAACGCAACCTCTCGCCTGTTTGTCAGATCGTTTGGTGTTTGCCTGCACGAACTCTATTAATCACAGGGGCAGGCTCCTTCTGTTCGGTAAATACGTTGTTTCAAATTACAAAAATGCTGAGGAAAACTCGTGACAGTCGGGATGAAATTACAACTAGGCAGAAGAAAAAAGTGGACGAAGAAGAGGTAACGACGGAAATGAACATCTTTCAAAGTCCTAGCTGGCCTTCCTTCTGTCCTCAGGATGAATTTTGTGACAATAGATAATTTGGCGCCAATTTTATTTACTGGCAATTGCTCTAGATTCCACAAGTTCTCTAACCAGTCTAGGTTCCACGTTCAGAAGTAGAGTCAATGTACCGTTCCCAAACCACTTGATATTGGACTAAGTTTCCTTGTCATGGTTTGAAACATATTTTTTAGCTCCATAGAATTGCAGAGAAAAATTGCGAAATGCTGTTTCCCGGCAACGGTGCATGGAAACCTGCGATTAATTGTTATTGGGCTATTAGTGATTGACGTCACTGAACTTTGCCCACACAGTCGGAAATCTCTCTCCACAACGGCAAAATCTAAATCGCAAGCGATTCAGATACACGCGTACTGCGCTTCACCTAGTAGGCTAATGCAATTCGTTGTTAGCCTGTAGTACTTTTATTAGTTCGTTTGTTTTTGTTTTGTTTTGTTTTGTTTTGTTTTGTTTTTTGGGGGTTTTTTTTGTTTGGTTTGATTTGGTTTAATCACTGTGCTAATTGGTCAAAGAAATATAATCAGGATTATTGTGTTTTTATAGATTAGTTTGGCTTTGATTTTGATTTTGGTGTATGGAGAGTGGTGTCGTTTGGACCGTGTAAATTTAAATAATAAAAATAATAATGAGCTATATAGCGCACTTATCCGGAAAACCGATCGAGGCACAATTCCATTATTATTACATCTGCTCACTTGGCCCATGAAACATTCCAAATACCATCTCAGCTCCCTGAGGAGTATACAGGTCGATGCTGCCATTTCGGCGCAACGCATCTAAATCAACCACAATATTATTATAAAACTCTGAATCCAATACAAGAGTTTATCGAAGCGAATTGCGCCTTCATGCAGTGACGCACCCAGGATTTGTCTTTGGGAGGAGGCTCGGGCCGGCTGGAATCTACCCCTCCGCCCAAATTAAAAGAAAAACAGTTCATGGTGCCCGAGCCCTCTTCCATTGTGCCACGGGGGACTTTAATGGAGGGTGTATCAAAGCTAGTAGTTTAAAGGTACTTTCGTTTATCAGAAAGTAAACAAATTAGAGAAATTGAAAATCTTAAGGACCCCCCCAACTCTCTTGTAGTATCTCCAGTTGTTTCAGAACAAGGAGTTGGTAAAAAGGTTTGCGGTAGCACCATGCAAGGATATCTCTTTTGGAGTACTCTGAAAAGAATACCCTTCGGTTCTTTTCAGGGCCACACTACTGGAAAGCTAAGTTTATAAGGAACACATGCGTTTTTTCATCACAAGGAGTGATTATGAGTTCTCGTAAAATACACTTTTGTACAAATGCCGTAATAAAAATTATTCAAACTAATCCTCAAATCATTTAGACAAAGGAGCTATTTTATTCCCAAAATAACTCCCGAAGAAAATTTAAGCGTTCATTAAGGGCAATGACTGCACTTGCACATTGCACATGGCGTAATACATGACACTGCGCACGCATTAAATTTCATGTTGTTATGTGATCGTACCAAGCACCAACGATGGCATGAATATTCAATTTCCTATACCTCAGTACACAACGTTTAAGGATTCAGATTACCAGTGAAAATTTGCGGCTGCGATCATAGGGTACAAAGGGGTTTCGTGGTTGTGAAACAGATGGTGCGTACCAAGCGTTCGCTGCGCCCTGGCTATGGACAAACCGGGCATGCCAGAAAGTGGTAATTGGCCCAGACGTTATAGCCCGAGCAGTTCAAACTCCTTCTGTGAACTTCGTCTATGGTATACCTAACTTGCTTCCTTCACCATGAAAAGCTTCAAAGCTTGTTAGAAAGAGACATTTCTGTCTGGGCACTACTGTCCAAGATTTACATTTTGTTGATGTGCGCTTGTCGTTCCTCTTTCATATCCTTTCGTGTACGGGTGAGGGTAGACCACAGCTCTGGTGTAGATTACTCCAGGACCAGACGAGGGCCGGCTCGGGCTATCTGTGCACCGGTGTGCACGGGTGACACTTGTGCGCGTACCCCATGTGAAGAAGCTTTCGGTGTGGGATAGAACAAGACGCAGCTTTTTTGCACGAGCTTCATGACCGCGACATGCCACCCAAGACTGATTGATAGGGACTTTACACGGGATGCATGGCTTCCCAGCGATTCATTCATACTTTAAGAAATGCAAACCCTTGCACATTTATTAATAATTAGCAAGATATGAATTGCAGCGTCGTTCACATCGATCATTCTTAACAACAGTGCACTCCTCAAACATGTCATCCCAGTGTTTGGGTGAAGACTGTATGTATGGGGATCTTCTCGGCAAGAAACGACGCGTTTCTCGTTAACGACGTCGCAAAAGCCACCTCATTCAAAACACAAGCTGATTTATGACATCGCTAGACATCGAAAAAAATGCAATTGTTTCCCACTTCAAAAGCAAGGAAACATTCTGAATATCTTAAGTCAATATTCTGAAACTTAATATGGACTCGGCAAAGTGGCACACCAGACAGAGGTTGTAGGGAAAAGTATTTGTGCAATATTTTCTAGTACATGTAGAGGCTCTGTGAAACCTCCAGCCAAAAAAAAAAGAAAAAGAAAACAGCAGAGAAAATAAGAGCTAAGATTACAATCTATTGCTTTTTACGGCTCTCTGTGTTACCACCGAAGTCACAATCTTCCTGCTGTAGACAGCGACAACAGCACAATGTCTCGGTCTCGTAGCGTTGAACAGTGTAAACAGATGTGCATGCACATGTACTTGGTTGGTTAAGAGAAAAAAGGTGGATTAGAAATTCAAATCACTATGATATCTTGGCACTCGACTTTGTCTTTCTTGTATACAAGAGTTATTATGAAAATGCAATGATGATTTCGTCGGATAGTTAGTGAATATCGATCTAAACTGAAAATAAGCGCGGGCTGGAGCACATATCGAGACGTATTGATTTTTGCGAGCCTCATGTTTGGAAAACCTGTAATTTTAATTTCGAAAAGGCAGGGTTGGTCAAAGACAGGTTTGGTAGGGTTGTTTTGTAGGGAAAGTGTACTGTACAGCAGTGAATCATCAACCTGCGAATACTGGAACCAAATCTCAGAAGCGTCGTTAGGTAAACGGCGTCTGATCGATGATCGGGATGCGAGTGATTCTGTCCTTTCGTGGCATGTCTCCATTTTTAATTTTACGAGACCATAAAACACTTAGCTGCTCGTCTTCCACACTTCATTCCAAGCAATACAGCCAACAAACTTGAATAAACAGCCTCATTAAAAGTCACTGGGAAAAACGAAGAAGTAACGGACTAAAATTTCCAGTGACACAATTAAGACTTAAATGAAAAGTAACAATGACTTGACAGAAATCACCAACTGACAGCAACTGTGACCAGAAACGACAGAAACAACGGAATTGACGACAGCGACTGTATTTATCTACACCCATGAGCCCCGGGCGGTGCCAAGAGAGGGAGCAATTTCCCTAGCAACGGAGGCGCCGTTGTTTAGAACGATCATTATGAAAAGCGCTCCTCACGGTAGGTTGCATCGATACCAACGTAATGAACGCTCCCACCGATCTCTTTTCAACGGACGAGGGGGTGGCTCTGCTCAAAGCAGATGCGACACTAAAACCAACGTCGGCAAAACACCCAGAAGTTGAGAGATTTGAAACAATCACATTTCTTTTAATCTTGTTACAAACTTGCTATATATAGATTATGATACACTGATCAAAAACGAATTGGAAAACAGAGAATATATTGCTGCGTGTGTTCGATCTAAAAAAAGGCAGTTTTAAAAACCCCAATAGCGTTGGATGTTCTGTGAAAAATCTCCCCAGAAAAGGTAAAATTGATTGTTCAGGTTCAATGCTAAGGATACCTGTGACAGGTAAGAATACTTTGATGGCGATTGCACAAGGATGAAACTGTGCGGGCATCATTTTGGAAGGTGATATTAGTATTAAAAAATTAAATCCCGTCAGATATGCATTCTCAGAAACGTTACCATGCGTACATTGCGAACTTTAAGCACAGAGCGAGTTCGTACGACGACCAGTGGTCGATTAAATTTCCCTGGTAACCTGTAGGCAAAGCACGGCTTGGGCACCTGGTGAGACCAGTGGAACGTCTTGACACAAACTTGCTCCCAACGGGCATTCGGCATTGCCTGGCAACCTGGCAAGGCTAGGACCTATGCAGTATTTTTCTTTAACCATTACGCTTCAACTTGAAGTTGTTTCCAAAAGGACTAATGTGACCATGGCATTGGGTGATCACTGATTGTTTAGCATAAAATGCCCAAAGCCGCAACCATGGTCACAGAAATGGACATTTTCTGTGCTACCATTCATATCAAAATGGACGGATAAAATCTCACAAGATATCAAATGCATCCAATAAATATTTTTGAACAGTCAAAAATCCCTTCATCGCAATCTTTTCAAGTATTTCATTTTAAAACGCTGTTCTTCAAAGTACTGACACGGTTAAGAATTATTTGGCGAAAGAGGAGTAAAGACGATGCTGGGTGCCGTATATCAACATAGAGTGAGTTGTTGAAAAAAACATGTCGGAATGGGAAAGGATCAGAGAGATGTTGACGGCAGTTTTGGGGAGGAAATGACCAGATGAATTTTCCTCCTCTTGACGTCACTCAACAGAGATTTCTTCGCTTCCAGAATTTTCTGATGTCTGGAAAAATAAAAGTTAAGAAACGACTTTGGAGTTAAACTGGGGTCCGCAAAGAATAAATCTGGTGATTGGGTCTTATTAGCATGAAGTGAAGTGTTTCAAGACATTGCTGTCTTCAGCTGGTCGTAAATTATTTTTGCAGGATCAATTTATCCTGCACAATTTTCCTCGACGCACTCACGTTTATACCATTAATTTTTGTCGTTTGACGCTATGGTAAAATTAAAAACAAATTGGAACGGAATAATGTAACTATTTTCCTACGGAAAACCACGGCTATAAAATTAACTTCTTCACACAGGTCTACATATTCTATTAATGAGCGACGTAGGTGAATGCAGGAACACAATCATTGTTTTGGGCCTTTAATTTGTAAAATAAAATCTCGTTTCAATATATTGAACGAAACGGTAGTCACGGCACCATGGCAACTTGGCAGCACGCTGACTCAAGTGTCTAGTCACGTTAAAGCAGCGGGTTAAACGCTGCAACGGATCTTGAGGGCGCTCTCGCTGTCTACAGAACGCTCTGTGGAACGCGCACCACCAGGCCGCGCATTGCATGTATGCCACGTCTAGCCAACCCTCTTTTAGCTGCACTCATCACTCTACGTACCTTGATTTCAATTCCTCCATCCTTTGCAAAAAGAACTTGACAGACCGAATGCTCTGCGTCCTCTCGCCCATGATAGAGTCCAGAGCTCTGCGACAGTTGCTCAGCAGCGCCCTTCGCGCCGAGAGAACCTGTCGATGAGAAGGACAAAGTCTTCGGTTCAGTTGACGCCAGCCCCTAACTCCCCCCCTCCCCAAAACAAAATGCAAGCAGATTTCATGGCTTTCTTCGATAACGTCGGTGCATTGAGCCCAGATGTCTCTTCACAAAATAAAGCCCATTACCGAAGAACTCCTTTCACATGCATCATCATCAGATATGCACATTTGAGAGGGGAGGGGTTCTCTTTAAAACGGAAAACCTTTCGTGATACTCAGTGATTTTGTGCAGACCTATCAGTAGAGCAATTCATACATAGATTAAGCGATAACAAAAGTTAAAGATTCCACAGTGAATCTATGGCAAAATATAATGTACTGTATACACTGTACAGATTCCCTAGTAAAAATGAAAATGTGCCCGTAATAGGTAAACTTACCTCTGACGATAATCTAGATTTTCTGATTTTTTTTTGCAAGCTTCTCGGGCCCTTGATCTTTCTTTTCGCTCTGGCGTCCATCTTTTCGTTTGCGTACGGTTTCGTCCTCATGAGGTAAAGTTTAGGCACAAAAAGCATAAACAGGGGTATGTAACCGCTGAATGTCCCCCCAATGGCAAGAATAAAAGCTTGGAGATGCTTCCCGCTTCCCACAGCAAGGTAAATCCCAAGCGTGGTCAACCAGATCATGATGTGGACAATGAAGGCGAAAAAGACGAACTTGCCCTCTCTGAAGTTTTCCTCCTTATTCCTCGCTCTGTAGGCAAGGCACAGACCGGCCACGTCCAGCATGAGGCTGTACATGAAAGACAAAGTCAGGGCAAAAATCTCACCATCCTGGCAATCGACGTACACAAAACGCGCAGCTGTATCCGGTATTCTGGACGGCCTTGGGAGATCCACTGCAAACCAAATAGCAACGAATACACAAAACAGAGCACAGGTGCCGGCTCCTAATAAGAACCTTGTCCAGTTCGTGACGAACCTTCGACCCTTTTTAGTGACGTAGGCCGTTAAAAAGAGCATACCTTGAAGGAGGGTTACGGGCAAGAGCTGCAGGCAGGCCTTGACGGCACAGACAACATCATCGGCACGTAGGAAGGGCAGCCAGGAGAACGCAAAACAGACGAGGGCGCAAAACAAGATAGCGTAGCTGTGTCCCGCGCACGCTCGCACCACTACCTGGGCGTGGCGCCGGCGCCTAAAGATGGCGCCCATGATTACTGTGAGGAGTATCCCCGGGACGGAGAGGGTGATGAGGGCGATCCCGAGGGAACTGCTCGGCGTGAAGTAGTGATCCGGCAGCTTGTCGCAACCCGTCCGGTCCGCGTTGACAATCATCTCGCTGGAGCAATTGGAGCAGGTGAGGGCGTCCTCTCGGTCGCTGTAGAGATTTCCCTGGCAGGCCACGCACACCCAGCAGCACTCTGAGAGCCCCTTGGGAAGTTGGCGCTGCCCTGGCCGGCAGGAGGCACTACAAATGGATGACGGGATGGCTCCTCTGGAACAGGAGTCGTCGCTGTACCAGCTTATGTTGCCACCAACCGTTAATCCTTCTTTTTGATTCCACAGGCCAATTTCTTCTACTATCCTTTGACTTGCACACGTGGTCACAGGCTTCAGATTATACACATCGTAAAAGGCACCTGATTCCAGATTCCCTCCATCTGAGAATTCGATCCTGTAACCAGAGGTACCAACAAAACTGACGTTTTTCATCAAAGCCAAAATTTCATCGCTGTCAAGATATTTAGACGTCTTGCAGCCTCCCTCGTCGCAGTTTAAGGCCACGTGCAAAGCCATAGCGACCACTTCCACCGCATCCAAGATGGTGGAGACAAACCTGCCCGCGAAAAAAGCATCACTCTCAGGTAAAGTCTCGTTCATGTTGCAAATTTTGCGGAACCTCGCAAAATCTCGCAAATGTTGTGGAATTTCAAGAAGGTGGCACTCCAAGGCTCGCTCCCAGTACTCCATGAGGAATGGGTCCTCGTATCCAGTGTCCACCAAGGGAGAGAGGCCGCGGAGAAACTCAAGAAAGCCGTCAACCTCTGTCGTGCTGTATCGGAGCCCAAGCATGCCCTGAGTGACTCTGGTGAGCCGGTCGTCGGCGGTGAGGGCTGGCGATGCGGTCCAGCCGTCCGTGCCGATCCACGTGTAACCGGTGGCGTTCTGCTCGGCGAAGACCTCCAGTAGCCTCAGCATGGGAGACTCGTTAGCGAAGGCCACTATCGCTTTCACTTTGGGGAAACCTCTAAATTCAAAACCAGAGTTTAATTGAAATGGTCAGAAATGCACAGAGAGGAGTTTTAAAAGCAAAATTTTAAGGGGAAGCAAGATTTTATTGCAGAAAAAAATCATTTCAGACGGATGAACCCATAGCACAATCACTAGTCGTTGCACAAATTTATGTTGAAACGGCAAGACAAAAACTGGGGTTGCCAGGCATGATTCGTGCTACTTTTCGGTGCCACTGTAAACGTATTTCATTTTCCCTAAAAACGGTCACGTGATTTTTGAGTCGTAGGTAAGTCTTGATGAGGCAATCACTCACGATTGCTGACTTATGCATAACAACTCACAAACCTATGCTGTAAATGAATTACAATATGTTAAGTTGCTTCAATCGAAGTTTAATTCATCAAAGGTTTCCTTTAATTAAAATGTCATGCAAGATGCGAATCGTGTGGAGAACCTAATGGGATATCAGTTGTAACATGATTGCAAACTTATGCACGAGGACACAACCCGCCCAAATAGAGGTGAATGAACAAAGTACGTAAATTTTACATTCAACAATCTGATTTCCATAAAATTACCTCAAATCGTTGACAATCTCACGGAAGTCCTCCGCAGTGCTGCTGCTGCCGATTTTACCCTCGTACGATACGCAGATGCCCTTCCTCGCTGCGAAATCCAGGAATCGCTTCTGCCCGTTCAGCCCGTAGGCCAGGTCGTCCGAGTAGATCGTGGCCACCACGGGCCAGCCGAAGTGGTGCACAATGTCGGCCAAGGCGGCCGCCTGATGGTTGTCGCCGGGAACTACTCGAGTGAAGTAGCTGAAACAGGGAGAAAAGGTCACTGAAAGACTGTATACGTTAGCCAAATGACTGGAATGCGCAAGGACTGGGATACACAAGACGGCAGAAAAGAAAAAGTCAGATATTCTTGACGGGATACAGAAGCCCCCTTTTAACTGTACTCTAAAACCTTCCCGGTCCCAATTGACCCCAATCGGGGTCGTGCACGGGGCTCGCCCCTTTTCCAGGTCCCTCGTTATGGGTCATTTTGACTCTTTCTCGGGTAAAGAAATGACCCTTTATGGGTAACTAGGACCTAGAAAAGGTCCAATGACCCAGAAGAGAGTCGTTCTTTGGCCTTCAATGGGACCTGGATCCTGCTAAATCTGACCCGGGAGTATTTATAAAGCTGCTTAGTACGAGGCAGTGCTAAGCGAATTCAAACTGGTTGGTTCAAAACATTTTACATGATACGATGTGAAAATGGGAAATCGTTTTTTCTTCTTCTCTAGTACTCTCTTAGTTTATTCCTAGTTTATTTGTTTTACTGACGAAAACAGTGGATCATACCGCCCGATCGTATCCAAAATTGTAAACAAATCATCTAGTGTGAGACAAGGAAAACGTTCCCGATTGAACAATGGAATAGCACCGGTAGATATCTGTAGAAATGAAACGTATGTAATGTAATACTCAGACTTGTCCACCTAAATTTCAATTGAGACTTTATGGTGAGTATAATATTTATTGGCTTAGACCCCAACGGGTGCCCTGCACAAATAGGCCCCGTTGGCGGCGTTGCTCTCGCGTCCCTATAAAATAGTATATACCTGTAACGCGATTCGCTGAGGAGTTCGCTGGTGGCCGAGTAGATAATCTCCGGCAGCTTAAACAGCTGAAACAGACTGGCCACCGACACTGCAGCGTTACTGGTAGCCGGGCCAACGACGGCTACCAGGTTTGTGGGCCTGCCCTCCTCGCTGACTGACTCGGAGCTGAAACGATGTCATTCATCCACGTCAAAAAGGATCGTTTGTGAAACCGTCGGCATGGAAACAATTAAGGTACGGGTGGGGGAATACAATATTGTTACATTTCGTCTAGCCAGAGATGTTTTATAAATATCTCATAAATTTAAGTGCCCTTTCCATTGATGAGTGCGATTCAATTTTGAAACAAATATGGAAATGATTGGCAAATGTACCCGCAATCTTACCAACCCCGGTGAGCGAACTTGAAATAAGAAACGGCCTTTGGCGTTGGCACGGAATTTAAAGAATTTACAATGAGTGATAGTCAACACACAACATGCAGTGGCCCAAAGCAATCCATTAAAAACTCCTTGATCAAGGTACAAAAGTTGTTTCTTTTTAATTCACGGACAAGACCATCATGAAGAGTGAAATATATATTCGATAGTTTATTACCATGTTCCAAATTGAGTGACTTCTTTTTTCAAATTAATTTATTAAAACACAAATTTCAGGTAATAGAGTCGATCTTCTTTGTCGGGTACGGTAGTACAAATAAAAGCAGGCAGGTATGTGTCGAGCCATTTGTCTTCTATCAAGAAGACAACATTCGCTTGCTTCCGAAGCACAGCCTTAACTTCATCGTTCTAGTTCCACAACATTCGATTGCTTTGATCTGTACTTATAGCCTGGGACTCCTCAAAAATGCAAAAAAGGGACAAGGTGATTTAGGAGATATTAAGCTTCCCAGGGTGACGAGTTCGTTCCAGAAAAAACCTCGTATCTAGTTCGGAAAGGAATCGATTATTTACCCCAGACTCCATTGACAAAGTGACCTTTCCAAGAGAATAAGTCAGCACTGCGAATGCACATTGAAACACTCTGCATACTGGGCAGTGTTTGTACAGCTTGAGAGGAAGCAAGCCCAAGAAATGGAGTCTCCGAATAGCGGTTCTGTAGCAGCCTCCCAAGGGACGTCTAGAGGAATATTAAGGCAAACATCGTTTTCCCAAGCTGGCAAATATTTTTTATTGCTCTCTCGTACACTCACTTGTTCAAGCAGGCGCCGGGACTGGTCGAGCTGGTTATGAAGTCTAAGGATGACCTCACGGCTACGTTGGGGTTGCCGCAGGTGTCCTTGATCTGGAATCCTGCCAACATGATGGGCCACATGCGGAAGTGGAAATGATCCAGAGAATGAGATAAAATTTTTAAAAAAATATAAATTGCAATTATTCACTAAGCTCGGCGAAATTTCTTCAATGTACCCATGATTCGGTGATCAGGTTTATAATATCCTTGCTCTATGGTTTATTAAATATCTGCACGAATTTTAAATGACCTTGAGTGGCAAACTCAAGACAGTCATTTATGACGTTGCTAACAAAGAGGTTGATCGATCGAACGGCGTTGAGCGTAATAATAAGGTCTCTCTATCATTTCACGTTCTATCTTTAGATCTTTTGTCGTGCAAAAAGTCTTTTGTGAAATGTGACGGAGTGAAGACCGTACGGTTGGACTAATATCCCAGTGTGGAATTCATCCTTTCAGTTGACATATAAAGTTCAGAAGCACGGCATGACTGGTGAAAATGTCGACGCTAATGAAATGAGAAAAGACTGATAGTCCTGCGCGTCACAAAAGCATGATCGAACCCGCATGTGGCATGCCAACGGCAAAACAACTTATATTACAGCAGCCATTGTGTCATCTGATGTTCTCGCCACCACCTGAGAATGAAGAGAAACTGCAACTGTAATTCCTGCATTTTAGACCTCAGGCGAAGTTATATAAATTGTCATGAGGGAAACGAGTTGTGGGTTTCCACATTATTATTACATGTATGTAAGCAGGAGACATTTAAGTGCAAGAGAGAACACGACGAGTTGAACAGTTTTGATAAAAAAAGACTTCCATCCTGTTTTTTGGAGTTTGGGCAGGAGAGCAGCTTGAAGTTCCTTGAACGACCGCAACGGAATTCAACAAATATCTCCTTACCTCTCTTGTAAGTGCTGGAAAAGCACTTAGTGCCCGCAAATTGCCCGTCATGCCCCAGTGCGCATTTCGCGGTTATCTGAGGCGTCGATTAGGGATTTGCAATTTCCCGATTTCACGAAGTAACCGATATTTATGGAGCGCGAAAAATGCCATCCCGATGCTTATCGCCCGGGAGAGTTAATCCTAGTCCTAAAACTGCACGAGAAAGACATTAAATAGCTAACATATCTTTTTACAGAGAGGCAAAAAACTTCATTCCCTGCTTCGAACGTGTCCGGGTCTTTCCAGGTCAATTTCATTCCTTTGAAGTTTGGCTCAGGACAACCGTTCTTATTTTCAGACGAATTAGTTTGGAATTGGGAAGGGGAAAAAAAGATATTCCTCGGCCCGAACTCAAGAGTGGCAGTTTCGATATCCAGTGGTCTATATTGCACAACTGGGTGGCTAGATCAGGTTGTGGCTTACGCGTATCCATTATTACATCAACGTATTGGGGTTGATGAATGACTATTTTGGAAGTCGGGTTCATTTCATCCCAAGACTCCAGCTCCACATCGCTGAACACGGGATTGCGCCAGCAGCCTGCACAATATTAAAAGTCTCTCCAAACATGATTGTTTCAAGATCGGCACTTGGAGCTTAAAGGCCTAAATAACCCCTGCTGCTCAGATTAATTTCCCTCGCTCGATCACGCTGTTTCGTTTTGATAGAAGCCAGCCCGGTCGCTATAGATAGTCATGTAGTCGCTGGAGAAATTTTTCATCTGTTAGGGGCCAGTGGCACAAATTTTAGGATCCAAAGCCCCCCCCCTAACAATGGTGTGCTGGAGTCTCCACCGCCACGAATGCCGACCAAGCACGGTCGTCCATCTGTGCTATAGCCTCCGGGTTTCACTGTACGTGGTTCAGTGTCAGTGATATTTTACCAGACACCGAAGCTGATTTATCAGTTTAAGCGATAATTGATCCCCTTTTCTGCGTAAAATCGAAATCTTTATAACTTGCTATTCTTTTGTTTATTATCGTTCGGATGAGACGGGAAGAAAACTTGGCTCTTGGGGTCATGTGCCGCGTTGCATTTCATAGCAACAAGTAAGAGCGTAAGGGAAACATTGCCCAATACAGGAAATAAATGCAATTAAAAATTTACATCAGCTTAGAGTGGTGTTCGTTTGTAGTGGGAATCTCTCGTGGTTGAAATAAAGCCGCCGGAACGTGCCACGCCAGTGAGGAGGTAGAGAATAGATAGGTACTAAGCGTCGAGAGACATGACATGATTTTTTTTTATTGCTGTTATCGTGATGCGGTATTATAATTCATTACGATGCAGCCTCGTATGCTTATGACGTATCTTTGTGTTTACCGCAATGCATGGTGGGATGGAATGAGGTCATCATATTCCAAGAGTAGGGGAAATAGCAAATGTACGAGTTACACTCGATTAAAGTGAAAGGCACAATCCTACCGTTTCTAGTTGTGGAAGATAATTTCCCGGGAGACTTAAAACTACGGTTAATCGTACTCTTATGATAGCAGCATATACACCGATGACTCCTATTCTATCCCACTGATGCATTTCGGTATTTGATAGGTCATCAGTGCACAGGGCTATTGCTTGTGTTCCCATATAATTTACAAAAGTCTATAGAATACTGCGCAGAATAGTTTGCTAGATAGATGGCGCTTTACAAGGCTTGTTATTATTATTGTGATGATGATTAGAGATCCTGATTGCAAGGGTGCCAACGTAGTTCAGCAACCACAGCTCAGATAAAGAACCCAAGTACCCGGCCTGGACAGCGACAGATAATACCGTGCTCAGGGAACAGACGGTTAAAGATGGGCTGATACAGGTAATAACCAGTATATAGATGTTTGTTAATGGGACAAGCTATTGATTATTCACACCAAAGTATTCGTTGTATGGAGGTTTTGCACGGCAGCCATCTTGAATGTCGGTGCTTTTGTTCCATATCAGTAGACCTTTTGTGAGTACCCTAAGGAACAAAGCATTGACCTGCAAGTTGGCAGCAGCCTGAAATCGTTATTAGCTCCAGCAACCAATCTGTAGTAAACAGTGGGATTAACTCACAGGGTTTGTGAACGGCCAATTCGCCTCACATGTCGCTGAATTTCGTCTTCTTTTTGTCATCTTACTGGTTAAGTACAGTTAATTGATTGAGGCTGAATGAGGTACATCCAAATCAGCCCTTCCGAGTCTTTTAAATCTAATTTCTGAAATGGACGAGGACGAAAAAGGTAGAACTTTGGACCCAGTTTGGATGCTTCCAAGTCGGCACTAATGAGACCACGAAGTCACGCATTATTTGCATACATAAGCCATTAGGCACTGTTGCAGTCAGCGTGGGTGCCATACTGACTAATAAAAGGTTGCCAAGTGCCTCCTGGAGAAGTCATTAACAACGCGTAGACAAGAGTGAGCTCAGTTAGCATTTGAAAAGCGGCAAGGGATCAAGTGAAAGAAATGGACTCATCAAGGCGGCAGAGATATGATTGGCCAAACCAGTGACAAGTTAACACAGCTTAATAATTGTCTGCGACGAAAGTGTCTAGGTATCGGAGAGCAATCTTTCTAGAGCTCTCTATGGCATACATTGCGTATAAAGTTCTCCAGACTGTCGCCAATCCCTGTTAAATGGATGGTTTCTCACTGTAAGAACCTTCTGAACATCCTTGATAACCAGGGGACCAACCTGACACTGCACAAATGCCGAAGCTAGATTTCAAACCATCAGCGCACGAGCTACAGATTATCCAACGCTTGTTGGCTAATACACCAACTTCGTGTAATTTTCTGGTTCCCATGGCTCTATTGCTACACCAAGTGACTGTCGTTGAAATTGAAATGACATAACACTATCATCAAACCAGATGAGTTCGCTGTGCTAGTCAGGTCCCTTGTATACTATGGGCTCTATTTAGTAACCGCATATTTTTACTACATTAGTAACCAACCACGCTTCACAATATTTTAAAGGACACAGGATTTCAAATTCTTAGAGGATCCTTTTCTAAATATGTTAACAAAATAGGCTGGCTTGCTCTCGTCCATCCAATGCATACGGTAATGCACGCAAATGCGTGGCTTTACACTGCAATATAAAACGGCAGTTTTTGAGAGAGTACAAAAAGTCCATATTTTTCTAGAGGCCAATTATAGATGAATCTCATTGTGCTCCCTTTGAAATTCCAAATGATGCGTAAAAATCACACTCTTTGTCCATTCAAAAAAAAATTACTGAAAGCAACACAAGAACGCTCATAAAATAGCCAGGCACCTTGCCGTTCAAGAGTGCACAACGACTTGAAACAGAGTTGGGAAGCACGTCACTCGAATGACCATACAACTTCCAAAGAAGAGGTTCTGTGTGGCAGCCATCTTGCTATTTGCGTCAGAGCTGTTGGTCTGTATGCACAAAAGGTGCACATCCCGTGGAGCAAAAGAAATAACTTGCAAGATGGCTGTCAAGCAAAGCCCCACAAGGCTTGGGAAGTCTTCAGGCTGGTTCACACTTGGCGCCAAAGGGAACAGAAGCACGAACTTGTGACGTCAAATCCAATCTTTGCGCTGCGAATTCGCAAAGGTTAAACCACGGACCACTTACACAACACATCTTAACTCGAGATTATTTTTTTTGTTGCAAATCTCTCGCGGCGTCACATTTGGTTCGCTTTAACATTCGCCTGTAGTGTGAGCCGGCCTTTGATCTATAGTACCAAGGTGAGCATGCCTCGTAGTTATATGGTAAGCGTGACCGCAGACGAGGCTACTGTCCGTTTTCATAATCGTGTCTTGTTAATGGCCACTTGTTTTTCTCCACCCACGCTTTCTAAAATGGGTAAGATGCACACATCAATGTCAGTGTCACTTATGAGAGAAATAAACGCTGTGAATGGAATTTAAACAGGAAAAATCGTCCGCTGATGAAAAGTCTTCACAGAAATTTGTGTAAACAGAATGTTAATAACGTAAATTGGGTTAAAAAGTTCCAGATTATTAGAGTTGGCCCGAACAAAATTAATGAAAGGAGCGGTACCCGGGCCGGAGCTCTACCAATTACTAAACGACCCATAGCTCATGCTGATGGTTCCTCGAAACCTTGCAAACGTTGAAAACTTTAAAAACGCGCGAAACGACGAGAGCATGCAAAGGGCTGGTCTAGTGGTTAACTGGCCTTTGAGTAATTGGCTGCAAGCTCTACCTGCCACTGTCAAACTGCCTCTCATTTCATTCAGTGGGGTCTTGGTTTGTGGTTGGAGACTAGGATTGACATGGCAGGCTTTGAGTGAATACTTCGCAATACATGCAGCTTAGCAACCAACATGTTAACGACGCCCAAGAGCCTTCATTTCACCCTCTCACTCCCGAATAAAGCGAATATGTAATAGTCAACAAACCTGGCAAAGAGTAATCATGTTTGACACACTAAATTCATTTTGTTATAGGACATACAGTGCATTTATGTACTTACCTAAAGTAACATTAGGCAGTAGGTCCTGCCTCACATTGATGAGTTCGATGGCGTAGACCATAGCGTACATCCACTGCAGACCACGAGGGCTGATCTCTTGACACTCGCCGTCTTGCTCCGAGTGGATATCAAACAGTCCCCCGAGGATGAAGTCCCCCCGCCTGGTGAAGCTGGTCCGGGCCTCGTCCTGCACGCCGCCGGCACCATGGAAGGGCTGGGCGCCTCGCAGCGGACCCCCTGGCGTCGCGATCGCAGTCACATGATCAGCTCCATGGGCGGAAAGAAGAATGTGGAAACTCAGTGCAAAGAACGTGACCAGCACCGACACTGAAAACAGTCGAGGATGAGAGCGGCCCGTGTGATAGTTGAGATCCATCTTGAAGCATGTTGGCCAACTCTCTTGAAAATTGAGTATGTTCCTTTCCTTTAATGCCGCTCCTCACAGCACAAGTACATAAAGCACCGGCACGGGCTAATTCTAACCCGACAAAATTCTGAAGGGTACTTCCTTCCTATTTCACTCTCGATTTATAATGCTGTCGCTTGGGTAGCTCAACAAGTGAACGTGGTCGCACGACTCGTTCCATCAGCACCAATCATCTTTTGTTACGGCTGACATGCACTAAGTGCTTTCTTCGCCCGATTGTTCCTCGCGGAAGAGATGGAGCATAAATCAACTCACGCGCACGTAAAACGGCCTGGTCTACCTCGGGCTAATAAGGGACATCACTCGGTGAAGGAACGCGACCGTCCACCCTGACTCCTACGGGGAGACGTGGCTACCACTGAAGCTCGTCGGTCGCAAGTATTGCCCTTTCACGCGCAGAGTACCCGTTGAAAGTTGCTGCAGTTGCCAGTCGATGCGCGCGCTGATAACACGTGACGAGTCTATCATATATTAACCACGAAACTTGTCAACCATCAATCCACCTGTAGGGTAAAGCATGGGAAAATCACCGTGTCCTTGTTAAGTGGTACACGTACATATAATGAACGTCAAAAAATGTAGCTCAAAGTAAAAATTCAACTTAAAAGGATTAGATGGAGGCTATACTGTGCAATCAAAGGAGAAATTTCCGCAAGGGTAATGTTATTAGATTTATGCACGTGTATGAATGAGTCTCACGCTGAACACTTTTTTCCCCCTTTGACTTTAGGTAAAACAAAGGAGGCTTGTCTCATCTTCACCGCCTCCAACTGAGCTTGTGCTCTGCAAACTGACGTGTACTGGACGTGTGACATTTTGCCACCATGGGTGAGTAGGCTCCTGGCAGCGGCGCGCATGTCTCAGATCGGCGAACACTGACCAGACAGTGTTGTCGTTGCACTAAAATGGGTAAGGAGAATATGGGAAATCTGCAGGAGTCTCAAAGACTTAAGCCTGCATCCCTTTAACCAATGTCAACACCAAATCTGTCTTTAAATTTTGTTTAATGATTTTAAATATTTTGACATCAAGGTAAAAGATAGTTTCAACGATGTAATCGGGGGCTGTCAGGGAGTGAGTTATCAAAATAATGACCTGTTCATCTACAAAACTCTACAACACAGGTCTGTTAAATAAAATTCTTATTCTTACAAATGGGTCATTAGGGAGACATTTTGTGGTAAATTTTTCGACCTTAAGGAGACATCGGTCATTAGGGAGACATTTCAATGTCTCCTTAATGCCCCATCTACCAGAAGGAGACCGAATTTTATCGTCCAAATTTTAAGAGATGATAGATTAGGGTTTAAATTGACCACATACAAAGTTTGGCTCATTTCAGATTAGGGAATATTTAATTATGGGACAAAGTTTGTGTACGTTCTTACGGGAATGTCTCCCAAGTGACCCATTTTCGGTAATATTTAAAACCCCAATTACAGCACAGGTAAAAAAAAGAAAAAAGATTCAGATAAAAATTTACAATGAAAACTGATAAAAGTGGCTGATAAAAATCCCAAGGGCAGAGCTAGAGTAAAAAAATAATGCAGCACGCCACTGATGAATTTTGCCGTGTCAATTGTCATCAATGCTGTTCGATCAATACCTCTGTGATATATGCCCCACTTTTTTGCAATCATGCTTCATGGTAGACTGCAAAGTGTCTAGCTGATGACCAACTCGATAAATAATTACGACGCGCTATCAAACCCGTCGTTGCCACTGGTGGGGAAGATTGTGACCCGAATATGCTTCACGTTCCGCTGAATAAAAAAGCAAAAAGAGCCTGAGTGCGCACATGCCAGGAATAATGTGAAGTGCCTGCCCCCTCCCCCCCAATGGTCTTGGTGTATTTGTTCAGTAGAGCTGGTAAATAAGCGTGAAGTGTTAAGTGCTACCAAGACGACCGCAATGACTTACCCAGGCAGTTTTCGTGGCAATTTATGATTTTCCAGTCAGTATAAAGAACGCAACTACGTTACCTTCCAGTCACGTGGTACCTTCGAGACCAATATTCACAAACTTTTGGTGAAAAGATATTCCAATTTCCCGAACACAGTAACGTAATCGCTCTCAGGTTTGAACCTTTCTAAACTTCATTTAGCACCCCTATGATAGATATAACACTTCTTGAAGGAACCATGTTATGGGAAGTTTATGACTTCATTCTCACTGACAAGTATTTAAATCCCTTGGTATACTTGCAACACATACTAACGTGCACGAAAACCAGTTGGGCTGAATATCCACTGAATGTTTCCTTTAAATTGGCCCCCTCAACTAAGGATACACAATACTAGCAACGACTGAAGGGTGAATAAGTTATCGATGGTTGCCAGTGGAATACCTGAGTGTCTTCAGCCACCTGTGCTACATAACCTTAGAGTGAGCCAATCCTGTACTTCAAAAAGGCAAGACTATTAGAGAACAAAGCGCGCGTGCGAGTCGGCGTATATGGTCGCGCTGAGAGGGAACGTCTTGCACGAGCGTACTGCGATTCCTGAATGACAGCGGTAGCGTTTCGTTTGTGAATTTGACCTCAGGCTTCGAATTCAAAAGTTTTGGTGCCGATACCGAAGCTGGAAACGGAGCTGGGTTGGAAGTTGGAAAGTGGCTATCATTTCAGAGTAAGCCTTAACCTGCCTGTCAGTCTCATGATGTTGACGATGGCGTTGTAAACAGTATTGGCCACGATCAGTTTTGTACTATTAATCCATATACAAAGGACACCGCTATAAAGAAAAAATTCCGCATTGTACGTCCAATAATTATGTGAATGTTGACCGTTTGTCCCAGGTTAATCGTTTTAAAAAGGAAAACTATCAGGTTAAGTGCATTCAATCATCGCAGTAAAACCGATTGCATCATGGCATTTTACGAAGTGAAATTAATGGCGACAGAGAAAAATTGCAGATCGTTTCAAAACGACCCAAAACTGTACAGCTTACATTGTAACGTAAGAAGACACAAAAATTATAATAATATAATTACTTGATTTACAGTCATTGCAATCTCACTACTAGCTTAGCTCGTTTATTTTAAGAATTGAACTATTTAGTGTGAGTTCTGCCCCATTTCACATTATATATTGAAGGGGAAAAAGCAGGTACAAGTACACAAAAGACGCATTGACAGGCTAAATAAAATTGATTGATTAAACCGGTAAAAATGGGCCGTTCAGCCAAGAAACGACCTAAAACAACTAGTAATAGCACCAACCGGGATATGCAAACACAACTTCAAGGATTTGCATGTGGGTTTTGTAGTGCTATCTTCTTCATTTGAATGGAGAGTACGGGAAGAGTTGGTAATTACAAGTCAATGCCACCTGCGCCACGCACTGTTGGCAACGAATGATCTCTGTATACCCTAGTTTACGACTCAATTCCTTGGGAAATCAAGCAATATCATTTGAGAAATTAGCGGTCCATGGTACGATTCGTAAGCAACATATTTATTCTTCTTATGGGCGGATTATGACCAAACCAGGTTTCACTGTCTCAATCTACTATCTGTAATCCTGGGTTGGAATCAGTCCTTGCATTAGGCTGATTTAAAACCCTGTTGGGTTTCAGTCTGAGAATTGTTGATTTCTAAATACTGTCGTCTTATCACACATTCTGTTCCTTTTCCAAGACTTTTTAAAACTTTTCAATTTACATGTATTTCGGAAGTTTCTGGAATTTCTTCCAGGGATTACAGTGACACTTTAATACACACCTGCTATCGAGTTATGGGGACAGGGACAACACACGCGTTGAATTGTAGACGTTATTGAGGTCAGAAACGTTATGCGGACATTTTTGGGCCCCATAACCTGGATCCAAATTTTCTTTTAAAAAAAATTGTCATATTAATGCGAGAAAGGCCTATCCACACACAAGAATACAGTTAAAGTTTTAGTTAAACCTGCGCTATACCGCTTTGGTATTTTTTTCCGTGCATATTACTGACCACGTACATGTTGTCTGGACCGCCAGTTTTATTCGCTGAAATCTTCCTAAGTTCTTTATAAATCTCCCAAGGATAGATTTTAGGAGGGTCTGACACACTAGGCCAATGTGCAGGTAAATTGTTCAAATTATTAGGCTCCTAGGTTTGAGAGAAGTTGGCAAGATAATTATCAATGACGTTAGCAATGAGTTTAGTATTACTTAAATCAATACCATCGATGTCAATAGATAAATCAGTCTTCATGTTCGCTAGGTAACGAATTTCTTTGTGCCATCGTCCAGGGTCAATTTTCTTTAATATACGTACTCGACCAGCATAGTACAGCTGCTTAGCAGATTTAACTTGACGAGTAACCTGGTTTCTGAGGATACGATATCTGACTCTATCTCCATTACTGAATGCGTTTTGTCTGCGCAGTGTTATTTTCTTAATTCGATCATTAAACCATACTGATCAGTATGGAAAAGAGGGGCAAACAACTATATCTGAGCTTGATGCTGATCGATTACTTTTGGCGTCCACCTGTCTGAGTCAAAAGCCATTTTACTGGCCTCTCGCTGTGGTGGGATTCAGTGCGCATGCGCAAACACTAAGTGAGGACATGAACATACGTGATGACGTTCATGATTTGGCGTTCTCCTCGCTTCATCACTTAGGCAGACAGTGTAAAGGGCTGTTTGCACAGTCTCAGTAATTACATCTTTTGTCACTGTTAATCTCATTTCCAAAGTTCTTTTCCCATTTCATGGACATTTTGATACCTGTTTGCCAAGTATTTATGCTGAAGTAAAAGTGCAATGTTAAAAAAAAACGCCTTTTCAATAGCAAAGTCTGCAAAAACGTAGGATATTTTGAGACGTTGCTGACGGCGGCTGTTTCAGTCTAAAGGTGCCTTTCCATCTACGCGTCAACACTTGCGACACGTGTTGCGTATTCGTTAGAATTGCTCCCGGAGCGATTTTGACGGCCGAACGCAACGCACACGTGTGTTATGTTATGGAGTCGATGTCAGTGTCCGTGAAAGTGAAACGCACGAAAGCATCGTGTACGCAATACACCCAAACACGTGCAAATGGAAAGCCGCCTTAACAGACGATGCGCGTATTAGAGTTCTCTCAAATTATACTTTGCAGGACCGTCTCAAAACCTTATTTCACAGTTTAAGCAGCCCCCCCCCAAAAAAGGGGGCGTCCTCGTTTTACAGAAAAGTTTGGGAATTCTAAATACTTAAAAGTATATTTGAAATGAAAATTGCAAAACAGATTTCTACTAAATTCATTACTCTGAAGGGGTGTGAAGGGTTGCCCGAGTAACATTAGCGTCAAGGCTTTTCAAGGAGTGAAATAATCATTACGGGAATTAACGCTCTTTTTAATCCGTAAGACTGAGGGATATAATGAACAGCAAGTTGCTATCTCGAGTGCATTCCTTCCGTCGACAAATCATTCAGGGGAGACGGGAGACGGGAGGCCAGAGGACTGCTCTCTCGATCCCTGGTCTCTTAGGAATTCAGGGCCCGGGCGATTACAAAATGTGGGATAATTGGATCCCATCTCTGTCGACTCTTGGGACTCGCGCATCGCATGGACGCTATTAGCGCAGTGGATTAAAGGCCATCCTGAAATAAGGGAGATAATATGAATCGATGCGTGTCTCCCTTTGACGCGACATTATTAAGTCCCCGTGCGTGTGCTACTCAATCTCGAGTTAACTGATGAATGTCCGTTTGTAAAAGTTCGTTCCTGTGTATCCGCTCTCACTTTAAGTGTAAATAGTGATGACGCGAACCAATTGTTAACGTCCCACAAATTAAGAAGAAATTAAAGTACGGAGCGAAAAGCAAAACAAAATCAAAATGGGCGCGACTGTCAAAGTCCGATGTCTGTAACGGTGGTCAACCTAATTGTTCCAATTGGAATGAGCCCCAATACCTACTACAAATTGGATTCTATATAGTTAAACCAACTCCGCTGTTTTTGGTTACGCCCAAAAGCTGCCAATATATATTTCCAGATCGTGGCAATAAAAACGACAGAAACCCTTCCCCATAAACAGGTATTATTCGGTCCAGTAAGAAACTAACTTGAATTATGCATGACCTGTTGCTTTTCAGGTGCAGGGCTTCGCGATTCGGCGAGCAGCAATTACTCTAAGCAAACACAATTATTCCAGCTCCTAGCTAGACGTGAAGGTAAATGTCACCCTTTCACTTGCAGCGATTGTCGTCTGCCTGCTTGGATTTCTTTCAAAATTGGATTTTTATGAACAGTTTTCGCGATAGGCAGTTTCTCTTTAATCCATCAATTACCGGTAAACAGCTGTCGCTAAACACTGCTCGAAACCTCAGAAATTTGCTGAGGCGAATATTGCACACCATGCTGCACAAAATGCGAAGGCAGTCATCTGTGGAAGTCCAAAAATGATCAAACCACGGATGATCAGGTGTGTCCTAGACGAAATGGGCACGGCGCTGTCGAGTCAGCATGGAGATCAATGAGTGCGTCAGTTAGGTGGGCTTTCAACAAGGCATGACATTTTCCTGCTTTGCCTTCCATAACGCATGATCACTGCCTCCGAGCATCAAACTTAACAAACGCTTGATATTTCGGTCTCCTTGGCGCCAGTTTGGATTACGTGCCTGTTTTCTCTTTATCAAGAAAAGTCGTTTCGCTTGCAACGGGTGATGCTTTCGAAGGTTTGTAGTGGCAACAGCATACGCACTGAGGTGATTTGAGGTAAATCACCTTGATGTCATGTGGTAAATGGCAAATGTGACGGCGGCCACAGAGCATCATTATTTGTATTTTTAGTAAAAATAAGGAACCAAAGGTCTATCAAACCGACTGTTTAAAGCCTGTATCTATCAGGACAATAACAGCGCTTTGCACGATTGCTGGTGGCAGGTCTATGCATTGACAAAGGAGACTTTCGCTGCTCTGTGGTCCAGGCAATATTGTATGGCACAGTTCGTGAGTGCTTTTCCGCATGTGCTCTATCCAAACCTTGACATTTAACCGCACGATTTGTCGGCAGGGCCCACAACTCACACCCACCTCAAATGCGCACATCCAGGTTGGCATGATTTACAGTACACGCACGTACATGTACGTGAACTGGAGAGTGCAAGTGGCAATGAACTCTCCGCAAATCCGTATCTACGTGCATGTAGCCTTGGATGATGGGAATCGTTTTCAGTTTGTTGGTGCAGTGCAGTTTGCCCGAAATCGCAAAAAAGAAAAAAAACTTTCTCGTGAAATCTGCCAAAAGTTAATCGATACTTGTTACCTTACGACCGGATATCACTTCCACTATGATAACCCCCCCCAGTGTAGTCACGTTCCTACAAAAGTAAATTCCGGTAGCAAATAACTTTTTTGTAATACTGTAGTTGAGTTAGGTATAAGTCCAGAGTTTACTTGACTATGTTGAGATCATTACCGTGACCACGGTTAATGTATGGACAAGTGTTTATAATGTTCATAACCGGCAATAGAATAGCGGCACAGTAGCATTTGAGAAAACAAGGGTCATAAGTTCATCTAGAAGCAGTAAGTCTTTCTTCACTAAGCTTTCACAGTCCCTGCGGGCACACAGCACGAGTGTTAACTGACTATGCTGGATCCGACTTATCAAGGAAAATTTAATCTAACATAAAATAAAGATGGAGCTCACAAAATGGCGTCACAGGAAACCAATGTTCGCTGTTACCACTCTTCATTTAAGCGCAACGGGCTAATGGTCTAGCTTTCAGCTACGGATCGAGAGGAATTGAAAGTTGTTGGTGAAAAACGGAGATTTGGGTGAAAAATTAGTGCAAGAGATACAATGAAAGCTGTGATAAACGCAGAGTGATGTGCAGCTGGTACACTAATTTTATAGAGACATTTACCCTGGCTAACGGATTTTTTCAACTTCCGCTCCCACTTCCGCTAACAAGCGTGGCCTACGTTTTGATATGCACAACCTGGCTGCCTTTCACCACGCTTATGTGCATGGCACCCAGAATACGGCAAAGTCAGAGCGCATGCCTCTGGCGAAACCATACAGAGGCTGATCAATCTAGGTCTTTGAATCTAACTTTGCATTTGATGCTATTCCAGTATTCTGAACACTGGCTATTCAAAGAACAGTGCATTTTCTGGATATATTATATGTAGGCCTGACATGGCCTATGTAGCAAACCATTCGAGTTTTGGGCTGATGTGAAGCTGTTTGCGTCACCTGGCAGTCCCTTGGCGCAAAAAAAAACACACATGGCGTTTTATAAGGCTTCGGGGGACTGTTGCATAGAGCATATCTATGGACTTTCCCCGTCCAGACTGCATGCGCATTCAACATCAATTGTGACAGAAAGCCGACAGTTTGCCCCTGCGATGCAGAGCCCCAAGGGGAAGAATACATAGCGCAAACAAGATTAGCTGTAAAATTTAATGAGTAACGTTGCAGGTGGGCATTCGCGACTGCTAAAACAAACTGAACTACGTGAACTGAGTCAAACAGAACCAACAGGAAAAACTTACCTCAGCATTTGTCCTCACCCGTAAATGTGCAATGTGTATGAGGCACTGCGACTTTCATGTCCTGTAGATTTCGAAGCAGCAGTTAAGCCTATTATCCAGCTAAGTACCTGCGTTATCAGCAATTGCTGCCATTATATACATACCCCACATTTATAGCGAAACTGTGGAAACCTGCATGAGCGTAGAATCCGCCAAATGACGGGATGGACTTGTTAATCTGCCATGCTAAACTGAGCTAGTCGTTACTGCCCAAGCCATGCGCGTAACATAATAATCCACCTTTCCCCTTGGCTCGTCTGGTCCCTCGTACATGCGTCATGACCCAAGTTCAAAGAATACCAGTGCGAACTTTTCCACTGAATTTCTTTTATTCCATTGTCTCCGTCCAAGTGGAAATGTGAAAGGGCTACTGAAATGGCACCTCCCGCTTTGCTTTGCCTGCAGCGTGAACAATGAAGAAATAATGGCAGAAAGAGAACATGCCACGATGTACGAAACCACCGTCTCCCTGTCGGTGATTGGGTATTGACAGACGTATTTGTTGGGTAGTGTTTTTTTTTGGGGGGGGGGTTCAAGGCCAGCGGGTGTAGCACATGGCGGAAGTTAGGCACAGTTATTTTCTTCTGATAAAAAAAAACACGTGAATTTGTCGATGGCAGGCCACGTATGTTTCAGAAGGAAGTTATTAACTGCTCGCGTCCCATTTTAGGGTCATTTGCATACGGATACTGAGGGCCATGAGAATTCGTGCCAGGCAAGCAGCTGCTTCATTTCATAAAAATTTACGTTTTATTTTCACCTTTTGGAAATAAAAATACCTGCCCAAAATATTTTCACGGTAAGATAAGGCCTTTTCCTAACGTCTTTCGTGAAAATAACATTGAGAAATAGTACTAGAGTCGTCAAAACTAGTACTTTTTGTGGAAAGCTCTTTACTTAAGCGGTAGTTTGTTTCGGTGTTGATGCGATTTTTGAAGGCTCGAAACAAAAAATTCAATGTTTTCAAAAGTGTACTGTGGTGAAGAAAGCTGTGAAGGTTTTAGATTTACTGACGGTTTTCCGCTAGATTTTTATCTCTTCCCGACCCAACTCAGCACCGGGGTTTAAGCCTTCTAGAGCACACACAAAGAGTTTCAATGTGATTGTTTGTTAATTTTGAGCAAACGAAGTTTTCAAAACGAGAAGGCTCAACAGACGATCAGCAAGTTGCTAAAGCCAATTTCGTACGGTTCACGAGGGTCTGGTCAAGTAACCGCCACGCACGGTTAAAGTCGTTAATTTCCACAAGTCGAATGGGAGTGAAACATAGGTCAGACGTCATGTTAGGCAGGCTCCGCAGTTCTGCCTGTAGAATGTATCTTCATCTAAATTATTTCACTTCAGCAGGGGACGGTGTACTTGACTTGCCCGTTCAAAAACAAAAATTTGCCCCGTTTTTATACACAATGAAACATGAAAACACTGCATCTAATGAGATAACCACCAGTTTGGGATGTTTTTCCAACAAATAATTCAATGCTTGTATCACCTGTTTTGAAAATCAGGGTCTGAAAATATAATAATAATGAGTTTTTTTCACTGTATCGATTTGGCTTCTATCGTCGTCCTGCGCCCGCTGCGTAAATTCCCAGTCCATGTGCAAACTGTCATGAACAGCCAAGCTGTAGGCCCACGCCTATTACCGACAACTGAAGAATGTTAATTCCCACGTGGTGGTTAGTTATTGTGTTCTTGTTACATAAACCCAACATGTAATTTACATCATCTTCACTTCACACAACGTACGACAAGATGTACTCATAACTTGTATACAAGGTCTCGTATCGTTATTTGGCTCGGAGTGGTACAAAGAGCCTCTTAAATTTGAAACAAACTCAATGTAGAAACTCTGTCATGGTCGCAAGCGCGGAATTTATTAGCTTGAACATGATCATGCCCACGGCACACAATAGGGCTAATGTACGGAGCGCCCAACCATGTTATTGTTGTAGATTTAATGGCATGTATATACGACACCCGAGCCCCGTAAATATCCCATAAACAATGGTTCATATGACATGCATAAAAAGGACTTTGCAGTCTTCAGTACTGCATTAGTTGCCAATGGTTACCATTCATGTTTTCATCCTAAACAGACAAAAATTTTCCGAAGGGAATCGTTTCAGTGCACTGAATACTTAAACCGAGCGCATGATACCGGGATAGCCTTGATCAAGGCGTTGGGCGATGATTTTGACAAAGAGTCTCAGGATCGGTCCACAAAAATTAATAATTGGTATTTTTCGGGAGGCACGATTTATATGGAGGCTCTAGAGTAGCTTTGAATTATTCATGATGGCATAACCGCATATCGCTGAGCCCCCCCCCCGTTTTCGCCCAGAAGTGGATGAAAAACAAAAAAAATTAAACCCAGAAGACACCGACCCTACAAGGCAGTTTTTCGACTCGGCATCATGATTCGGACAGCTGACGCACGTACGTACGTGGGGTTATGTTCACCTATACGCACATGTCTGCGGTGGTTCGTTTTGTATATAGCCTTTGTGAGTCTGTGAACAGGGAATTCGTTGTGCTCCGCCGTTGTACTGGACAAGGGTGGCACCTTGTTAGCCGTGGTTTGTGTGCATACGGCCGCGTAAACCGCACTGGACAAGGCTATACTGGGACAGCATCCGATTAATTGCATCTGACTGACAGTGATTAACTTTTAAAAAAGACAGCCATACGAAGCACAGTGCGCATACACATACGGGAGGAATCGCATAATACTACATAATACGATCCTGTTGCCATCAAACAGGTCTCTGAAAAAGGAGCATACTTTTACTACCCAAGCAGATCAGCACTAATGGTAAATCTTTTCTGAAGCATGACCAATTTCGAATGTGCACAATTTAAATGATGCTAAACCGTTAACTCAGATGGACTATGTTCATGAGGTGAGAATCCGCACGAAAAGCACAACATTTGATACGTTATGCTTTAGTTCTGGGGCTCATCTTTTATTTTTATGATAATAGAGTTAATGGCTGTTTATAGAAACAGCTATTATCGTTAAAATAAGAAGATGGTAGGCAAAATTACATGACTCTGAATCGGTCTCCGATGGACCGAGTTCGACAACATCGTTTGTTCACTTCGTACCAGACGGTAGAGTATAGTCAATGTGAGATTTGATGAGGTTCCGGTAAGCTTGTTGGAAATGTAATGGTTAATAGTACCCATGTGCTTTTAGTATTATTTGAAACTCGGCTTTGTCGTGTTGGATGGACGGGGGAACGCGGCTCCAACTGCCGTGAACACAACGCTTAAACGCTGTTCACCATGTGGTTTCCAACTGCCTGCTTTAATATTTGGGAGTGAATCAAGAACCTTCATGATCAGACATAGTGGACTTAAGTACGTAACTTAATTAAGGTTATAATGTGCATAAACTTGGGGAAAATTTATTCGGTGCACTGGACTGGTTCCCGTCCCTATATGGACCAGTAGCTAGCTGCGGTTTAACGTTTGCGATGAGCCCTGTCAGTTTAGATGCTGAATATTTAAGTTTTTGTCAGGCCAGTAGCAATGCATTAACATGAAATAGATTCAGCGCGTAGGCGAGTGAAACACTAGTACCTATCCTTGCTAAGCCTCTGTTGATTACAGTGTGGTGATTTATTTTTCAGTGATTATCACTGGTAAATTATTTAAGGGCCATTTATTTCAAATCAGTGGTTATTAGGTTTAATTTTAGATAAATGAACAAGTTATGGTGAAGTTATTTTTAGTAACGAAGAAGAAAAAGCAAACTATGCTATCGGCTCCTGCTTGATTTGTGCGTTGAGCGGGCATCGTTTCCTCGTTTACATACACCACCCAGAAGGATTCTGCCTGATTTATTACCCGCTACCAGTCCCTATTACGCACAGGAAGGGAACCAGTCTATCGATGCACCAGTCCTGGATGGAGCATTAATACTAAAGACACGATCATAGAGATGACTATTCGCCTGGTCACACTCCACCTTCACTTAGCTGTAATAGGCAATAGGCAACGTAATAGGCAATCCGAGGACACCGTTGTGAGCCACTGCTGACAAGGGGGTTTTGGTTACGCCCAGTATGTGTAGGACGCGGTAGTACTGGTGGGAGCACATAGTACCCACGAGCAGGCCAGGGTTTGCCACGTACTTAGGTTTCCTTTGTTTGTGCACAAATCGCGACAGCAGTTGGATGAAAAAAAACTCCAAGAAGTGCACGGCACAATGGTAAAAATATTCGACTCCCAAAAAGAGCAAACCGTGCACTAAGAGTCATTTGTGCAATAGTAATTCAAGTTGCCGAATGGATTAAGAATTCACTTCCCAAAGACGTATAGAATAGGCCTAATAGTCTCACTACGGTCCTTCAACGATAACTGGATATAGGCATTTCCATTTCCAAATCAGCGAAAGTAGAAGACACCTAACCTGTAACGGCTACAAATCTCCCGAGAGCGGTCCGGTCCGGTGTAACAGCAGCCACTTTCCTCCTCGAACACGGCTAACTTCCAATTAATATAATATCACTGATGCAAGCCTCACGAACTCTGAAGAAAAACAAGCCTGTCGCTGTTTTGTGTTAAACGTTTATCGCTTTCTAATCGATCTAAATAGTTAGAAGCCGAGGCTTAAGCAGGTCACTCTTAAGTCTTATCACCATGCGCGGTCCCCTGCCACAAAAACGCTGTATCAACGCAATCCGTACAACCTTTGAGACGCTGTCCATATTACTTGTGCCGAGGTCGACCCAAGGCCGTCGATCGGTGATACGCGACAGTAGTACTCCCAAGTAATACTTTGTTGATCATGAACTATCGATTGCACTTTATATGGCCATTTGGGTAGGCATTTACATCTTTTTTCTATAACAAAATTAGTAACTTCATCTGTAAGTACGTCCTCGTCTAAACAGCTTGCCTGAGTCATTTTCTCAGTATTATGGTTTGTGACCGAAGAGACATCTATGCTTCATGCCTTGTCAGTTAGCAGACCAAATTGGATAATAAAGAGGGCCCTTCGTCTCTATGGAAGCTGATTTTCTTTCAGAGGGCAACTGGATTTTACTGTTGTAACTCTTTAAGTAAAACAGAGGAAAAGCGAATTTATAAACAAACGGTCACGAAATTTTAAAAAGATGAAGGTGTCACAATGCCAATGAAATAAAACTGTGTATATCATTTTCTGAGTTTCTTTAGGGTCCCCGATTAACCTAACCGAGGGTCTCCAAATAACAATCGTACAAAATCTTGAGGCCTTGAAGTATGAAAAGGCAGTAGAAGAACAACAGGGGTTCCCCAGTTGGCAAAACATTTTTTTCCTTTACCATAGAGGACAGACAAACCCAGTGAATAAAAGATAGTTCGTGTCCTCGGTTCTTTGTGTCCTCGGTCGTCAGTCCTTTGTTCACTTTCTGTGCCTATAGTCTGCAGCAGTGTAGCAGTCTATAGGGTTCGTGTTGGGGTTGGTAAGCCTTCACTGGGTTAAGGGGACAACTTCGTTTGTTCGGCAAACTAGGACCGAGTTGTGCGGACATTACCTGTCCCCATAACGTGTTTGAAGCCTACAAAATAGGAGAAATGTCCTGTGTTTTGTCCCCACAAGTACGGAACGCCATGCCTTGTTAGCCCCCCCCCCCAAGTCTCTGGTCTTTGAACGTGCAAAATTTTCAAAACAGCGCCCTCTATTTCCGCAGCGCCTGAATGTTCGCGAGTAGACTGACTGTACTCCCGGACACAAGTCCACAAGTCAGAAGGGCAAACTGTTCAAGGGAAACAGACTAACTGGTTGGTAGCTCTAGATCCCTTACGACTGCGTAATGTTGATGTCGAATACAAACAGTAGACCATGGGTAGGTTTAACAAAGTTGCAGCCAGCGGATCTACAACAATGGCGGCATGACGTGCAACGGGCTACTACGAGCCTTTGCTCTGTGATTAAAAATGCCACTCATTTCCGTGTCTGTTGTCAGTCTCCAGCCAACCCTACTCCCTCCTCCCCACCCCCAAAAAAGCATCGCTGCATCCATTCTGGAACTTTTGTCTAACCAGAGATCGGTCGAGTATTTGGGGGGGCCTTACGTGGTTAAGTATACACAATTGTGCACTGTGGCGGAATAGTTAGTTTGACGTAGGACATCGGACATATGAATGTGTTTCTGCAGCAATATTTCATTTTCGGGATATTGCGAGAACGACCTTGCATCAACTATAGCTGCGCAAGCTGGAAACTGACCCAACGAATTCAGCCTGGGGCACGGCAGCTGTGGCAGTCCGCATTTAACTGAATAGGGTGACTCGGGGTGAAAAAGTACGAGGTCCATATGATCCCCCTCACAGTGAGATATTTTCCGTACAAACCAGTGTGAATATCCAATGTCAAACATCCTCCTGTAGACAAAAACAGATAGTGAATGTCCAATATAGTATCGAACTAACTCAAGTTTCATCTGTTTACTTGATTGAATTTACCACGAAAGACAGCGTACAAATTAAAGGAACAACCACCGTTTCCTTCAGTCCTTACAGTTTTCTGTTTTTTGCCTCTTTTTCGGGCTATTAGAAGTGTTTAATGCAGATATAATGTTATATTGCCGGGTCAATGAGAAAGTCCATAGGAAACAAAGGATTTTTTTCGTCGATATTGTCGCCCTTTTGCTCAAGTAGACATCAAAAGTAAGTGGGGGGGGGAAGAAGTCCGTAGAAGGTCATGTTATGGGAATAATGCAACCAAAGTCATCCCCCCAAGACCATCAAATCCACGACTATGTGTATATGAACCTGTCCAATCTGAAGGCTACATATATCGCGTTCCGAAGGCGATGAGCTTCAGGTAGTGAGTACTGACAAATTAGAGTGGTTCTGATTCCCCAGAGAATAGGCTTTCCTAGAAAGGAAATTGTGTTATTGCTTGCCATAGTCGGTGGCCAAGGTTGTTTCCATTTAGTTCTGGTTTATGAAGCACACGTCCATGTATTCGGTTACCGTTCGCAGGTAAAGTGCCGCGGGGAATTAGTGTGATCTCCACGCAGTCAGAAGTTAACTGATGAGCTTTCGCATTCAATCAGCTTTCTCCATGCACATCCCGGGGGTAAAGCGCCAGCAAAGTACCCAGTAGACAATCCGATCGACGGAGCAACTCCAGTGCTACATCCAGGTCTTGGATTGAAAGAGGACAAAAATGGAATTTTCTTTCTGAAAATGAACTTCTTCATTTGTCAACAGTGAAAGAATCATACCACCAAGAAAGGTGGTAGTACGTTTTCTAAACGGCTAGCGCTGTCGATAAAAAATTCTCAAGGAGTGGCAACTCGCTACCCCCTCCCCTTCCCTGCTGGATACGCCCCTTTGAGCAATTCTCCAACCAGCAACAAAAGTATCATCCCATGAGCAGTACGGATGTATGTGGGAGACTTGTACATTAACATACTTATCTATGCCTTGTTTATAATTATTAATTTATTTCTGCAGTGCAGATGTCATTTTTATCTTCCGGCAATAAGTTGTTGGCTTTGGAATATATTAAAGACAGCGTGACCTGCGACATTTTTTTTTCAGTTTGAAATAATTATGTTAGGTATTTCGGGTAACATTCTTTGGTATATCTTCAGATCGTGTGATCGTTGGTTGAACAATTTTATCTTTAGTCCCAAGCTTTAACCTGCCATGTTTTGTCAAAAATGTTATTCGTGCACTCCATAAAATCCATTTAATTGGGTTTTTCCCAGCTTAGGGATTTTTTTAAATGTATTATAAATATGTACACATTCTGCTGTCTATATTTCGTCATTTTTCCACTTTCTTTGTACAAAAAACTGCAATACTTACTATTTTGAAATATTATAATCTCGACAATTCAAATCACGGAAGGTATACTTATTAAGTATACCTTCCGTGATTTGAATTGTCGAGATTATAATATTTCGACAATTCAAATCACGGAAGGTATACTTATTAAGTAATTATTGTGATCACTTTTTCCATTAAATGCTTTCATTTAAATTTAATTTGGTTATGCTACAAGATTAGCAATTACACTTTTTTTTCGATAACCACACCAACATCACAAGCAGTAAAGCTACAATAATTTGTATTATTTCCAGTTCGTTTTTAAGGCGATGGCACCGCTGTCATTAGCTGGTCATGTTTTGTTTCTCCAGGCAGCGGTCGCTTTAGGAATTCTTGCAATCTTGCATCCAGTCTCTGCTCTGTCTTGGCTAGGGCCTGGTGTAATTTCCGTGCCCCACCCGCAGTGTGGGGCCGGGGTGGTAACAGCACCGGAGCCTCCCCGCTCGGAGACAAATCTGAATCGGGTAAGCCGTACGCTCTCGACCTGATGGCATCATTCATGAACTCGATGTGACTCATTGCCGATATTTTCCTCACTCGTGGGACAACGGTGCTGGGTCGACTTCTCGCGTCCGGAGAGGTAGGAGAGCCCGGTAAAAGGACCGTGGGTCGGATAGTGACTGAGATTGAACGCTGGTGTCTCTGATGGTTGGCTCCTCCTGCGTTGCTGAGGAGGACGGGGCGGATTCCTAGCTTCTCCGCGCGGGTCAATAGTCGAGGTTTCTGAGGTTGTCCCGGAGAATTAGAACCCTCCTTTGAAGAGTCAACCTCTCCGTGTTGTGCTGGCAGGTCGTCAGCCTGAGGTGCTCCGCCTCGTGCACTCTCTGCTGCGTTTCCCAACCCGTCGGGGGAAGATAGTCCAGGAATTTCCGACCCTGTGTCACCACGGTCACTCGGGCGGTGCATGCGCATCCCACGTGGGATCCGTGTTGGCAGTTCTTGGGGGAAATTAACTGGGCGCAAGGGCGAGGTTTTCATCTGATCCCTTGGGGAGGCAATTTCACTCGTGTGTACAGTGCTGTTTACGGGGGTCGAGTCCGCTGAACTTGTCACCGTATCCTCTGCGTGACGACGCCATCGGAGCGGTGCCGATTTTGGACGCGACAGTTGGGGCAGAGGCTTATTTTTCAAATCTGAGACACTGTCGCTCGTCTCCTGGTCGATTTTCAAGTTTTGGAGACAATCTTCAAAGATATTCTCACCGCCGGATTTGTCACTCTGAAGTGCCTCTGCTCTTAGACCAGTAATAGATGCCGTGGGTGTATCACGATGTTCCTGTCCCTTGTCCGCGCCGTCCATCGACCTGGACCGCGCCCTTCCGGGTCTTCCACCGGTATTCCTCTCGGTGTTGAGTGGACGGTCGCCCGCTGCGGTTGCCGGCGGTGGTCGCGGTCTGTTTTCGCGATTGGCCAGGCAGCTGTCCCCCTCCTGCCGCTGGAGGCAGGCCAGAACGTCCTGGGTGCTCAGCCGTCGTTTGAACAGATATACCATGTTCTTGTGCGCGTTGGCCTCCATCGACGCCAGGTGCTTCTGCAATTTCTGGGATTCCAGCTTGTTAGCCCTTTCGGTCAGAGCTGAGCGACTGCTGTCCAATGAGATCTTCCTCCGCCGTGCCTTGCTGCCCGCGTCCATGGTTGCTCTCGGTGGAAATCGCACTCTCTTCCCTCAAGTCGAAATGGCCTTAGAGGTGCTCTTAAAAGTCATTGACTGATTCATGACAGTTTCAGTCGACACATTAAATAATTTCTTATCATTAAAAAAATCACATTAATTTCTGGGGTGCTTTTGTGTGTTGCGACGCTGTTGTAAAATGTGCCCAGACTCGCTAGAATCCTGAACGTATAGAAAATTTTATTGGTGGAGATTCAGAGAACAAACGAGTTTGAAATGCCACAGTCAGCAATTTGATCACCAGTGGAGATCTCCTTTAGATTTACACCACTTGGATTTCCTAACAAAACGAATCTGAACCGGTCAACAATACTTCTGTCTCTTACACGATCTGTTTACCTAAAAGACTTTACCCTAACGACACTGCATAGCCACAGACTAGGGCAGTTTGGATTTAGAGTGCAAGACAAACTGACGAGGTCCCGCAAACAGAGACTGAATGCGCCTCGGATGAGAAAACCAAACAAAAAACCGTGGCTCGGGTCCCTATCTATGAACTTGATTTAGGAAAATCGCCCTTCACAGGATTGGCCTATTCAGATACTCCAGATAACAGCACAACGCGGTTTAGATCAGTACGCTTGTGATAAGGATGTATTATGTTCCCTATGGACGAACTTTGAGGTGTCTGTGATAGGAGGGTAAACTTATAGGATGCAAATCAGGGGGCATGAGCCACGCCCCCAACAACGACTTCACAAAGTGTAATTAACGACTGAGAAGAGAAACAGTCTTCTTGGAAATCGCCAAGACCTTGACCTGTGGAGCATGTTGCACCTTCATTCACTTCACTTAATTCATATTTATTATTTCTTGACTGAAATGAAATCCACATGTTTGGCCACTCCAGATAAGTGCAATTTAACTCGTATGGAATATATACATGTAATGAGTTTACCGAACACAACAAACCTATGCACTGAAGAGCTGACAGAAATTCATTCCCTTCACTTTTCAACTCTTAGAGAGAGGGGAGCCTACTTAGGAACCGAATCAATCAGTCCGTCCATTGACATTAATTATAACCTGTTAGGTATTATTTTCAAAAGAAGCTGCTTCTCAGTGCGGTTTATGTTGCTGATAATTCAGCGAATGTTAACGTAATTGTCAAGCAAAGACTTTAATAACATCTGAAAATTTAAGTTAAGAATGATCATTTGTCCATTGTGATTTAACAAATTTCTTAGTTCATGAATTCGTGAATTTTGTGTTTCAGTATGCATTATCATTTTCTCTGAATCGTGAATTGCATTCTCTTTGCACGGGCACACCCAGTATAAGCGTTGGCTTATTGTCTGAACTCCCCGTGCTATAATAAATAAGTTCCTTTAAGTTTTTGCATTTACATGTACCGAACTACTTTATAAAATGGAAATTATCCTGAACCTTGTTACCATAATTAACATAACAACATGTTAAACATAATATTAATAACATTATATTCTTTTATTTACATTTTGGTTTCTAGCCCAGCTAGCCTTAAAAAGAGATACATGAGTGTACAAACTTGTTCTGGTTGTAAAGAATCAAAAAGAGAAGACGAACCGATCAGATCATCTCTAATCTCCACATATTACATTCATTCAAATTCTATAGTCAATCCTGATCCCTCCATTTTTTCCCTGAAGAGGGCGTTCAGTTCTTCGTTCTGTGCAACGGTGAACATCGTCTTCCAGTCTCCAACAGTTCCTGAAAATGCAAGAGGATACAGCAGCAGAACACAAGAGGTAAGTTGACACTACATAGTGCCAAGGTTGGAGACTTTTGGGAATGATTCATTGGTTCTCACCGCCCTTATAGGGCACGAGGCAGGGCAAATGCCTGTACTTTTTGTCGACTGAGCACTCCTTTGACAGAGTCAATTTGAACAACTGTTACGGGTCAACACGTGACATGAGCGCACTGAATGTATGCAGTTCAGGACAGCATGTAAACCACACTGATCTGTGGGTCAGTAGCTGTGGCGTATTCCCTTCACAAAAGTTTGGGAAAGGCACCGGCCCTCCCCCAGCGCTGCTGCTTGAATGCGTGAAAATGTTATGCAAATAGGTAATGCGCTACGAGATAAATGCGCTGTTTATTAATGTACATATTACACCATGTTCAACAGAGAAACCTGTATAGCAAAACCTATATGTCAAAAATAAATCACGAGCCGTGTGAATGATCAAAACATCCTGGGGTGGGGCTTTACGGATCAGTCCAATAAACATTGTCAACCAACTCATCAAGAAGTAGGAGAACACTGGACTTGTCCCCCTTGTCTCCTCATTTTAATATCTATAGAAAAGACCCTTTCTAGCAACAGGTTCGGTCGGTTTAATTTCTAAAAAAATCACACTACGTTTACCAATTCTTTCGAACTGGAGAAGCTCACCTTTCCTAAGAATCGAAGGGGCCCCTAAACCTCCTTTATCAGCAGGTGGCTTTGCCTGATCGTCAGGGGGCGCACTCTCTTGATCACTCGGTGGAACCGATGGTGGCGCTTCTTTGGCGCTAGGCTGAGAGAGGTTAAATCGCGCCTTCATGCTCTGAAAGCTGCATAACTCGACCACCCGGTCCACTGCGTCATCCGACAGGTGCTTTCCCAGGAAATCGGTTATTTGTATGACTGCTCTCTTCTTGTCCTTTATCATCAAGAACCAAGTTTGGCAAAGCGTATGATTAAAACGAGATATGTCTTTACTATTTTCAATTATGCACACCTAACAAGTCACCAGATTTTTAAACAGTTTAAAACGGTCACTCCTAGTTCTCTCCAGAATCACACCATAATCACAAAAGAGGCACGTGGATAATGCAGTCTGAATCTTACGTGACTAACGCTGACCCACCATTAAACAATCTTTTTTCAGGTATAGCGTCTCATAGCTCTGGTTATACTTAATAAGAAATTTAAAAATTGAGAAGCCTGATTTTTTTAAGTGGGAAATAATTGTATCCCGTAGGGGCAAAATGTATGCAACACGCGCGCGTTTGGCGCAGAATGTGCAAAACCAACATTCGGTCATTTTATCAGTCTATCTGTCTATTTACCTGACAATTATTTTCATGTAAATAGACTGATCCGTTATAATCCCGCGGCTTCGGCACCCACGGTTATTTGGGCAATCACAACAGTGACTCTGATTAATGCCCGAGATCGATGCACAAAAAAGTCCGACCTGGTTGGAAAATGCAGTGTGGCATCAGAGAGAAACAAATTAAAGACATGCAACCACCAACCTGCACAGTGGGCGGGGCTAGATGGATCGGTGTAAGGCTTTTTATATACAGAGATCTTTGCGTGAAGAAGCTCTCTTGCGTGATGCTCTTACAATAAATTGAAAGGCATTCATACCCCCCCCCCAACTTACCTTTATCATGTCCTCGTATTTCAAGAATAAGAAGTTTTTGTCATAGCGATGCTTAGTCCAGAAGTCCAAAACGTGGGGGAACCACGACCCAAACACCACTTGTGAATAAAGAAGAAAATAAATCGACAGAGATTTTTGTTTTAAATGTGTCATTTGCCCCCGGTTAGCAAAAAATGAGATAATCTCTGTGCATGAAGTGAGTGCTCTTATCAGTTCTACATGCGATGAATTTGCTCAGAGTAAACGTCTTTTACTTACTGCTCATTTTACCTTTCTCATCTGCTGGAACTGAAAAGCCAGTTAAAAAATTTTATACTCCTGTTCATTTGAAGTTAAGTGGACAGCGCATTAACGGCTCTCTAGAGTTCATACCTAATTTACAATAAAAGAGAGAAGACGTTGGGCATTCTCTTAAATTGTACATTATTATTAGAGATGAGCATCCAGAAGGTCGATTGGAAAGCACCATGGTTGAGATTTTATGGGAGTTTCTTGTTTCAAATGGAAAACAAATAGTCAAAGACAAACTGACCTCTACCTTCCAGAGAAATGCACATGGATATCCCAGCGTCGAAATCAAGAGCATGCATTTAACTGCGTCCCCAAAATATTAGCGGCTTAAATGAACTTACTTTCCTCAGAAAAAGACAATTTGACGAAGTAGTCCCACTTTTCGTACCGAGAATCAAACTTCATGGGCTTCACGAAGTTCCAGTTCGACACAGTCGTGTCTTTTGGGTTTCGGATGACGTACACGACCTTCAATGACGAGGATAATACAATTGAAAATATAAGCTTCCATGCGTACCAATCAACTCCAAAACAGCAAGGGCATGTGTACGTGTGTTAAGGTTTTGTGTTCAAGCGTCCTAGTATTAGGTCGTGTCTGGTGGTTGTGGACGAGGCTGGAAGTAAACGTGCGCAGATGCAATTGAGGTTCTTCCAGCTTTGAAACATGGAAGTTTACACAGCCTTACTAACTTAGAGCAAACCATTCTGAGAACAAACACTTCCAAAAGACCTCCCTCTGACTGAGAAAGACGGAAAGTCTCTATGACCCCTAAACAAGTTATTGTCAGTTGAATTTTGATACTGAGAGCAGCCATTCAGAACTCACACTTCCAGAAAAGAAAAACACGTTCCAGAGCGATGCATGTAATCACTACAGGTTATGAGGCTCTGAGCGCACTGCTCGTGGGCTTAGCTTTCGAGTCGTTCTCGGAATAAACTTCAAGTAGGGATTCCTTGAATTGGGATATTAACAGGGGATAGGTTGATTTCTACGGGAAAAGGCATCACCTTTCCTTTCCCTTGGTATATCTGGCTGGGCATGAGCTCCTCCGTTAAATGCGTCATAATCACCCGTGGGGCTGTCCACTGCGCCATCGCCTTGTATTGCGGGGGACGGGGTTCCTTAAAAACCGACCTTCCTGGCTGGCTGAGGTCGAACTCCACCGGGTGGGACTGTTGGGCGCGGTTGATTCTTTCCTCATGGCCGTCCACAAGTATAAGATTGACAATCTCCATGGCCCAGTGTGTGCCTGAATCAGAAGGGATTCCTCAAAGGTCATTCAGATACCTGGAGAAGAACTCCCAAAACGTTACCTCTTTGCATATCACTCCCTTTGTTTGCTGCGTTTTGCAACATCACTGCAATCGTCATGTTTTAGCTTCGTTTTTGTTTTGTTTGTCTCCCCCTCTGACAGCAAATTGCTGGCGCAGGTGCACGAGGCATTGTGGAAAACAGATCCCTCTTTTGCTCTAGCTCCCGGCACGGCTAAATAGTCTTTAAAAGCTTCACCTTCAGATCGATAGGCTGTGTTCCCAGGCATTGTGCCCTCCAGAATGCTGAATCGCGCCAGTACATTTCTAGCACAAAAAGCTTTTTGTTGGCATCTTTCATAACATTTGTGTATGCAAAACAGCACATTGTATTATTTTGCTGGCATTATCGGGGCTTCCTGGAATATAATGATGTCATGGTCTTACGTGCAAGGACTACCAGCATCTTTTCTGTTGTTTTGTCACGTGAATGACGCTCAAGTATCACACTTACCTGCTTTTGGGTAGGTGACAATCCACACGTCATCGTCCCACACGTCGTAGTCCTTCAGTGCGTCCAGCGCTTCCTGGGTGACAAACCATGGCCACGTCACTCCGTAAAGTTTGACCGTGCCGGGTTCGGCGGGTTGATTAACTTCATCTTTTCTCTCTGTCATTCCCAGTCTTTTGAGGGACCCGTCTGCTGGCTTCAAATGAAGTTGTACGTGTACAGTAAACTTTTCCAGCCCTGCTATACACCGGTGTACCGTAGTATGAGGTGAATTGGATTGGTACTGGATATTTCTACTCTACTTTGTAGAGAGCTATGTTACTAAAGGGAGGTCCATCTAAACTCCCATGAAGCCAGACAGGTTAAAATTCGTGTTCCTTGGATGGGCTCAGTCGTCCGCAGGCGGACGACTGGACCAACTATACAGTTTTTTAAACACTTCATCGACCGCCAGGGAGATTTCGCGTTTTTCAAGATAAACTCTTTGAAAACCTTTTGAACATCCTTGAGATCCTATGCCCTGCAGACATGAGTAAGCAGTGCGAGAATTTTTTTAACAGCAAGGATTTAGCAGGATTTATTTTCGTGTGCAAATTTAATACAACACCGATTGCGTTTTCGCATATACAACAAATGGATGAATGAAAAGCGCGGGGTGCGCGTACCATTTTTTTAATGTATGCTATATACCGATATACGAACTTTACGGGATATTATGTCAATATTTCCATTGACATTTTGATAAGAGATAGATTTGATAATAATGACTGGGCCTTCCGTGTTCTATACAAAGGATCCGTTTGAGAGTCGTTTTCTCAGCTTCGTTGGCTTTTTACTATAGCATATCCTTTTTACTGTAAACTGCAAAACGCACCTTTTACCACAAGCCCCTATGTAAACGGCAAAGAAATAATATCTTTGCCTTCCCTGTTGAACTTCTAGGCTCGGTAGGTGGCATCCTCGCTCAGTGTCTCCCTTTGTTGAACTGTGGTTCCTTTCCATTTTGAGAGCCAGTCATAAAGGTCAATTTGGAAACGTTATTTCCCGTTTCGCTCACCCCATGTTCTTACACAAAAAAAGGTTTGCGGGTACACCATGTGGGAAATATCTCTTTTGTGAAGAGGTGTGGTTCTGAAAAGAACCGGTGAGAGCAGGTCTCGACGTTTCGGCCAGTGTACTCTGGCCTTCCTCCTCCTCCTCCTTTTTGTGTGACACTCCCACCATGCAAAGCTTCAAATCTTACCCATGTTCCTACTTTCGAATCTGTGTTGATTTTTTTTTTTTTTTTTTGGTTTTTTTTTTTTGCCTATTTCCTTTTCAAACTGGAAAGAAATATCCTGGAAACTTTTCTGTCACTGGCAGACGGATTGTCTGTTGACTATTATAAAGCTATATACTGTACACGTCTGAGAATAATTCCAAACAATTCAAAGTCATGGTAGGCCTACATTAAGATCAGCACAGGAAGATCGATAGAACAACCCTTTACACAGGGGTGGCACTTCGGACTCGCCAATAGGCCTATACACTGAAGGTAAATTTAACCGCGCAGGAAGATATCTATGGTGTAAACTGCACAGCACCGACTGCCAAACAAGCGAGGCGTTTAGCCCCGGTGCGCACCACTGTTAACGGAGTTCAGGACAAATAGTGCCCTTAATAAGAATGTTGGTCACAGACTGTTGCTGCCTAAAATTTAATTAACGTGATATCTAGAAAGGTTACTCCACTTGAAGGCAAGTTGGAGTTAGGCGGCGACTGACGGCAATCCGTACTGTTCAAACAAAATCTACGAACTTCAAACCCTGTTTAACGCAATTATCAATATATATTTATAATTTTAAAACTACATAGGAATGAAATTATCAAGTATTTCACAAAAATGTTCTTTACACTAAGAGTAAGCGAAATTGTAGCCAAATAGTTACTTATCACTATTTTTATCGGTTTTGTATACTCTTTAGACCTTAAGACCAGCCACCATTAAGATTCTTTCCCTTAATTTACCCCTAAAAATTAGCAGATCTAACTTCAAACCATGTCTGGCACATTCACGCGTCGCCATTGTTATCGTGCACTTTGGTTTCACCCCAGCCCAGTGTGAGTCAGCGACTATAGATACGAACTCTGAACTCAAAACGGTCTTTGGTTGTCAACGTTTAACGTGCCCGTGGCAACTTTAGACAGAAACCTTCTCACACTGCACTACAAAACCTGCTCGAAATAAGACTTAAGTCATAGTTCGTTATGTCACTCAACTACCGTGGTCACGAGGTGTGAGTTCAAAGTGGGATGCCGCCATGAACCCATCAAGACCCACGGTAACGGTGGATAAAATTACAAAGAATACGGACTCACCTCGTTTGAATTCGGCTGTGGCCGGAGAGAGGCAGAATTGCACATACGGGCACAATGATATACACGTACATGTATGTGGTATATAATGTCTGCAACACATATATTATTATTGTGATGATTTCGTCGCCCGAAAGGGCGTCGCTAGCGGCTCGCCAAAGAAAGGTTTTTTATTTCCTTACTTTTGGAATCCGTACCTTTATTTTCAAAACGAACAGACCACAGAGAATTGCTGAAAAGGACCAAATGGTTTGGTAAAGTTTTTAAAATGGTGGCAGTCTCAAACAGGAAATTACTAGGAAGAAAATGGAAGACGATCAGTTTTTCAACTTTACTTAACTCTTTATTTGGGAACGCAGTGGTGTTTTGCGTAAATAAAGGAACTAACCATCGCCCTATCTCCTCCTGTTTGTAACTGAAATAAGCATAGTGCACTAATATAAAAATGGAGGTTTGAATAGCAGATTTGCCACGAATGAAATAACTGTGACGTGAGGGATTACATCATCATGCATACAAAATGAAGACAGAGAGGAGTTTAAACATGTTATTCAAATTGTACTGTCAGACCAGATCCCGCCATTTTTTCCTTGAACAGGGCGTCCACCTCTTCATTTTGTGCAACGGTGAACATTGTCTTCCAGTCTCCAACAATTCCTGAGATTCAACCGAATATAAAAGCGAATTACATGTACGAAGTCGAGACATCGTCACGTATCAGCTAGACATTGAAATTAAAAGAAGGGTAACTTTTTTAACTTCTATGTAGGCTTTCAACTTCCGTTCTGATACACTACGTACTGTCAAATTACCATAGTTTTTTCAAAAATTGCATTCACACAGTTTTAACTACCTCTCCAAACTCATTTTTTAAAGACGAATACCTTTCCTGATTATTGAAGGGGCTCCCAGGCCTCTTTGACTCGGAGGTGACTTTGCATGTTCGCCAGGGGGCGCATTCTCTTGGGCGCTCTGTGGAGCCGAGGGTGGCGCTTCTTTGGCTCCAGGCTGGGCGCGGTTAAAACGCGACTTCATGCTCTTTAAGCTGCAAAACTCGACCACCCGGTCTATTGCTTCCTCCGACAGGTGCTTGCCGAGGAAATCCGCTATCTGTATTACCGCTCCCCTCGTGTCCTTTAAATTCAAGGAATTCAACTTTTATGAAACATTTCCGGGAAGTAATTTTACAAATACAAAAGCAACTATAAGTACAAGTTACAAGTGCCTTTGTGTCAAACTTTTTTTTTCTAGCTCAAAGTAATTTGGGGTTACTTACTTAGGAAGAACATGTCTGTTTTCAGTCCAACAAAGTCACCGCCTTTACTGGGATGATTTATCTTGGAAGCAACGAAGCAGACTAAACCCAGTAACAAATTGATTTCGTGACAACAAATCCAACACGGAATTCAATCACGATGTTATTCTGGAATCAGTAAGTAAGTCATCACCGAAAACAAAACTTACAAGGCTGTAAAAACTTAGCTGGACACAATGACACTACATTTTGGGGTTCAGTGGTCAAGCAGGCGTGTTCTGCCAGCTGCATTTTTTTTCTGCAGTCATGAAGAGTTTCGGAGTTTAATGCACATGCGTGAAACATATCTGGCAACAGAATACCAAGTCGCCAAATTTGGACATATAGATCGTGAAAAGGGAATTTATTTCAGTCTTAAACTGTGGGGGTGCCGTGGTCTGATGACATATCTACGGTCGGATTTGAAGCAAAGCTTACTTTCCCACACGCGTATTTACTTCATTGATCGGTTCACTTAAGTACTACTTCTCAGTTACATAGATTCCACTCCTATTGTCATTTATGAGTTTTGGAGGATTTTGAAGCACTCCACAAGACTGTGGCATGCGCATTTCAGTGCATTGTTTCGGGGGAAAAGGTAGCCACCGTCTAACGCTCGTACAATCGGCGTCATTCCACCGCACGACTTACCATTTTCATGTCCTCGTACTTCAAGAACAAGAAGTTCTTGTCATAGCGATGCTTCTTCCAGAAGTCCAAAACGTAAGAGAACCACGATCCATATATTACTGAAAAAAAGGGAAAAAAATGACCGGGCAGATATTTGTAGGGCTTACTGTGATATAGGGGCTCTTGTCCACATCTTGTTGGTAAAACCATGAGAATATTTGATGCAATTAGTAGCAGTAACACAAATTCCGCTAACTGAATGTACTTTGTAGCGAAGCTTGACCTCGCAATTCTGTCTAGATCTGTTAACGCGCGCTCTGAAGTGCTGGAACTTTTAACTTTAAATAAGAAAATTATTGATACATATCAGTATATTATCTAGGTTTCCACATTGGATTATATTCCCTCATTGGAACATTTTCTGCCAGACTTATAAGAAGGAGTGACTCAGAGACTTACCCTCATCAGAAAAACACAGCTTAACGAAGTCGTCCCACTTTTCATACCGAGGACCAAACTTCAGGGGCTTCACAAAGTTCCAGTTCGACACAGCGGTGTCTTTCGGGTTCCGAATTACGTATACAACCTTCAGTCACGGAGGAAAGACCAACAGGAATAAATGGACGTCACCAGCAAGCAGCCAGACGTATTTTGTTTGCACCACAGATATGCAAGGAATACGCGTATTCTGGTGTCTTGTCTGAACAGTCCCCTGACGTCTCTGAAGTTACAACAAATCACTACCACTGGCAAACATAACTTGTTTAGGAAATCCTCACCCATATTTAGGTGTCCGTCCGTTTGTCCTTCCGTGTTTGAAGCCAACTTTTCCAAAGGTGGCAGGCAAGATTGTATTAGAATCATTTCAGTTAAATTAAAACGAATCACAACTGTATTACCTTTCCTTTCCCTTGGTATATCTGGCTGGGCATGAGCTCCTCTGTTAAATGCGTCATAATCACCCGCGGGGCTGTCCACTGCGACATCACCTTGTATTGCGGGGGACGGGGTTCCTTAAAAACCGACCTTCCTCGCTGGCTGAGGTCGAACTCCACCGGGTGGGACTGCTGGGCGCGGTTGATTCTTTCCTCATGGCCGTCCACGAGGATGAGATTGACAATCTCCATGGCCCAGTGTGTACCTTCGCGAAAAGAATCGATTTGCCAAACTTCAAGATTGTCACGAGCGTCACTGAAACGGCTGGGTTTTCTGTAGCAGACGTATTATCGTAGAAACCAAACTTATTTTGTTTCTAAGGAATTTAAATCCTATTTATATCATTTTCGTCGCCAAAATCTGAACAGCAATCCTCGAAAATGTCGCTAAACGAGAGAAGTATTTTTACCTTTTAAAATGCCGTCATTCCGAACCAACACTTTCTACTTTTTTCAGAGCACCCAAGCAGGACAATTTTAAAAGGTATTCACTTGATAAATTCATGATTTTTTAATTATTATTTATGACCAAAGCAGATATGACACTTAAGTCGATTGTACCTGCTTTTGGGTAGGTGACGACCCACACGTCATCGTCCCATACATCGTAGTCCTTCAGTGCGTCCAGCGCTTCTTGGGTGACAAACCATGGCCACGTCACTCCGTAAAGTTTGACCGTGCCGGGTGGGGCAGATGGATCCTGGGGGCTACTTCCGTCTGCCATTCAGTGTCTTCCGGGCTCTAGCTCCTGAGACTGGATGACGAGACACTACACGATCAATTAACCTTAGCTCCAAGCTTGGAAGAACGAAATTCAGACCCCAGATTTCCTTTTTATGTAAGCTCTTTAGGTCAACATGTATAAATGAATATGCCCATTGTGAGTTGCCAGGGCCCTCGCACATACGGACTTTATACTCTGCACTGATTCACACTGTTGATCCATCCATGATCCAGCCGACCTACTGTGGAGATTTGGGTGACCGTAATGCCGTCACCAAATAAACATCGTCCCGAGGTTATGCAAAGATCTTATAATGGTCATGCACGGCAGCCATTTTTCCGGTTAGTGTGTTTGTTCCATGGGGATACGCATGAGTAGACTTGCCTATCCCCTGCTAACAAAAGCACTAACCAGGAAGATGCACGTGGCTACCTCTACAACTCATGTCACAAATGGCGCTTTTAAGTGGGAGAACATGAACAGCCCATTCCATACTACATGTATATATTGACCTATTAAATTCACAAATCCATATGGATTGAATTTAAATCTTGGCCAGTTTATTACTACTCTGACCATTGTCACATCATTTAACGAATTTTAGCCTAATTTATAATTTTAAATTGGCTTATATCTTTTTGTTTAATTTTAATTTCATTTAGTTTAATTTAATTGGTTGTTAACTGTAGTTTTAATGTTATCTTATACTGTTTCGGCCACGAGAGGAATGTAACTAAACCAAAAACCAAGCCAACCAACTTTATACGAATATACTAGGCTGCGTGCTCATGCAACACAACTGCAACCTTACAGTGGACAATCAAAGCATTGCACGGTCAATTTTGGACTATGCCCAAATTACTTTAGGCCGTGCTCTATTTTAGATAGACTTCCACACAGGGCACGTAGTCTGCCATAAGTGCCAACCTAACCTAGGCAGACATTCCTTGGTCTGAGTTTGTGTGTGCTGCTGCCATAAACGGTACGCGAAATTTGCATAAAGTAAACCAGCAGCAATTCACAAAATTCGGAATTTGCGAGAGAGAACATAAAATTATAAAATTCATGAAAATAAAATGAAACAAAGCATGTTGAAAAAAATCCTGCCAAATAACCCTGTCTTAGGGAAACCCTCATCGTAATGATGAAAAGTGAAACGGAGACAGTTACCCTGGGAATTGGTCGACCATAAAGAAACAATGAAAAAATAATGCAACATGCACAGTTGAAGAAATTATGTGACTTTCAAACGTGTGGCCAAATATCCGCGATAGAAGAAATGAGTTGTTGTCCTGCTCTTTCGCACTTCTTTTCGAATCTGCCTTTGTTCAGACCTCGTCGGGTCTCTTCCTGCGCAAAGAATGCTCCCTATATTCGAGCATTAGTAAAACCTGGCAATTGTCCAAATCTGGCGATCGTGGTGTTATCTGAAAAGGCACGCCATCCTCTTTCAAGTGATGTAAGTTTCATCTCCATGTTTGCTGTGGTTGAGGAAATATCCGCGAAAGAAGGCATGAGTTGTTGTCCCACCGCTTCGTATTTCTGTGGATTCTGCCTTTTTTACAAGTATAGAAAATCCAAACATTGCCCAAATCAGGTAATCGTGGTGTCATCTTTAAGGGCACACCCTCCTCTATCCATTGATGTAAGCTCCATGTTGTCTCACTGCTTCGTATTTTTGTGTGATTCTGCAATGTGTATAGCACCCTCTAAGAGTCCGAAAATATTTATGGTGTCATCTGAATGGGCATACACTTCTTTATCTAATGGTGTACGTTTTATCTCCATGTTTGTTGTAGTTGAGGAAATATTCGCGAAAGCAGACAAGGGCTGTTGTCCCACTGCTTGTATTTCTGTGTGATTCTGCCATTGTTTATGCCCGACAGGCCTTTCCCCCGCACAGGTAGTTACCTATATTCAAACATAAAAAAGTCTGAAAATTGTTGAAATCTAAAAAACCAAAGTCGTCGGGAGCACTCGTAACACCAGAATCGTTATCGGTAGTTTTGTTTGCCGCCTTTTATCCACGCATTATTTATTTTTTTACTGTGAGCATTCTTGATCGCAATGGAACTGAACTCCCAAAAGACGATTTTTTTTATAAACGGGAGAGAAGCTGCCGCGTTAGTCATTATATGGGTAATAATGACCAATTCCCTGTTAAATAACCTTTTTCATAAAAGCAAGGTGATTGATATTTAAGGAAGGCAGTCTAATCCCTGGGCAGCAGATTCATAAAGCGGAATGTAGAATCGCAGCTGAGCTTTGAAAATAGTTATGTCTCACTGAGCAACTCTGTCTAAAAGTTTAATCAGCACTCTTTTGCATTCAGTGAAGTGGACTTTATTCATTACAATAACTTGCACTTAATAAATTGAAGTCAATCCTTATTCACATTACTCAGTTTTGAATTCAGCTTTATATTTATTTGTACTAAAATAATTCACTTGTGCTATTCATCTGCTTCGCCCAAAGCGTTGGCCGTAATCGCGTGACAATAAGGTTCACCTCCTATGAGCGGTATTTGGGGGATTCTTTGTCTGAGCTCAATCAGTAATCATTTCTCTTGTTCATTATGCAAATATTCAAAATATTCAAATATTCAGAAATCTAATATGAGACTAACAACTGAAGATCTTTGCTTTTCATGCCCATGCAATTGAACCCTTGATAACTATTCCTTGGCGCATTATCAAGCCAAACCCTTCGGACAAGGCCCAGGTGTGGGGAATTGTTTACATTCCTCACTTCTGAGAACAAAAGGCGACGCACAAAAGCTTCCTGGTATGTCGCAAGCACGTAGTGCGGACGAAGGTGTAATAATTGCTGCAGAGAACCACCCTGTCTGGCTTATTAAAGACATCAGACGTCCATTCGAACACTTCTCTGTTGAGTTTCAGCAGCCGTTACTCTCCGTTGTACTAAATATTATTCTTTTACACAGTAGACTTAGCTTGACGTCTTGATTAAGCTAATGTCCAACTATCAGTACGGAACACATCGGATCTCCGGATGAGTACTCGGCCTCAAACCTGGTGGCTTCTTGTCTCCACGACAAGAAGAGCAGTGACGAGGGAACATGAGTGTAACTACTTTCAAGTAAATCCAGGTACTGGAGCATGCATTGATATTGACTGTGACAGTGATTTTGTTGGAGATTGCCTCACAAAATCAAGGTACGATGACGGGCAAACGGGCGTCAGCCACGCTTCCATGCATGCTATAGGTGCTACATTTGGGGCTTACCCTGGTGTTGGAACTCTTGCCTTGGAAGGAGTGGATCAATTTTGTATGCTTTTAACACTGTATTCATATTTGCTCAGAGTACATGCAGCAAACCGTGGTTCGATATGGGCTCTCTAAACCGCTAAAAATGTGTGTTCTCGGCTTTCTTTGATTGTACGTAAGCCAAAGACCGGGAGAGGCGTAGAGGAGGACGAAGCCATGGGACTGGAACCAGAGACACATAACAACAGCGTTTGCAGACAACTAGATTAACTTTTTCCATGTATCTCTGAGGTCATCTTAATGCAGAAATCTGTAGGATAAACAGTGTGTACTTGCTATAAGCTGACGGCAGAAGGTCCCAACGACTGATGTACGGATTTGTTGTCTAGGCCAGGACGTCTCTGCAGTGAACTGTATGCGGTAAGTCTGAAAAAAAATGAAACAGCAAATAATCTTGCTAGCGATTGTATGTAGTTAGTATGCTATTCATAGGTCGAAAAACTTTTTTAAAAAAAGTAAAGAAGTATATCTTTTCCTTTCTCAAAAAATGAAAATATAATTAATCCACCTATCAAAACACAAATCTTAACACTTGACTCCAGGATGTAGGAAAATAAATATGTAAAAATTACATTGTGTTGAGCTTACGTGTTTGTAGAAAAGCCTCAGCCACTATCCAAATGTACAAAGGAAGTAAGTTGGAGATACTTGTGTTTTTAATATTTATGGAATGTTTCGCAGAGCAGGTCCATTTTCATTATGTCTTTAAATGATATATTTTAAATCAATGAACATAACATTTAAATGATATTCGATTTTGGTTCGTAAGGCCAAGTATAATCGACTGTTCGTGACCAAAGGATGACTTTGAATGAAACCTGCTTTAAAGGAGTTTGAAGACTCCTGAAGTTTAAATGGAAAATTATAAGGAGACGGTCTAGTCACTAAAAGAAGAGAGTTATCAGGAATTTAAAAACTATTGCACTAGTATATTTACGGGAGACACATTTTTACTGAACACCAAATACAATTATACACCTTACGTTCAATATAAAAACTAAGGATCTTAAATTTAACACGATGAATTTTGCAGTGTATTCTCTGTGTATACAAAGGAGTGTATCCGCGCTAACTGATTTGTTGAACTGAAAAATGAACGTTTAGTGAAATAACGACGTCACGATTTTTTCCAACATTCCAGAGCCTTCATTAAAAAATAAGAAAAACTAATGAAGGAATATTTTAGCAAAAATGATGATATGCTTATTTTAATTGCCGGTAAATATTAGCTTGACCTTAATTTGTATTCGCGTTAGGATATGCCAGTGGATACTGCGCAGAGCTAATTTACGCCTGTTGTTATCACAGCGCTATTTTTGCGCATGGTATCCGCGTGCATGTTTGGATGTCATTTACAAAGCAATGGTAGTCTGTGTATGTTAATTAACATATAGGGTTTTGGCCACAATGATAAAGACTTTCAAGCGGAAATAACGGCGATGTATGTCAGTACATGTACATGCATCAACCTATACTACACATGTTCAGTTGGACAACTCTCTCAGAACGATACAAATGCTGACAAACTGTAAAACTGAAGTTCCAGCTAGAAGTTACTACTCCTAATCAGTCACCAGGCCTATCACGATATAGCTTTGGGTTCGAAAGGCATCTAAATTGCACGATGTACCCCATGATGTGGGTCTCCGTGGTGCTTGCAATGTCTTGCAGCATCCTAGCGTGTGAAATTACTGGCTATCCAGAAAACTGTTGAGGCCTCTTATAAAATTGTTAGTACATGTACATGCATTTTAGGCCGAGAAGGATACCATTCAGCGCGGTGCTTAATTACTTTCGAGCTAAGCTTATAATGAATTACATATCCAAAGTACCGTACCCTGTGATTTTTAGAGCCCACCTCTTTATCGTGTACAAACATTTGTGTATTTCTGCGGATTACCGGACACGAGGCCGCACTGTCCAGTCCCGTTTGCTTTAAGGAGAGATACAAATATGATTTATTTTAGAAAAGCCTGGTCTCAGAGTCTACAACTTTGTTGAGGAATTAAGCCAGCAAAATGGAGTAGTTTATTTCTAGGCATATTTTAATTATGCTGTGTTTCCGCGGGCCGAGAGAACCCATTAATCGAAAATACACCGTCGGGCTCTTTTCCTTTTGTCAGCCAGCCACGCTTTGTCAATGGTGGTCTAGAATGGAGTTCATTGTGTAAAGAATTCTTACCGGATCGAAGACCTGGATGCACTATATCAGACTTTCAGGAAGTGCGTTCAGGATACATTTTTTTTAAATGTAATGTTTTCATTTTGTAGGAATTCCCTGTTTTGAATAAAGACAGGTCCTGAATGGTTAGCCGAACGTCGATTAAAATAAAACATGTTTTTATCGCTAGTCAATCGATCAGAGACGGCACGTAGACAGTTTGCCAAAGGTACTTACTCAGAAACAGAATTGTAAAATAATGCAGTTGACCCCATGTAATTATTGCTATCGAACTAAGGTACATCAAAATATCCAAAAGAGAAAATCTATCTTGAAGTTTTAAAATCATTATTTTGTTTCCATTCTTTTTTTCCCTTTTTGTTATAAATGGAGCCTTATTAAAGCTTTATGCTTTTACTCATAATCCAATGTAGCAAAACAAGTAACCCCTTTTGGGACAAGGTGCTTTGTTTTCTCGCCAAGTTGAGCAGGACTTTTGAATAAAATTATTGTGCTGGGAATTAGATATGATCGCCGGGCCTTCATCTCGTGTAAACAAAAGTGCTTAAAAGTCATTAAATAAATGTATCAAATTAACGAAATGGTCTGCGATGACTATGTAGTTATGAAAACATAGCGACCGTTTGTTTAAATTTGCTACAGTGTAAGCTATCCAGGTCCGACATGAAAATGTCTGTGTTTTTTCAAATAATAAATATGGCGGATCTTAGGTTTGTGATTGTTTCTTTAAACTTCTGATAATAGGACACGTGTGTTTTAATAGAGTGTCTGTGGTAAAATTATGACGTCAGGGAATTGCGACATCAACGCAAAACATAGCAAAATGTTGCATATATATTTTTTATGCTTATAAGATTATTTCAACAGAACAGTTACGACGCACATTTCGTGCGGTTCCCGTTAAGTTAAGAGCTCAGCTTTAAATTACTGAAGCAAGAAAGGGAATTCATGGGTAAGGACACCCTCAAAAACGAGAAATGATGCTTATCGAACACTTCTTCGCCATTGGTGTTGCTCGCCCCGTGCGCACACCCACAGCACCATGTGAACAAATCAGCTTCTTTCACAGGCGGGATCACAGTTATTTTAAATCACGGGCAGAAAAATGCACAAGCAAGACATCAAAATTTACTTCAAGGAGCTAAGACTGATATTCACCATTTAAAACGGCTGAGATCTTCCCTTCCCTTCTTGTGGGTTGTTCTTCTTTCAAGAGCACCTCTAAGAGAGAAAATAGAGAGAATGGGGGGATCCTCACCCCGTGTTTGGAGTGGATAATCCCTTGTGCATGCAAAACAATGCATGTAGACATTTTTTTTGCATACACAAGGGTTTACCCACTGCGGCCACAGGGCAAGGTTTCCCCTCGTTTTCTCTGTTTTCTTCGAATGACGCAATCTACATTCAGAATTTGCAACTTGTCATGAACAGAAAAAAGCCCTTTTAAGCTTGTTATGGTTGAGCTCTGAAGACAAATGACACTGCGTTCGATTTGGATGCTCCATATTTATTTACACAGATAAAATCAGAGAAAACATGTTTTCCTTTGAGTTGCTCTTTAAATCTTCTAACCAACTCCGAATAACTATAGTCTTATCGTCCTGTTCGACCGTTATCACTCAAACTGTAAACGAGGAAGGAAGTCTAAATAAAATGCCGACTTCAGATTGACCACTTTAAAATATCTGTGGAAATGTTCCACGCGATCACTGTGAAGGTAACTGGGCTTGGTTTAAACTCTTCAGTGCTAGGTATGGTGAAATAAAGTGCGAGTTGGAACTTCCAGATGAGGACGGGCGTGTTCTTTGCCGCGGTGAGTGTGTAGTAACCATACCCATTCTTCATTTTGGGAGCTTCTGCCGTCAGCCATGTTCCTGTGTATCTTTCTCTTAGCTCTCGTCTTGGGGGAAAGTTCTGGAGGATTTATTTGGAAGGACCCCGAGGATAAGTTCGCTGTGGTTGGAGACAATGTGACATTGAGTTGTACAGTCAGTGAATCTTCAGGCGTATGCGATGGCAGTTATGGGGTCATCACCTTTCATTGGCAGTTGAAACTTAGAAAATCAAAAAAATTCCAGAAAATTTCAAACTGCTCAAGACCACTCCCAAATTATGCCAGGCGGTATTCAGTGTCACAAAATGGCACTGAATGGAAGCTGAATATACGAAATGTCACAGAAAATGAAAACGGGAAGTACAAATGCTCTGTTGCATTTACTAAGAAATCCCAACCAGGATCTAAAGCCTCTAAAGCAGCAGTATTAACAGTCATTCAGCCAATAGAAACAGCCGTCGAACCGTCTCATATTAAAGCAAAACCGGGCGAGAATGCTACTTTTCTCTGCCATATCCAAGAAGGACAAGAGCCGAGCTACAGTTACGTTTGGTATTTATTCGGGAAAAATAGGAAAAGGGAACAAATAACTACGTCGTCAAAATTTTCATTGTCTGACAATGGAAGGTACCTCACTATCATGGAAGTAACAGAGCGACAGAATGGCACTTACGCCTGTGGAGTTTTCCGAGGTGACGTTTCTTTAACAAGGCATAACGACTCCGCCTCGCTGGTTGTGGAGCCAGTGGAAGTTGTCACAGATGTAGAAGAGCCAGAGATAATCGCACAACAGGAGGTATCTCCTGGAACCGAGGCACTCCACTCATCAACCACACCAAGTTCTGTCGACAAGCTCCCAGCCAACATCAACCCAGCTGACGGCCCCGACAACGCCGCGATCGACAACGCACCAGTCCGCCCTCCCGATGACCACATTCAGACTGAGAATTTCGCCGAGAATGTCTCTTCACCCACTCAATCTATCCGAAAGAGAGTTGAATCCGACGAAGAAACAACCTCCGGCTCCAAGAACTCACTAGCATTCACTGTAGCTGGAGTGCTCGCCGCCCTCGTTCTTACCCTTATTATTACATTCCTCCTTTACTTTGTAATCTACAAGGGCCGAAATGAAACAATAGCCAGGCTGGATCGTAAATCTCACGTTGCTGGCGCTGACGAAACAACTTCTAATGCGAATGGGATAGTTGAAACGCAACTGGATCTTGAGGAGGCGGCTTCACCCACATATGAGTTCATCCCTGAGGGTACGCGACCAAGTCATTCCAGCAAGGAAACTACCGCTGAGGTGTTGTATGCCGAACCGGAAAATCGCGTCGTCACATC